AGTTATAGAGTCTAAAAAGAATAAAAGAGGAAGAAAAGAGGATGGAAAGAGAAAGAATCCTAAAAATAGTCATTTATGACATGAAATTGTACATAATGTATATATATAAATAATTCATAAAATAGTGTGTGGCAAAAATAGTCAACTGTGACTGATTGCCAAACAAAAACAAATCAACAAGAAGAAGAAGAAGAAGTCTCTGGCTGTGTTTTCCGGAACATCTATGGTACAGAGATTACGCAGTATGCTGTCAGCTTAGTCTCACTTTGCAGACACTTTTACGCACAACGACTGACAAGAGTTTGTGTCCGCTAGACGCGTTGTCTCTGCAACAACCAAGGAGTGAGTTATTGCATGAACATACAACAAGACAATAAAGTGGCTCATCCCTCAAACATAAGCACGGTGGTGGTGGTGGGGGCCTTGAACCAAGGAGTTATATATTGCATGAACATATACAACAAGACAATAATTAAGTGGCTCATCCCTCAAACATAAGCACGGTGGTGGTGGTGGGGGCCTTGAACGAAGGAGTTATTACATGAACATAATTATACAACAAGACAATAAAGTGGCTCATCCCTCAAACATAAGCACGGTGGTGGTGGTGGGGGCCTTGAACGAAGGAGTTATTACATGAACATATAAAACAAGACAATAAAGTGGCTCATCCCTCAAACATAAGCACGGTGGTGGTGGGGGCCCTGGGGGGGGGGGGGGGTTGACATTTTTACTAAGGTGATGCCTCTCTGGTTCTTATCACATTCAGGGGATCCCTCTATATTATAGCCGATGCATATTAACACCAAATAATTATGACGAAAATTAGGTCATGTCCGCCCTGCATGGTTTGATGTATTTCCTAAGAACAGCATCATGCTGCATGAGTAATCCGGTTGGTTTCGAAGGTCTAAAATCATTAGAATAAAAACATATTTTTTTTGGTCAAAAAATACAAAATAAATAAATATGGGGGCTTATTCTGTCGTAAAGGCAGCGAGTGGTCATGAGGGTAATGATACAACACATTCAACAATACAAAATAATATAGAAGAATCTCGAGTATAATAATGGCATCAAGTTAATTGTTTCATTTTTTGTTAATTAGATTTTAGTCATGTGCTGCTACAACAGTACAAGACGAACCCGAATCTCAGACGAAATTATGTCTCCGAAACAACCATTCTCGTTCGTATTAAACACGCTGTCGCTATTTAATTATCGATATGAAGCTTATTGTTAACCTCTGAGTTTGTTATAATGCCGCTTTCTTCAATTGTCCTATACCAAACGAACTTAATCATGCTCTGGCCCCACCCCCCCCCCCCCCCCACCCCCATCTCCGACTTGTATCCATCGATGGTAACGTCCATGGAAACCTTGATTGATTTTGATTGGCTGTTGAGTGCTGCTGCCATGGTATGATATTAATGACAAAGTTACCATCATTGGTATACAAATAATGAATGGTTATGAGTTCAATAGTGCGAATATGTTCATGAGTTGAAAGATTAACATTCTATTCAACGAGGCGTCAGCCGAGTTGAATAGAATTAACGTTAATCTTTCAACGAATGAAAATATTTGCACTATTAAACGAATGAAAAACATTCATTATTTGTTTTATACAACATCGAAGAAGACCTAATAGAACGTTAATCAACAAATTATGCTTTACTCCTTATAAAGATAAATTACAGTTCGAGTCAAGCCTTCTCAATTACATGCAGATTGCCTTCGCGTCAGATACACGCAGGGATACGCGCGCGGACATGCAGCAGAGAGATACGCAGTCTGCATATAACCAAAAATGCACGGCGCATATAACCAAAAATGCACGGCGCATATAACCAAAAATGCACGACCGTGCAATATACCATCTATTGAATATCATGTGACCAACAATCGTCCAATCAAATGACAAGGATCCACGTAGGTGTTGTATAATAAATGTTATGTAATGGGGCCCTGAGGAAACGCATCCAAAGTTAAGGATGTTAAGCTGGTCTAATTGGACCAAAAAGAAATTCAAAAATACCTTCAGATGTATGAGAAATATGGTTCTTTTGAACACCAGAGACCAATCGCAATTCATTGCTTTATTCCTTCACAAAATAATCGCCAACAACACATGCACCTGTATCCATGACAACATAAGTGTATGATTACATAGTGAGGAAATTAAGAAAAATTATCATAGCTGATAGTCCCTTATACGGTTCCCATCAATTTGTATCATTGTCCTTCCAATGTACTGTTTTTTGTTTTCCGCAAATAAATAAGTTACAGTTATACTGTGCCAGGCTGCACGTGTATGATCCACGTGCCCCAGATAATAATCAATCTTGTATATTTGAGGTCCATGGAATAATAAGGGTTTCGTATCAGTTACGTAATGTTACGTCGCAATTTTGGAAAGAGGCGTATCCTTGTCTACTTAGCAAAAGCAGTCAGGAAAAGGGGAGCCGAGAGAGAGAGAGAGAGAGAGAGAGAGAGAGAGAGAGAGAGAGAGAGAGAGAGAGAGAGATGGGGGAGGGGGCATAATGCTTTTCTATAACGCCTATGCTTATTCCTGAAAAAGATTTAGGATATAAAAAGTAGGCCTACCAGTCTGAATAGCTGTATGAAAATCAAAAGGATCATTAGCACTCAAATACTTTTCACATTTTGTTCATATAATTATGACTTGAAGTCACTTGATTATTGCAAGACTATTGCACGGTAAACTGAAAATAACATAATCCATCTGTATGTGTAGAGTGTATTCGGGGCGGATTGAGGATTTTTCAACACAAAAATAAACAAATGAATAATATACGATATGTATATAGGGGCATAAAGAAACATTAAGACAGCACATTATTGAGTGATTGATACAGTTTGCATTGCCCTGTAATATGTATACAGGATCATTACTTTTATAGTGTAATTAGTTAATTGATTGATCTTGAGATGTTTGCCTTTTTGTTTATTTATCTTTTAATCTAAGGGATGTTGAAAAACAATGATAGCAGCGGCATTGCAACTTTATATACATTAAAATATACGGTCTATATAGGCCAGTGGCGTAATGAGCAAAAACTTTTTTGGGTCTGTACATAATCCGCTTCACCACCAAGTAGCATAATGCAGGGGCGGCGGTGCGTCCTCCAAAATAAGGGGGGGGGGGAGACCAACAAAAAAGGGCACTTTCTGGAGAATAAAAAGGGGCACCTACAAAGGAAAGGGAAAAAAAATGGTATATACCCCTACATCGTCATGATTGTGATAACATACCAGGGATGACATCAATATTGTTTTCTTTCTTGACGTGGTACAAGATAAGCAACATATAACATATTTAGATTTGTGACGTCCCAGTGCAAGAAATTGATCTCCATTTCGTTGACAATACGGCGTAAACGCAAGACTTGATTGTCAACACTGTTTGTTGCTACGGCAGGCACACAGTGAAAACGAATTCGTTTGATAAAATTATGGAAATGCAAGCACTATACTTTAATCAAACAGAACTTTGTCATCCCTTGCTCATTTTTCCTGATTGATGAAAGGGCAGAACCTCAACTTTCTAGAAATGTGATTTTCTCTTTGAAATTCAGAAACCGTCCGCCAAATGACATTTTGGTTTCCTCTCTTCAAATTTATTTTATCACTCATGCGTGAAATATGCATCATGCGAGTTGCATCATGAAAGAGGAGGATCTAAGCTTTCCAAATATGTGTCATTTAGTAATTATTAATGTGACTAAGTTATGATAAAAAATCGATAATTCTCGGTTTCGTTTTTTCTGGGACGCATTGTATAGAAGACACAAAACAAACCCTGATGAGTATTATGCACAATCTATTGAAGAAAGACTGAAAAGTTCTTTTATAAGTAACATAACATCTATAAATGGAAGCGATCGTGGCGAGCAAATTCTAGGGAAAATGATTAAAAAAAAGGGGGTTCTAAGTCGCCTTGAATTGAGGGTGCATGTTAATATGGAGAAAGGAAAACTAGGCACTTATCAAAAAGGAAAAACGGCTATTAGAAAAGAAAAGGTGCTCGAGTCAAAATAAACAGGGTAATTATATCAGAGGTGAAAATGGCACTTCTTGCATGACCTGAGAAGGAACACCCAAACAGAGATGAATAAAGGCACTTGTAAGAATGTAAATGGGGAATTTGTTGAAAGGAAAAGGACACTTGTCAGATTTTAATAGGGGCATTAATCAGATGTGGAAAGGGGCATTTTGAAAAGGGGAAGGGGCTCATATAAACAAGGAAAAGGGGCAGTATCCGAAGGAAATAGAAAGGAAATGGGGCACGTGTCAAAATAAAAGGGGCACTTTACTATCAGATGTGAAAAGTGGCATTTTAGTGGAAGGAGGTTCTTATTACCAAGGAAAAGGTGCACTTATTAAACAGGAAAAGGAACACGATCGAGTCAATGTAAAAAAGGGCAAACATATCAGAGGTGAAGAGAAGAGAATTTCTCGCACCTGAAAAGAGAGAAACTAGGACTGTTATTAGTTTTAAAAAAGGGACACTTGTCCTATGTAACAAGTGGCACTTTGGGGAACCTGAATCCCCCCGCCCCCCGGCCGCCCCCCCCCCCCCCCCCCCTCTGTGGGAGTGCCGCTTCTGGCATTGAGAAGAAAAATAGCCGGAAAATAACCATGCTTGAATCTTATTTGGGGTCAACTGCCCCAACTCCCCATCAGTACGCCAGTGTAAGGCCTTATAAAATGTGATGGAGGAAAAAAAAATCCCAATAAAAGAGATTCAAAAATAACAATTTCTACTTGGGAGTTTGGCCTTTATTCCATCCTTGAAATGACGTTATTTCATATAATAAAAAGTTTGTCTCAAATTGTTGGGACAAAAAATATCTAAGATATAATACAGATAATCTGAATAGAATAGTTTATTATAAATAACTGAATGAAAATCAGTTTTAGTTTTAAAAAAGAAAGAAATTTGCATTTGTTGTTCGAACATTGTAAATTCAATACTGAATAAATAGACTACGTCGTTTGATCAAAACATCCGGAAAAATCTTGACACATGCTGGTCATTAATTACACTAAAATCGTAGAAGGGGTATAATTTGAGGATGAGTGAGAACATGGAAGGTGAATCAGATAAGGATGCTGATGATGGACCCGTCAAAGAAGAATCACAAGGAGGGGATGCATTGGTAATTATTATTTTCATTGGATATCATTTGTCTACCTGGATCGTATTATTATTATTGTGTAGTCCCATGCATGACAGTTTCTGTACCGCCTTTACGTAGGCCTACATAATAACATGGGCATATTCCTGGATTTCTCACTTGGTTTGCCTTTTATGTATTGGGACCTGTATCATTGTAATGTGCACTGTATTATTAATAAATTGGTAAGAGTTACGTTTGTACCCCCACGATATCTGTGTGGCTTTACAGCAGAGTTCTGAAGTTGATTATTGATTCACTGGATGGGGAAAATTAAGTTGGAATTTAATTTTTTAAGAAAGAAGGGGAAAAATAAGAAGATGAAGAACAGAAGAACAAGAAGAAGAACAAGATGAAGAGGAAGAAGAATAAATGGAATAAGAAGTAGAAGAACATAAAGAAGTAGAAGAAGGAGAAGAAGAAGAAGAAGAAAAAGATATGGAAGAAAAAGGAATGGAAGAAAAAGAAGATGGAGAAATGGAAGAAGAAGTAGAAGATCGAGAAGAAGAAGAATGCGAAGAAGGAAAAGAAGAAAAGGAAATGAAAGAAGAAGAAGGAGAAATATAAATCAGAAGAAGAAGAAGAAGAAGAATGCAAGGGAGAAGAAGAGGAAGAAGAAGATAAGAAAGAAACAACTTTAAATTAAAGTTCCTTTAATTATTTTTTAAATATAAACGATTATAAAAGTACATGCAGGAGAATAAGAGGAACAAATGAGTGAAAGTTTAATAACAGTTACTAATGAGAGTTGTGTAGCTTTAAATATATGACATCAAACACAAAAATTGGAAGGCTATTCTTTTTTCACACATTTTATGCTGTAGAGTGAAACCTGCATAGAGACATAAAGACCCCTTGAGGGAGACAAGAAATGTGGTTTTAATTTAAGAAGTAGACATCAGTTTACTCCAGAACAGGTTTCTATGAGAAATGGGGGGAAACAGAAAATATGGTCGTAAAATGCAGGCGGTAGTTTTATACAGTATGTTGCTAAGGCAGGTTTCACTATACGTTTTTAGCCAGGAACATTTGTTTCCTCAAGTAAACATTAATTGAGTAACTTTGTCTGGATTGAGCAGCTCTAGACTGCAGTCAACTAGAGTTGAGATGAGAAGTTGCTCCTATACACAACATATACAATGTAACTTATGATGCGTTAGAGTGACCTGCCCCTTTACACAATCGCTTTCTCTTTTTCTTCAGGTGGTGAAATCCAAAACCGAAGTGCGTTTTCCTCGTGTGATGCAGAGATTGTTCCCTTATTCTCAGCTGAAGCCGAATACCAATCTTCATCAGCCCCCTCCCAACTGGCTTCGTAATGGCCCTACAATACAAGTACCTAATACATGGATCAGAGGAGAACCTGCTGATATTTCAAGGTAACTAAAATAACTAACTCACAATGGCGTTCTGAGTTATGCAATATATCACGTTAAATAACTATTTTGAAACGATATGTCATGGTAAATTATTATTTAAGATTATGTATTTTATTTAATACTAACCCACACAAGTCTCCTCCTATTTGGCTTTGCCATACTGTTACAAGTGCCTAATACATGGACCAAAGGCTAACTTTGTAATATATCAAGGTAACTTTAACAAGGTAAAATTATATTTCATTTTAGATTTTTATATATTTCTTGTCGTCTTTTACCCAGGGTTGCATAGTCAGTTATTTTGACAGTTGTCCTTTTAGATGTAACACAAAACATGAATAGGAAAATGATAGAACAATACAAAATGTTAACAGTATTATAAGTAAACATTACAAAAGTATTACATATTAAAAAGCAAATTGTATGAACCAACATTCTTTGCAAATTTTATAATATAAATGTAAGATATCAATAAGTATATAATATAAACATGTATCATGGTAATACAAACGTTAAGTTGACTTGATAATTAACTAAATTTAGTACTTAGAGCAAATGATTATAGTATCGTAAAGTGAACAACAGCAAAAACAAATAAAAATGAAAATAACATTTTATTAAACTTGAGGATTAATCTTTACTATGTAATTGAATTGCAATTGTAGTTTTAATTATGTTTTATTCGAAAGCACCCATGATGTTAATAATGGTGATGTTATAAATCTGTTATGAATTCTGATTCTGGTCATTTAGTAGTAAGAAATTTTAAGTGAGAATTCATGATAATAGTTACATTTCCACTAAAATAAATAACTTGCTTACGATGTAAAACGATGTTGATTGTAATAGTTTCTGTTACATTGAAATTGGGTACAATATATGATGATAGTTGTATCGAAATTTAAGAGATGCATTATGATCAAAGTAATACATTGAAATTTTACTGTATGGTAATAGTTATTAGAATGAATACTTTGTGTAATACTAGTTTCATTAGAAATTGTTTACCATAATACCATTAAAATCACTGTAATGTTGGTTATAGCTACTTTAAGTGGGGAACAGTTCTTCTAATGTAAGTCATCAACTCTTATAGATGACCATTTGCATACAAGTAATACTAAGAGGTATTTATATTTTAAAATGATATATCATACTGATGGTTAAATTATTATATCAAAATAAATAGCTACCTTCATTGTACATTCTTAATAATTAGGCTGCAGATATAATCATTGAAAGTTTGAAGAGCTATATGATCTACAGGTATCTACAACTTATCATCATGAATCTGTGAACAGTCACCTACTTAGTCTACCAAATTGTATTGCATTGAATTTTGGGGCAAAGTCAAATATGTCACAAATGATATTATTATTGCTATTTAAAAATATAAATTTCAACAGTAAGCTATACTTTGATTTACTTTATTTTTGATAACGGAATAGATTTTTTCCATACAGGGGTTGAATAGAAAAATATTTGCAATAATTATATTTAGGGTGCATATATATGATTGAAAATTTTCTTTAGGGAAAAACACAATTTCAGAATATTTTAGTATAGAGCAAATGGTAGGCGAGCTCACAAGATACGTCACAGAGTTGCCAATTTTGTGTTTGATCAAGAAGTTTTAAGAGATGGAGTCCTATCTAGCAGCAAACCAGTAGATTCTATTGTGCAATCATAGAAAACGGCAGCTGCTTGGAATAATTTGTTGCCTTTTGGGCCTCCAGCTCTTAAAAATCTTTGGTTTGATTGATCACAACTTCAAAAATTCATAACTTTCTTATTTGTAATCAGAATTTGCTCAAATTTTCACTGACTGTTTCTCTCATTGTCTGCGGCTATTAAACCAACTTATTATCAGGGGGGACTCCCCTTTTATTGTTTTGAAAGGTGCTACATTCAACATATAATTTTTGACACAACACAGAATAGTTTGCATACTAGTGCTCTGAAGTGCTAGAGAATGATGAATTGTGTATACACATCCTCTTGCAAATCAAAATATGTTGAGGTAACTTTTTCGAATGTTGAATTATTACTGACACTCTATAAAATGAATAATGCAGGATATGGCAATCCCAATCGGCTGATATTCCAGTGATACCGATGCGTTTGGATTAAAACAAATATACATACTCCTTGTAAATTTGATGTTTTTTTTGTTTTTTTTATAAATCAAGAATGAAAGGTCGACTGGTTCAATTAGGGCCTTTATTGAATACTTTTAGATGTAAGCTTTAATATCACATTCTCAAAAATATAAATGAGGACAAATCAATTTTTCATATACTTAGAGAAATTACAAAACTTGGTAAGGGGATGAATAATTTAGTTGTTGACTGTATATCACAAAAGGGTGGAGCTTAATGCCATTTGTTGATTGATGTGCATACAAGCTACCTTTTGCCTAGACAGATTTGATTATGTTACAACTCCCCAATAGACTTCTTACCAAACATTTGTAGTATGAAAGGTATACCATGGTAACAGAAAGCAGGCCAGGTTATAAAGGATGCCATAAACATTTGTGATCCAAAAGACAAAAACTGCTGGGTGCTGGGGAAAATCCAACAAAACTGATGATTCTGAGAACAGAAAATTTTGGAGAGAAACATCTTCGAGAAATTTGATAGTTTGTAGATATTGACTGCTGATGAGAAATCAGTCAGTAAATGTTGGAATGGCTGTTTTTTCTTCTTATGCTGATCTAATGCTTCTAAGAGATATCAACTATATATTTCTAGGAATTTTAATTATTATATAATATAATAATTAAAATTCCAAGAAATTTATAGTTGACTCTCCACGCATTGATGTTGAAGTGTACACACTGACAGGAACACAGTTATCAGAATGCATTATTGATTGCATGCAAACAGTTTTTCATCAAGTTCATTAAGTATTTACTCTTTAGTAGCCTCTTATAGCCTCATATTTTTGTCATTATGTAAAAAAAGAAAAATATGGACCTAAAAGTTCTCTAGCATGTTTTTAGGTGAAAGTACTTAGTTCATTTTTTTTTTAAAACCGGATATTCTGCAACAATCTATAGTTTTCATCTTTTCACCAGGGGAAGGGGAAGACTTATTACAGGCCTGATAATAACCGATTAAAATCGGTTTCCCGATTCTTAAATTTTTTTTTTTTTCCCAGATATTTTATTTTTCTCCCCAATTTTACAGTAAGAAGTAATAAATACATGAATGTGTTCCTTAATTTTTGTGTGTTTTTTACAATATCTTATGTTGACCATTAGTTTTAACTGTATATAGAAAGTTAAAGAAAATGAAATTTATTGATTTATTTGCAATTCAGTAATTACATTTTTCTAAAATATTTGTTTGAAGTTATATCAGCTCTACTAGAAACTGTTCATTCAAGTTTCAGTCCTAATTTTGAATATTTTTTTTTCTCCCAGTGAAAGGATAAAGAAAAGTAAATTGTTACAAAATGCATTGGTATTGTCAATAGTGAATTCTGTATTCGTTTGGAGGATGGATTGTGTTTTCAAGGAGTAACAATATATTTTGCAACATTTCACTTTTGACTTTGCCCATATTCAGGTGTACTGCACAGACCATGATAACACAATCATTACAAATGGGGCATTATTGTAAAGAGGCTTAAACATGCTTTTTAATGATACCAACATCAAGTATTATAATAAACTAAAAAGACATGAATGCTCAAACCTGAATTTTCAAACTTTTTTTGAGGAGTGTTTGATATAAATGTTTATATTCCCACTCCCTTTATTACTTAGACCCCTGTTACACATACGTCTGGAAGTGGACTGAGGCCGGCCCCGGAGGCGGCTCGACGTATGTGTAACACCAACTTTTTTTGAAAAGCCGCACTGAGGCCAGGTAGACTCAGTCCACCTCTGGATGTGGTTTGAGGCCGGCCTCAGTCCCGCAATCAGTAGGTGTAACACCAAAGTGGACTCGGGCCCGGCTTATAAGCGGAAGTGACGTGACCTGTCAACATAAAACATGGGGCGCCCTTTGCCACCTTCTCTTATGTTATTCTTTGTTTTTATCGTTCTATCCCTTTCTCTTTCTGTCTTTTCTTATATTATTCTTTGTTTTTATAATTCTATTCCTTTCTCTTTCTGTCTTTCCTTATGTTATTCTTTGTTTTTATCATTGTATCTCTTTTTTCTTTCCGTCTTTCTTTATGTTATACTTTGTTTTTATCATTCTATCCCTTTTTCTTTCTGTCTTTCCTTATTTTTTTCTTTGTTTTTATCATTCTATCACTTTCTCTTTCTGTCTTTCCTTATGTTATTCTTTGTTTTTATCATTCTATCCCTTTTTTCTTTCCATCTTTCTTTATGTTATTCTTTGTTTTTATCATTCTATCCCTTTCTCTTTCTGTCTTTCCTTATGTTTTTCTTTGTTTTTATCATTCTATCCCTTTCTCTTTCTGTCTTTCCTTATGTTATTCTTTGTTTTTATCATTCTGCCCCTTTCTCTTTCTGTCTTTCCTTATGTTATTCTTTGTTTTTATCATTCTATCCCTTTCTCTTTCTGTCTTTCCTTATGTTATTCTTTGTTTTTATCATTCTATCCCTTTCTCTTTCTGTCTTTCCTTATGTTATTATTTGTTTTTATCATTCTATCACTTTCTCTTTCTGTCTTTCCTTATGTTATTCTTTGTTTTTATCATTCTATCCCTTTTTCTTTCTGTCTTTCCTTATGTTATTCTTTGTTTTTATCATTCTATCCCTTTCTCTTTCTGTCTTTCCTTATGTTATTCTTTGTTTTTATCATTCTATCCCTTTCTCTTTCTGTCTTTCCTTATGTTATTCTTTGTTTTTATCATTCTATCCCTTTCTCTTTCTGTCTTTCCTTATGTTATTCTTTGTTCTTATCATTCTATCCCTTTCTCTTTCTGTCTTTCCTTATGTTATTCTTTGTTTTTATCATTCTATCCCTTTTTCTTTCTGTCTTTCCTTATGTTATTCTTTGTTTTGTATCATTCTATCCCTTTCTCATTCTGTCTTTCCTTATGTTTTTATCATTCTATCACCTTCTCATTCTGTCTTTCCTTATGTTTTTATCATTCTATCCCTTTTTCTTTCCATCTTTCTTTATGTTATTCTTTGTTTTTATCATTCTATCCCTTTCTCTTTCTGTCTTTCCTTATGTTATTCTTTGTTTTTATCATTTTATCCCTTTCTCTTTCTGTCTTTCCTTATGTTTTTCTTTGTTTTTATCATTCTATCACTTTCTCTCTCTGTCTTTCCTTATGTTATTCTTTGTTTTTATCATTCTATCACTTTCTCTTTCTGTCTTTCCTTATGTTATTCTTTGTTTTGTATCATTCTATCCCTTTCTCATTCTGTCTTTCCTTATGTTTTCATCATTCTATCACCTTCTCTTTCTGTCTTTCCTTATGTTATTCTTTGTTTTTATCATTCTAACCCTTTCTCTTTCTGTCTTTCCTTATGTTATTCTTTGTTTTTTTATCATTCTATCCCTTTCTCTTTCTGTCTTTCCTTATGTTATACTTTGTTTTTATCATTCTATCACCTTCTCTTTCTGTCTTTCCTTATGTTATTCTTTGTTTTTATCATTCTATCCCTTTCTCTTTCTGTCTTTCCTTATGTTTTTCCTTTGTTTTTATCATTCTATCACTTTCTCTCTCTGTCTTTCCTTATGTTATTCTTTGTTTTTATCATTCTATCATTTTGTCTCTCTATCATTCCTTATGTTTTTCTTTGTTTTTATCATTCTATCACTTTCTCTTTCTGTCATTCCTTATGTTTTTCTTTGTTTTGATCATTCTATCAGTTTCTCTTTCTGTCTTTCTGGAGTCCGCCCCAACGTCAGCTCATGAAAAGGCGACATGAGGCCGGCCTATGTGTAGATGGGCCCGAGATCATGTGTAACAGGGGTTTGATGATCTCGAGGCGGCTTCAAATTGCAGGCGTGAGGCCGCCTCCGGGGCCCGCTTTAAAAGCCGACGCATGTGTAACAGGGGTCTTAGCCTACATACTGTACATACATTTTATGTATTTTACCTATATTTTACTTTTTTTTCTTTTCTTTCACATCAGTTTTGGAATGGCAGATGCGGATATTATGGATGACGTTGATGTCATTTCAGCTTCAGAGGTGAGAAGAGAGACGTTTGAAAATTGTTGGAATGCACTCCCGTTTTATTAGATTTAATTCATATCAAGTGCAGTATGGCCTATTCATGATGCGCACGACTATATCGAATTTGATGTTCATTGAGTGGTTTCCCTTTTGTAAAAAAGGCCTTGAGAAGAATGAACTGCTGCTGTTTTTTAATTTCATTTTGATGCACTTAAGACACAGAGTTGAAATCCAAAATGTCAGCTGTTCAGACAAGTATTATTTTTTTCAGACAATTTTAATGATAAAAATAGTAGTGTAAACTTATAGATTGCACACACCGTCCAAGGACGCTCATGGCCTTTAACAGGTTTAGTATGATGTACATGTAAATTTAGACAGAAATGCCTAAAATAGACATTTTAAATACCACTATAATATGTGTTTATACCTATAACACTTCAAAATGTTTTTTTGCTGTTGTTGAATCATTATAAAGTGACTTTTCTCTACAGAAGAGTGAGATATCTTGTGAGTAATTTATTTGGGTAAAATGAATACAAAAAATACCCCCTCCATTTTCTACATCTCTGAAATAATTGTTTAGAATGTTATCTAGTAATGTACCTGCTTTCTATAAAATGTTGCTTTGTTATTTTATTAAAAGCTCAAAGCGGCTTTGTAGCCGATTTCCTTTCAGACCTGTCAATAGTGCACAAACATTTACAGTTTTTTTTTATTCATAACAAAACTTTTAATGTCAGCTTAATTTGTTTAATAGAAATCAATTTTTGGCTTCTACTTTCATGTGTGGTATACTGGATTCAACAGGTTGAAGTATGTAGAAAATAAATAGAAATTTAATTATATTATAGATTCATTTTCATACGATTTAAAATCAAATTCAATATTATGATGTAAACATATCCATTAAGTTATAATGTATAATCATTTTGTAACAACAACAAGAAATAGATAGTGGAAGCTAGGAGATGTATTTCTATTTTATCTCTCTATTTCCAAACTCAATCAATAAAAATTAAAAAACAATTGGGCCATGACTGATAGAGAGCGGCCGATATTCACAGGCATGATGTAAGAATTAAATTTTTAATAACCATGAGGAAGTACATGTGTCATGGCTTGAATTTCAAATGAGAAAGCTTATATCATGGAATCGACCGCTGTAGGCAAAGATTGAAGTGATTTGTTATTGGCTACTGACAAGTGTTCGATCTCAAGAAGCACTTGTTTTGATGAAGGAAAAAAAAAGTGACCTTGTTTCTGCTCTCAATCTAATCGTGAATGCAGTAGAATGAAAGAAGTTGCCTCTGTTGTGTTCCAAGCGTGCCGTGTCCCTACAGCTCTCCTTTGTTTGTTCGTAAATGTCAGATACATACACGTACATGAACACCGTGAAGAAAAAAAATTACAGGGAAGTGGAGAATAATTCTAGCTCTGGGGAGATGGAAAAAGAGCTGAGGCAAAAATACAAAATTAGGAAACGTTGGAGCGAGGAGATCGATCTCAATCTCGCAATAACAAATCCAAAAATAGCTTGAGTGAACAAAGGGATGTTTTCACGGCATGTACCACATTCATGTTCGGATGACGGACAAAAGAGACTTACTCCGCCTGTCGAATTACAGCATTGGGTGCTCTTTAAAAAAAAATTGCCCTCTTTTTGTATTTCATTCTATATGTGGGTTTTACATCAGCTGAGAAGGTCTCAATCATATTTGCAACTAACAAAATGTGTGAGTTAGCCAGAATCGATTTGTGCCCCTCCACCTGGCACTATGCCTGGCAATGTGTGTTGACTCACCACTCCAAAACTAGAACAACACTCCAATTTGTCTGTCATCTTGGTTTGAAAGTAATCTTTGTAATAGATCTCAATATGTAGTTTATAATAATAATTCATCCAACTTTTACACACGGCGTACCACAAGGTTCTATCTTAGGTCCTCTACTGTTTTTAATTTACATTTATGATCTTACACATTCTTCTGAAAACGACATTGTTACTATTATTTGTGACAAGTTCACAAGCACAAATCGGCACCTTCAAATGCACCTTGCAGTTGAATGAAAGTCTTTCCCGCTTTTCCAAAAAAAAAAAATATTATTTTTAATATTTTTTTAACCGTTTAACCGAAAACCGTCCGGTTTTGACTGGCGGTTAAACGGAATTGGAGATATCCGTGATGTTACAGCACTAATCATGATATTTCTTTTTTCTGAATTATATGTGAATTGACTGAATTGTGTTAAAATCAGTCTGTATTTGAAAATTTGTTTTCTCAATTTGTCTATTCTTGCTATTTAAATTTGTAATTTCAAGAAATTTCTTCCTTTTTTACCGGTAATCAATTTATTGCTGTTATTTCTCTTTCTTTCTCTCTCTCCCTCTCTCTCTCTCTCTCTCTCTCTCTCTCTTGCTCTCTCTTGTAATCTCTTTTTCTTTCTCTCAGTTTCCCATTTTTGCCCTTGGATGTCTTTTTATCTCATTTCTCCCTCATCTGTGTCTCTCTCCATTTCTCCTTTCTGTTGCTTTCTCTTTTTCTTTCCCTCCCTCCATCCATATTCTTTCCCTCCCTCCATCCATATTCTTTCATTTCATACAATTTCTTTTCTATACATGTTTATCATTCCTCCATTCCACCTACTCATGTGTTGATAAATGATTGATATGGAGAAATGAATTTCTGAGATATCACTCCCCAGTTACCTTCTCAATCATATGTTAGCCTATACTACTTATTTTTACCCTGGTTTCACTTTGCCTTATAATATGAAACTAACAAAGTAGATACAGACTCACACAGATGCATTTCTTCTTCACATGAAATTCAATTTCTTTATTCAGAACATCAAAAAGTTGCTGAAGATCCCCTTTAGTAACGACCAGGTCAGCTTGGCGGTCCATCGTATCGGAAAAACTCTTCTTCTGGATAAACTCGATCTCTATAAGCACCTAAGGGATGCCTCACAGGTAAGCGAAGCTTCTGTTCATACCACAAAATCGATCTCTACATCACATGTAAACAGAACAATCTCCATAATGTCGACATGATCTCTAGAAGCATCTATTACAAATGCCTAACAGGTAAGCAGTACCCCTGTTCACACCTTAAACTTGATCTCTACTTTTGTACAAACATCTTGTCTGTTGAGGGTCAGAAGAGTACCAATTCTATGTACAAACAAAATTAACGCCCTTTTGACTCTCAACATATGGTATAAGGGGAGTCTTATGGGGGACCAAAGCCCATTTAACACTAACTTGATCTCTACCAGCATCTTGAGAATGTCTGACAGGGAAGAAAGCCCCTTTTCCCACTGCAACTTGATCCTCCAAGCATATTGAGAAGGGTTCTAACTCTTTGGAATGCTATATGAGCTATGCCCTTCTGGCTCTATTCTACTTGGTAAATAATACCTTACAGGTAAACAAAGTCGATTCATACCAGAAACTTGATCTCTACCAGCATCTAAATGATGTCTAACAGAAGAGGTTCATTAAACCTAAACAATTATAATGAAAGTTGAATCTTTGGAAATATCTGGGAGATGACTGACAGTTATCGAAAACCTTTTTTTCACAAAGTAACCCACTTAATCATTGTTCATTGCAAAATAGGCGAGTGAAGAAGAAAGAGTGAAAGAGATATATATATATATATATATATATATATATATATATATATATATATATATATATATATATATATATATATATATGTATACAGTATATATATAGAGAGAGAGACAGGCATAGAGAGAGACAGAGACAGAGATAGAAAGAGACAGAGAGAGACAGAGAGACAGAGATAAAGAAACATAAATACAGTTTTATGAATATTTGAATACTTTGAATTTGAACTCCTCTTCTCCTCCTCCCCTTGCTTATCTTGCAATATGGCAAATGTTGACATGTCACTGAATAATGACTAAAGTTGAGTTGACGTGGGTTCATTTCTCTACAGTTTGATGTATGAAAAGCACATTGGTATTTTCCTTGGTTATGAAAAGTATACACATGTAGAAGACCAAAAGCATTGTCAATTTACGAGGGAGGGCTGTATTTGTATAGTTTCTTCTACATATCAACAAAAATGTTGCAAAATTGCAGGTACATGAACCCACCTCGTAATTTTTTATGATTTCAATTACAAAATGAGGGACACAGCCACTGGTAGCCTTGTTAGCCTTGCTCCCAGCCTATGGAAGTTTTCCCCTTTATCTTTAATACAGAGGTGTTTAAGTATTGAATGTAGAAGTTTAGTTCAAACCATAATTCCAATACAAGCTCTGCTTGGAGAGAGATAGAGGTGGCAGCCTTCTTTCAAAATCCTAATTTCACTGAAAATAATCTCATTTAAAGAAGGAAATTTTTCAAAAGCCTGGAAGAAAGGTAATGTTATAGGTAGTTCAGGGTCATTGGTGTTACGGAAACTTTTTTCATCGACTTTTGTCATAGATGCATTATAGATCCTCACATTACCATGTGTTTTCGTTTATGAAACATTAATGTCCATGTCATGTGCATGGCCCAAGGGCACAGGCACAGACACAGACACGTTTCCCCTTCCAGATCTCTCAACCTTTGAGTTTCAGTTGTATTAGTACTAAGTAATAATATACCTGTTAACAATGTGCGTGATGCAGAATCTGAAATGAGTTGCTTAGATGTTGACAAAAGAACGGTTACAAACTTTGGAATGTGTTCTTATTGAAATATGTACCTGTTATCTGTGCATCCATCTTCCATGCACATGACATCACATTAATGGTATCCCTTTTTAAAATGTTATATTATTCCGTTCACATCAACCTGTTTTATGTCTTTAAGAAATGATCATTCACATCCTCCTGTTCTCTCTTCAATGAATGGTCCTTCCACATTACTTATGATTAGTTTGGATAAACAAATCAGTGATATATCTAGAGGAAATGTCTAACCCAATCTAAAGGCATTACCGGTAATGAATATTAAAGGTAACCAGTAAGAACAATATTTTCTTTTTGATGATTGACCCTTTCACATCCCCGTGTTTTCTCCATCATGTAATATCCTATCCATCACTTGTATTCTTTTAATTCTTTGATGACTGATCAGTCGGAGCAGAAATGGTTAAAGGATGTGTTCATGAGACTGGTTCAGAATGACGGCGAGAACAAGTTTCAGAGCCAGCATAAGACCTCAGAGAATAGACAGACGTCAAATCTCCTCTCCAAGTTCCTTTATCACAGGTAAAAACAATACTTCACTTCTAATATGTTTTATTATTGGTATGATTCATTTGGTATCACCTGGGTGTAGGATTGATAAAGTGGGTAACAACAAAAGGGTTCACCGTACTTTGGTAGCTCCTAATTAAAAATTCATAACCTATATGACTTTGAAATCTATTTCAGGATGAAGAGTAACCTGTTTTCTGTCCAATGATATCCTATTCATAATATTTCTGCCACAGGTGATTAAACACCAGGGGCCAGTTTCTCGAAACCGTCATATGTCTAAGTTTGTGGACATCCTATAGAAACGTGTCTTAATTCTATAATACACGTTTCAATGGGATGTCCAAGAAGTTAGACTTATGACGGTTTTGAGAAACGGCCCCAGGGTCTTTAAAAAGTGTTGACAAAATTGACTTGCACCGAGTTTGGGCATGGGCTGGTGGAACGAATATGGGTCAGGTCATATGCATGTTCTTCTTTGGTCTTAAATCCTTTTGAATGTTCGATGATGCCTCGTGCTTCCCTACTTAAGTGCTTCCTGGTCTAAAATGATGCAACGTATCTTGGCTTTTGATCCGCATTCCTTGCTTCAGCCTAAACTTGGAATATGAGGATTTTACCAATACTGTTTGAAAAGCCAGCTGCTCAGTCATCCTTGGCAAGCACAATTATTAATAGGTTATCATTAGACAGGAAATTAGTTATCCTTTACCACGAAATAAGATTCAAGGTCACTTTGGTTATGGTTTTTTAATTAGAAGCTACCATAGTTTGGATACACTTCTTTTTAATATGCACTATATAGGTGTACTTGCCTCATGGTTTCCCCTATCTCTTTAGAGTGATATTGGTTGAAAACATGCAAAACATGGAAAATGTTAATCCCAGGCCTGTTAGCAGTATTAATTAATTTTGAAGAGCTCCATTTATTTGAAAAATATTAGTTACCAGTGTTCTGATTAAGTAAACAAGTAAGGACATACACATGGTCGAGTACATGTACGTTGTGTCCTGATAGAAATTTTCATCGAATTTTTGTCATGTGTAATGAAAGTGCTCTAAAAATTCATATAAATGAGTTAAATTTCTCTTTTAAATACTAATCAACAATCTAATCATTTTATCATTATGCTCTTTCTAGCATTCTAGCTTTTAGATTTATTGGTATTTCAATCACTATCATTTTTACAATTAAAAACATATGGGATAGTAATCGCAGTACCATTTCAGGACTCCTCAATCCTCCCTCTCTCTCACATGGTGCACCCCCAAGCCTACTGTATAGTACCATTATTGACTTTCAGTTAAGGATCAAGTTAGCACATAGGTTTGTACAACTGATTTTAATGTTGCATCCAGCTAGAGCAGTTCCCCATTTCTCTCATTAAGGTCGGCATGTATTCACGATCACCTTCTACATGCTTTAATAAATCAAGTACTTTCTTAACAATCTGTACCTTCTGGTGATAATAATTATCAATTGAAAATACAACTTCAAATGCCTTGATTGGTTTCACTTGAAGCACTTGTACCAATGAGTATGTTCCTAATTAAAGCTTAGTGAACCAAATCTATGCCATGGATTAACTTTGTCTTGACTTGTGTGATGTAATTACACTTTTTAGGTTATCAGGCTCACCATGATGTCCTTTATTTCTTTAAGAAGGTGAGGGAAGGTCAAATAGAATAAGACTAAGACTAAGTAGCAAACAACTCTTGCAAAATGAATTCAATTTTTCTAGGATATGATGTAAATGATGCCCTCCCTTTCCTGAAGAGGTTGTGGTAGAATTAAATATCATCCAAAGTCCTTTAGAATTGCATAAAGATGTACATGTAGCATGATGCTATATGCACTATTACTATTATTATTAATCAGAATGATATTTTTTTTAATAAATCAATAATTATGATGATACTACTACTACTACTACTACTACTACTACTACTACTACTACTATACTACTACTACTATACTACTACTACTACTACTACTACTACTACTTATATTACTACTATTACTACTACTTTTACTACTATTGATGATAATGTTATTGATATCAATAATATTGATAATAATGATATTGATATCAATAATGATGACAATAATAATAATAATAATAATAATAATAATAATAATAATAATGATAATAATAATAATAATGATAATAATAATAATAATAATAATAATAATAATAATAATAATAATAATAATAATAATAATAATAATAATGATAATGATAATAATAATAATAATAATAATAATAATAATAATAATAATAATAATGATAATGATAATGATAATGATAATGATAATAATAATAATAATAATAATAATAATAATAGTAATAATAGTAGTAATAACTGCAACAACAACAAACAAAAATCAACTAGAGAGGGAGATGGAACGAGAGAGAGGGAAAGAAAGAGAGAGAGGGAAAGAAAGAGAGAGAGAAAGAAAGAGAGAGGGAGAGAGAGAGAGAGAGTGAGAGTGAGAAGAAGAAAAAAGAGAGGGGAAAAAAGGTAAAAAGATACTTAGATTCATACTTAAATGTCAACAGTTATAGCTGTTGTTAAGAAAAACACACAAGACCAAGATGTTTGAAGGAAGACAGAACAAAAATATGACTTTGCTATAAAGTATTATATACAGTACCTCACTTAAGAAATCCAGCCATCTGATTGGTCGAAATTGCATTCATAAACTTTAACTATTCCTGTAAAATTCCCGGTAAAATTCCAAACCCATGTAATAGTTCTAAAAAATAGTTCTAAAATCCCAGTAACCATGGTTACCGGGAAAATATTTCAGTATTGGTGAAATACCCATAGGTTGACATGTTAAAAAATGGTCTGAGCGATCGAGGATACCGTACGTGTGCGATGAATCGGTCGGTAATTTCAATACAATTGAATCTCGATCGATCTTACCGACAATTTCATCTTGCATTGTTGACATAAAGACGAAAAATAAACTTCCAAAAACAACATCTGCCAATAGATCTTGATCTAAGTTCGTGCCAATGCATTGCAAAAGTAAAAGAAGGGCCCGTTTATGGAGCTGCCGCGAACTTTCCATCACGCGAAGCCGTTTTCAATCCATTTTAATCTATATATCAGAGAAAACTGCCATAATTGGTAATAGTGCGCGATGGCCGAGCGGTCTCAGGCGGTGATTTTGCTCGCATCATCGTTGGTGCGCAAGAGATCGAATCCCATCTTCGACAAAAGTTTTTTATGTTTTATTTTTTATTTTTTAGTCTACTCTCAAAGATACACTCATAAAAAAACAACCGTGCAGATAAACTAGATAAAGGCCAAGGTGGTGTCATAAGTTGACTCTTTTTTTTTGGCATATAAAAGTATTAATGACTGCTTTAATATTCGAGAAATAGTTGTTTTTATACGGTTACAATTGGGCTATTGCCCTCGGCACGCCTCGGGCAATAGCACAATTCTAACCCTCCCTTGAGCGTATAAAAACAGCTATTTCTCTCAAAGCAGTCATTAATACTATACTATTTTCTTTCTGTGAATTCCTCTGCTTACTTAGATTAATTTGATATAAGTGCACTAAACTCTAAACCTTGGACGAACTTTCTATTTTGAGGTAATTACATTGTTTCTAGTTCATTGCTTACAGGGTACTTGTCTATTTTCCTTAGATCATTCCTGGAAAGGTTTCTAAAATTAGGAAAGGCTAGAAGGGCATAAAGATTTAATGTCCTCCCGGCTCTTTGAAAAGACATGATCTGATTTTTAATTCACCCTTCCGGCCTGCCTTTCACGTATTCATTGGTAATGAAAATACATATAGCTATCAATAGAAAATTATGAATTGTGCATCCTGACTATTTCATAAGAGTAAATGAATGAAATGACTTTAAAAGAGGAAATGACTTAAATATATTATACATTGTTACAATTTGTTAGATTTAAATGTATACTCACAACTATATGATTTCATTAAGAAATTTATTAGATTTAGGTACTACTGTACCAACTCAGTTTCATGTATGACAATTATAAGATTTAGTTTTGACTTTAGGATAATCTTCTTTGTAAGAAATAGTATGTATGGATTTTTACGGTATATTAATTTAAAAATGATCATTTTGCATATCGGACTGTTCTGAATTCAGACCAGTAAGAACATTTCTTACAATTCTAATAATAGGTGTTGACATCACATTTGTTGTTTGTTTTGTGCTAGAATGTAAGAAATTCATCTTTATATCCATTTCTCTATCTTTGATATCTTGATATCAAGACATTAATGTTAAGCTGCTTAACTTTAGGGTGACAACCATAGGATTTAGGGTCAGTTTTAGGTCAGATTTGTGTATCGTTTACACAGAATCGTTTAATTGTCTCTGGTAATAATTGTCAGTCTTTGTAATATTTTGAATGATTTGAGAAGTTTTGGATTTCAAAATTTTCTTTTCGTAATTTTGACAATCCTATAGACAAATTATTTATACCTGAAATTTATAAGCTTCCTGAAGAATTTATTAAAAGCAGGATTCAGTCAGGTTTGCTCATCAAAGGGGGAGGGGGGGGGCAGAAATGGTCATGATTTCTTGGTAGTATGATGAAAATAGCACATGTTATTTTGTATTATAAGAGGACTGGGGGGGGGGGGGGGTGGATGTGCAATTTCTCTCAATACCAGTATGTAGATCAGCCTGTGTGTCTTACTTATTATATGGTACAGTGAAACCTGTGTATAAAGACCACTCAAAGGAGACGACAAAAGCAGTCTTTAAGAGCAGGTGGTCTTCACATACAGGTTCCTATAACACATGTTTCAATGAGAAACACAGTTCAAGGGAGAAAAAAATTGCTGTCTTTATAGACAGGTGGTCTTTCCATACAGGTGGTCACTAAAGCAGGTTTGACTGTATTTTCTTTGTTTTATTTATGACGCTACATTTAGCTTGGGACCAGGGTACAACATTGAGGAGACGGAGGAAGGTCAGATCCCTGAGTTAGCCAAAGCACTGCAGCAGCTCCCAGCGCCACCAGAGGTAAATGTACATGTGAATCTTGATATATACGTGTGTGACCAAACTTTCTGTTGCGTTTAAAAAAAGTTAAGGATGGTTCTGAGCAATGATAATGATGTCCATGTATTTAATACTGGATATGATAATGCGACAATTGAAGACAGAGTTATACAGGTATATCAATCACTGTGGGGCTCATTGATATTTTTGTTTAAGTTGATGATGATGATGATGACGACAACGATGATGATAGTAATAATGATAATGATAGTAATGATGATAATAAAAGTAATAATTATGATGATAATAATAGTAATAACAATTATGATAATAATAATAATAATAATAATAAAAATCATAGTAATAATAATTTTAAAAAGTAGCATTTATATAGCGCCTAAGATTGTTTCTAAGCGTTGTGCTATTATTGAAGACGAAGGGGTTAATATTGACAGCTAACCACCAAAGAGAAGCAATAAACTCAATCTTTACCTGATGGTGGTCTTTTATGTACGCATTATCTTTAAGTTCATGTTACATTTATATCTTCATCTTGTCAATGATGCTGGGATCCATAAAAAAAGTTGGTCTGTATAGGAATGGCCACTGAATCAGATTTTCTTTCACTGTAGGATGATGTAAGTCAGTTTGCTCGTCAAGTCATCTGGCAGTTTGAAGACATACGGATGTTGATTGGTACCGATCTACCCATCTTTGGTGGTACAACATACCCCGCAGTCAGTCTAAGATTAAGGTAAACTGTTCACTTAAATTTCTACTTTTTTTATTAGATTTCCCTTCATATACACTTAGAAATGATTGATGTTTAAAGTTACAATAATGATAATATAATATAAAATAAAAGAACAGATTTATAATTTGTGTGTTCATTATAAGTTTTGGTTGGTAATTTGTAGACAGACAAATGGTGCGCTTAGAAACAACCATATAAAAGAGAAGGTTGAGTTCTGGGAAGAGGTGAAAAATAATTTGTGAGCGTTACTCATTCTTATTATGCAAGTGTGGAAGAACATCAGATAAGACATGTTTCCTGAAAAGCATGGCTCTTCAAATGCCTTCATATTCTAAATATGCATGTACATGTAACATCGTAAAAATCGGGGGGGGGGGGGGGGGCCGGCTTTTTAGGCCACATGTTCGTGAAGTCCCATATACATCTTTCTGTGTACAGTGTTTGTAACTTTACCAAGACTTGGCCAAATTTCTTATCATTTTGATGATTCCAGAACCTTGCAATACACACAAATTCTTATATGCTAGATGATCAACCTTTTCTGGTCAGTTCCACACCGTTTCTTTCACAATGCAATCGCATGACCAGAACTCAACTTCGTCTTTAAGTGCCTAATTAATGGTGTGTTTTATTATTATTATAATAATAACAAATGTCTTGTTTACCCAGGGTAGCCTCATCAGTATTAAAACTGTTCTCCCTGAGGGCCCTCCAATCATAATTGTTGCCCATAGTTCTTATCATTAATTTTTTTTATTTTTTATAGGAATACATAGAGCTCATCCGCCATTTACACACTTCTTTCTCATTTTCATTGTTTCTTGGATGCCTACAAGGGTACCATGTTTGTGGTATGGATTCAATTTAATCATTCAAATCAATTTCATTTCATTTCAAGGTAGTTTTTTTATTTTTATTGAAACACCTTGTTTATATGCTATGTGATTAAAGCTTTTTCTGTCTTGTTTTACAAGGAAATAGTAGACACCTGTTAATAAGGAAGAAAAACAGATGTTTGTAAGAATCTTTAACGTGGCATGAAGTATAGTTTGTGTCATATAAAATGAACAGCGACTCTATATGCTTCATAATAATAATAATAATAATCCGTTTTTTTATATAGCGCTCAATACACCGATCCAACGATGTGCCTAAGTGCTTTACAGATATATTATTACCCCGGTCATCGGATTCAGGCTTACCCGCACACAATGTGTGCACATTTTCCACTCCCTGGGGAGCATGCATGTTGTAGTAAGAATTTTGTCCTCTATAATATTTTTCCTTTCAGAGATACCCAGAGTCCGATAAACGTGCTGACTGGATTAGATTACTGGTTGGATAATCTCATGTGTAATGTGCCAGAGCTCGTCATGTGCTACCATCTTGACGGATTCGTACAGAAATATGAACTCATCAAAACGGAAGAAATTCCCAAGCTGGAAAATGCCCAGTTCTCACAAAAGGTAACATTATATAAAATCATAGTTTTTTCAAATACTGCGCTCCCATGTTTTTTCTTTTCTTCTATATTCCCATGTGTTAACCGTTCTTGTATTATCCAGAAGTCATACAACATTTTGTTGTGATGCCTCACTCACTGCCCCTCTCGAAATATCCCACCCAGAGGCCATAGAAGCGATGCTAATTAAAAAAACTGTTGTGCTTTTAAAGGGGAAGACGGCCCTGATATTTAGATAGTTGGTTTTAACAGAAATGGAATAAATGAGAAAAACAGGTCAATGAAAGTTTGACCTAAAAACCTATTTAAATTAAAAGGTTATGAATTTTTTAATGTACGATCAATCAAACACAAATTGGCAACTCCGTGACATATCTTGCGATCTCCCCTCCTATTCCCTCTGTACTAAAAAACTTCAAAATGTCATATTTTCCCTTAAGAAAATTTTCAAACATACATTCACCCTAAATATGGTTTTTGTAAATAGAATTTTTGTATACAACCCAGTGTTGCCAATTTGTGTTTCAATGATGACGACTGCAAAAATTCATAACTTTCTCATTTTCTATTGGATATTGCTCAAACTTTCACTAATTTGTTTCTCTCATTTTTTTACTTTTAGTAAAACCGACTAAATATTAGATTTAAATTCCTCTTTAAGAGTAGAGGTGCCCTCCCCTCAGATGTTTATGGTTTCTATATTCTTTCTAATTCTGTGTTTAAATTTAATCTTTAATACCTATTCATTATTATTTTTCTGACTTGCTATCTTTCATTTCAATTCAGCCTCCCCTATCGCTTTCTGATCAAATGTTCCACTTTCAAAAAAGAAAACTTAGAGGCGGAAAGCCTAAATTGGCTCCGAATTGTAGTGATGGCAGACCAAGGCCTGTCTTTTAAAGAGTTGCGATTAAACGCTTTCTGATCAAATGTTCCACTTTCAAAAAAGAAAACTAGAAGACTAATATCCTGGCTAATGTCAGATTGATTACAAATTCGTTTCATATTTTCGCTTTCAACCTATTAAAAGTTGTCCATGATATTCACTGTCAACGTTGTACTGATGTTTATGATCATAGTTAGGTAAAGGGACCGTTGGGGATGCATGGGAGATGCATGGCTGCCTCCATATCCAGAGGAAAACTCATTAATATTCATGAAGTTATGTTGTACTTGATAAATGTAAATGAAACAACAAACTGGGAAGGCTTTGAATTTGAAAAATGAACTGTATTGCATTACCATCTTATTAAGAAAACATTTGATACAAACACAGGTGATCATAAATTGAAGGGTCAAATTGAATGTTCTCATGCAGCATCCAGTGAAAAGGCCATGAATTATTTGTAAGATGGAGGTGGAGGCTTGATTTTCATATTCCAATCTAGTTGTTTATTGAAATGGATCTCTGACATGCTGTGTGACTCTCTTTGAGAGGTTTCCTGAGTCACGCTAACCCCATACACGTAGGATGAAAGATCATCCATGTGTCTAGATAGCTGTTAGCTGTGCTAACGATGGACGGACGTACTTTTTGATTCTTCTCTGTTCTACCTTATTTTTGACCAAATTCAGCATGTTCTTGTTAGCGGTTTCAAACAGATTTTAGCTTGCACGAGTTTGTGAGTGTGTGCCCTGATTTTTATCATCATATTGCAAATTGCCTTGCCATATTTTTGGATCAGGGAGCGCCATGTCGAAGAAACACAGACCTACGAAGACCAAACGTGTGCATAGCCACGGCACACCCCACAGCAGCCCGGGCACGCCAGCATTCAATAGCCCGGCAAATTCAAACTCCCGTAAACAACAGACTCCTCACATTCCGACCCCATTGTCTATAAACGCTACACGCAAAGGCACGGCGAGAGTGAACGGCCGAGGCACCCCTTCTGCACTCAGTTCTGCACTGAATTCACCGTCAGCCATTTTCTTGCCGCCGTCAAACAACTCTAATAATAATAGTAATACTAGTGACAACCTAGCTGAAGCCATCAAGAAGGCTTTGCATGAACTTCTTTCAGATATGGATTTTGTTACGAATTTAGTGTCGTCCATCAAGTCAACCCTCATGAAGGAAATTGGTCAATCGATTCGTGATGACATAGTGGATTCCATCAACTTCGATTCTTCGTCGCTGAACGACCAGATTTCCCAATTGCAGTCACAAATTCATGAAATGGAGTCAAACCTGGACGAAGCAGAGCAGTACTCCAGGCGGAACTGTCTTATCTTCAACGGTATCAGCGAGTCGGAGAAAGAGAACACCGACGGGATTATTATGGACATCTGCAACAAAAAGCTAGGAGTGACGGTGACCGCGAGCGACATCGACAGGAGTCATCGCCTTGCACAGCCGCCCACTTCAACATCGACATCGACCTCGACAAAACCCAGACCACGGAACATCATTGTGAAATTTGCCAACCATCGAGCTCGCGAAGCTCTCTATCGTGCAAGATTCAAACTCAAGTTCAGCAAGGATGAAGATCGCATTTTCATCAACGAGAACCTTACAAGGAAAAGAAATAAATTATTCTGGAAAGTAAAGAAACTCAGCTTCGTAACCAGAGCCTGGACAGAAAACGGTAAAATATACGCGAGAAATGCAGACGGAGTCCGAGTATCAATTACAAGAGACACAGAGTTTTCTCGCGTCATGTCACTTGACAAATCAAAATCGCACTGAAATGGATATATTGTGAGTACACATGCTGTTAATGAGGTTAGATCTTTATAAGTCTAAATCAGTCCTTTCCGAACTTGTTCAGTCTCATTGAACCTTTTAACTCTCAAGTTAGACATTGTTAATTTTCTCAATTTTTACACTTCATACTAACAAATATCAATATTGGTATTTGTACATGCCTAATTTATTCCGTATATAAACTTTGTATTTTCCATATATTTCTGTATTATACTTTTATAAGGGGCTAAATGGTTAGGCAGTACCCTTGTTCTAAATGCTCTGTTAATGTAACATGTAAGCAAAGGGCTTTACAATGTACACTTTGCAATCAGTGGGCTCATACAAAATGTGAATTCATAAGCAATGCTTTATATGATGATGTAACACATCATTTCATAGATTGGCAATGTACGAAGTGTCTTTTTACTCATTTACCATCAATTGACAAGAGCTGTGATAATACAGTCAACTTACCATGTGAAGACGACATAGTCAAGGATAAGAGTTCATGTGATAATTTTTGTTCAGTGCAATACGATTGTTTTAAAAGTAAGGGAATTAAATTGGCCCATCTTAATATTCGCAGTCTTTATCGAAATCTTGAAGAGATTAAATCGTTTTTGCATAACAATCAAGTTCATATATTAGCGTTAAATGAAACTTTCCTTGATGACTCAGTTTTCCATAGTGAACTTGATATTGATGATTTTCACCTTGTTCGAAAAGACAGAAACCGACATGGTGGGGGAGTGGCTGTATATATTCACAGTTCCTTGTCATTTGATTTGATTAAATATGATACTTTGTTTTCTTCATTAGAAATAATTCAACTATGACTTCTCTATTGAAGGTTACCGATGAATGGTTAGAATCCATGGACAAAGGTTTATACACTGGAGCGGTTTTCATTGACCTTAAAAAGGCTTTTGATACTGTTGACGTAAATATTCTTTTAAACAAACTCGAGTCATTGGGAGTTACTGACAACGTGTTACACTGGTTTCGTACTTATTTATGCAACCGTCAAATTTTTACTTGTTTGAACTCTACTTCTTCAAACATTTTAGATGTCGATTATGGAATTCCTCAAGGGTCAACCCTCGGGCCGCTGCTTTTTACGATTTATATAAATGATTTGGTTAACAGAGTAAAACATTGTAACATTCATCTTTATGCAGATGACACTGTGCTATATTTTTCCGATAAAAATGTCTGTAATATTCAAAGAATCCTAAATATTGATTTAAACAATGTTCACAATTGGCTATGTCAGAACAAACTTAGCCTTAATGTTGAGAAAACTATTAGCATGTTATTTGGATCAAGTTATATGTTATCAAAATATAATATTTTTAATGTTCAAATTTCTGGCAAAGCTATTACACAGAAAAACGTGGTTAAATACCTTGGTATGCAGCTCGATCCTCGTTTAAAATGGGATATTCATATTGATGAAATGTGTAAGAAAATTGGAAAAACAGTTAACTATCTTGCCCGACTCCGCCATTGTTTACCTCAAACTCAATTAAAGTTAGTTTACAATTCAATAATTTTACCCCTGTTTGATTATGCTGATATTGTTTATGATTCCGCTAGCAAGAAACATGTTGACCGACTCCAAAAATTACAAAATAGAGCAGGTCGAATCATTTTAAGTGTAAACCCCTATGATCATATTTCTAACAACGAAATTCATGGAAGATTGGGGTGGTCCTTATTACAATCTAGACGAAAGTCACACCTGCTCACGATGGTGTACAAATCATTACACAATCTTGCCCCTTCTTTTAAGTGTAAACCCCTATGATCATATTTCTAACAACGAAATTCACGGAAGATTGGGGTGGTCCTTATTACAATCTAGACGAAAGTCACACCTGCTCACGATGGTGTACAAATCATTACACAATCTTGCCCCTTCTTATTTGAAGGATCGTTTTAATTATAATAATTATTTATACGGGTTGAGATCCCGGGGAAATTTAGCTCTACCCAAACCGAAATCCGAGAGCTGTCGGAGAATGTTTTTATATAGAGGCTCGCGAGAATTTAACGGCTTACCTAACAATATTAAACTCTCCAACAGCTTAAGTGTTTTTTGCAAAGAACTATCTGCCATTCATTGATCTTGCCTAGACTTTCAGTGGTATTATGCCTTGCCAGAAGTTACACTTAGCTGTGGGGGGGGGGGGGGGGGGGGGGGGACACATTACTAGTAATTAGGGTAGACATGTATTTAAGTTCTACTTGTGTATGTAAACATAATTGTGTAAATCAAGCTGCTGTTTGAAACTATTGATGCTTTTTCTTTCGTTTAGCCCGAAAGTGTATGGTATTTTTTGCCTCGTCTTTCTTTCTACTGCACGATGGCTGAATGCTCAAATTTGTGGGTTTGTTTTGCTTGGTACGCGGCAATACACCGTTTTCCTCTTGTGGTCAAGTTTACTCATGCCTGCCCTAGGACAAGCTATGTAATCACCTGATAGCGAGCGGCCGCATCACAATGGTCGGAATGCGAATTGCATTCATTTGCGTTGCTAGCTGGGATAAGCTTTTTAACTTGTCCCGGCTGGCAACAAGCACTGCGTACCTTCTATTGGGGTGCGATAGTTTGTTGTCAGGTGTGCGTATGGCATTTTTAATTAGCGTTTGATGATGGCGTGTGTATAAATTTTGGCCTCATAGGGAAAATCGTTTATTGACGTTTATAGTTGAGGATCGATTGTCGGATAGAGAATTAGACAACATAGTGGGCGGGTCTCTCGCGTGGGGTTTGGAATTACATGGTGTTATGCTGGGCGCGTCCGGGATCCGTGAATAAGGTAGCATATTTTGTACTTGTTCATTCACCTATTCAATTGCTTTGATTTCTTTCCCCGGACGCGCCAGGCGTTACATGTGCCTTCCACACGCTTTGCAAGAGAGTTCTTCTCCATTTCTCTTTCTCCCTTTCTCTCTCTCTCTCTCTCTCTCTCTATCTCTCTTTCTTGCAGTCGTTCCTCTTACTGATTCGCGCATAGCGGGTTAATTATCCGCAAATCTCAGCAATTGTAAATGTATAGCCTTTTCTTGCTTTTAATTGTTTTGTTTCATTGGTTAACACGAAAGAGGACATGCAAGTGTTATACTCAGCAGCTTGTGCATTATTTTTAAAATTTCTATTTACGTAATGTTTCTTTTAATTGTACCTGGACCCCCAGGAAGAACAGTGTCATATATTTTTATGACACTGAACGGGCAATCCAGCCAATCATTTTTAAGCAATCTATATACACATGTAATTTTTTTTTTTTTAATTCTGTTATGTTTCATTTCGTTTTATGTCATATGTTATTTGTCTTTTTAATATGATTGGAAAATAAATACAATACAATACGAGGTCATCAATTTTTTTTAATGAGAAAATTTTACCAATTCGTTGGCGGTTTTTATGAAACGCGTTATTTATATTACTGTAGGGATTCGTTAGGTTCACAATAACGGTGACAAATTGTACGTCACAAATGAGCTTTTAATCTGCCATGGACAAGAAATACGTATGTGTTGCCATGCTAATTGTGCAGTTAATCCTCATTGTACTTGAATACGCATTTTTGCTTCTTTTAAGTCTTCATGCAACCTTGCATGATCATAGAGCTTATACCCATGTACAGAAGTCGATCAAAGACAATTTGTAAGATTTGTAACAAAGATGCTGATGGAAACGTGTCTCCAAGACAAGTTGTTTGTAGAAATCAAGGATTTTATTTTTCTGAGACTCGCCTCATTGAGGGGTTTCCTTTGCCTCCATGTAAACAGGGCACACGTGCCCAGAGCGAATCACCCCCTTGTGCCCTAGTGCCGCTAAGAGCATGTTTTCCTGGTTCTTGAGTCATTAACGACGTCAGCAGTGGCTTCGTTACTGACGTACCAAGAGGATTAGATTCTCGTTATTTCTATTATTTTCTGTGTTGAACTGTTTCATCATCGGAACCTCTCCTTGTTGATGACTTGATTGTTTTACTTGATTGGAGACATTCCCTAGTGGCATATATCTCTTCACAGGAGTTTTTTTTAGGGAGGGGTGTGGGATGACCACAATTAGCAGCAGAGATTTCTTGCATGAACACATACATGACTAAAAATGAATATGGGTGTAAGGTTTGATATATTTCTTTTTCTTTTATTTATTTTTTCATTGAAAAGTGGGGTATAGTTGTAAGGGCCACCCCCCCCCCCCCCACTTCCCTCCCCTCTCGTGATTTATGCCTGTGATTTTTCCACATAGCCTTTGGTCATGCTAAAGAATTTGAAAAAATTATTTATTGGAAAAGGTATAACTTGTAATAAAATAGAATACATATATGAAAAAAAATAATCATAACATGATATGATAAAAACCAAATATCGATAAACTATTATAAAAGCAGTTGTGTTTGACAATTATTCTATTTTTAAGGTGTTCAAAATACCCAATGAAAGAGGCCAATATTAGATTGATAATAAGATGGATAGTCAAAGATAGAGTTATGAATAAGGTGTAGATGAAGGGAACCAAAAAGGAAATGTGTTTATCAGCTCAGAATGATTCCAGCGAGACATGGCAAACAAAACCATGTTTCATGAAACACAAATAGAAAACAGTTTTATCTATCAATGTTATCTGACTACGATCCAATTTTTAATCATTTTCAGTAGCATTTGATATGATCATTCAAACATAAACGAATGATCTGAATAGTTACATGATAGAGGCTAGATTGGCTCAAAATTGTAGTGATGGCAGACCAAAGCCCGTCTTTTAAAGAGTTGCGATTGATCCAAATCAGTCGCGAGTCCTCCTATTAGATGCAAGTTTGCAGTCTCATATCTTTTATGTACATAGTTGCGATTGATATCAATCGCAAAAAAGTTCCAATTAATCGCAATTTCTTATAAGACTGGGTCCAGTAGTGCAATTGTCTACGATTTGAAGCTGATTCAGCTTTTATTTTGACTAAAAGAGTACATTAAAATTCTTATCATTGTTTACAACCTAAACAATGAAGACAATGTTTGTTCAGATTTCTATATTCTTGTATGTATTTACGATGTATTAAATCTTGATGACCTTGACAATGACTTTCAGGTTGTGAAGGATATTGCTCAGAACATCCTCTCCTTCATCAATAGTAACTGCACCAAGGAGGGCCATACGTATTGGCTGTTTAAGGGTATGTATAAGTAGTTTTTATACTTAAATACGTAAATAAGGTATAAGGGATAACCCATAGCAGTGTAGTGTCATCTTTAAATGATGTTTTATTTTTGCTTTTTATCTTTAAATCCAAGATGCTTGATCTGACATTCATATCGAGCAGAAAATGCAAAAATCATAGGAAAATTTGAGTCCATTTCTGTTGTGCAGTACATTGTGCCATTCATTAGGTTAATGAATAAGACTTAAGAGTGGCCCAATAAAAAATATCTACGGAAGTCTTTACTTCTGCAATGCAGAGTAAAATATATAATTACAATTATTTTGTAACAATTTCTTGTTGATTTTTTTTTTTTTTTTTTTTTTTGGGGGGGGGGGGGGTGTAATTCTTCATTTACACTGTTTCATTTTAAATACATATTGGGGAGGAAAACCAGGAAAGAGTGGAAGAAAAAAAAAGTTTTGCAAATGAGAGAAGGAAAAGCTTAATTCATTGAGACCTTTGGAGCACTCTGAACTGCTGCAGGTTAATTTCTATTATTCATTGTTAAAATTGTTGCTATTTAGATAACTTCCACCATGTACACTGATATTTGTGTTTTAGGAAGGAAGAAAGCTTCAATATTTTATACCAAACTTAGAATCCAAATACCACAGTAATAGTCATAGAATCAAGGATTGTTTATATGAAACCAGATTTTTTATAGAACTATTTGAGGAAAATACAAGAGGTTTTCCAGATGAGGAAGGACATGCATCTATATTGGGCATTACCATGACGAGGCCATTGCTAGGGGACTCGTGCTGTGTTTTTATATGTCTTCCTTGTACAATAAATATAGCTTTCTTCATCCTTCTCTTTAACCCTTTGAAACTTATCCTTTTCCATTTTTAATTTTGTCTCCTTCCATCTCTTACATTTATGTTCTCTCTCCCAAATCTTCCTTTGTTCTGTCTAATTTCCTGTCTTAAATATTTGTTTCACTTATTTTCTTTCTCCCTTCTATGTTTACTTCAATCTTAATTGAAAAACGCCCTTTCAATCCTTTTTCCTTCCTATATTATCCCATTCATCCGTTTACCCACCCACCCACTTCCTTCCATGTATCTATCTACCCATCCTCGCATCCTTCTATCCACCCTTCCTTCCACAATTAATCCATTAATCCATCTCCATCCGTTTCTCTTTCCAACCTTCAATTTATGTTTAATCATTGATCTTCAATCCATCTATCTTTCCATCCACCCTCTTTCCAACCTTCAATTTATGTTTAATCATTGATCTTCAATCCATCTATCTTTCCATCCACCCTCTTTCCAACCTTCAATTTATGTTTAATCATTGATCTTCAATCCATCTATCTTTCCATCCACCCTCTTTCCAACATTCAATTTATGTTTAATCATTGATCTTCAATCCATCCATCCCTCCATCCATCCCTCCAACCGTCTTTCCATCTGTCCCTCCAACCATCTTTCCAATGTTCATCTACCCATCTTTCTAACCTAACCTTCAATCTATCCACCTGTCCATTCTTTGATCCTTTTATCCATCCCTCCATCTATCTATCCATCCCTCCATCTATCCCTCCATCCAATCCTCCATCCCTCCGACCATCCCTTAAACCATTTTTCCGCCCTTCCATCCATCCATATGTCCAATCATCAAAGCTTCCATCCATTCTATCCAACCGTTTTTTATCTATCTTTCTAAACATCCATCAACAAATCTTTCTTTCTCACCATCTATCTCTCCTCCTAGGCAAGAACGATGATGTGGTCAAGCTGTATGACCTGAGTAGCCTGATGACCGAGCACCCAGAATGCCCGTGGGACAACCCCTTTGTTGTCCCGGTAGCCATGCTGCTTTATCGTGTTGCCCACAACATGGCCCAGGCTGACACGATATCTGCCAAGTGAGTTAATCACCTGACCAATCATATTAGCGAGTTTTCGCAACCGGCGACGTGGCCTTCTACAATGCTAATCTTACCGGGGGGTCGCACTCAGAGCAAAAATATCCATGTAGCATCCAAACCTACGACGATATTCAGCCGTATTTGCGTCGGGAGTCGAGCTAGTACCGGGTGGCGAGCTCATTTAAGTACCCCGTAGTCAGCACTTGTGTCGCCGAGCAAAAACTCGCTTTTTACCCTTGGGGAGGTGCGATGGCTCAGTGGTCGAGCAGTGGTCTTGTAACCGGGAGGTCCAGGGTTCAAAACCCAGTCAGTGCACTAGTGCCCTTTGGTAAGGCATTTATCTTTGTTACCAGGTCCCTCGGAGTGGACCTAAAGCCGTCGGTCCTCTGGTTACTTACTTACAAGCATACACATGCTTTCTTAGCAGTCAGGTGAAATAACAAACCCCTAGGAAATCCATTTTTAGCTAAACACCCCCAGAACAACAATATAACATCCTGTTGTTTTCTTGATGTACATGTTTCAACGTAATCATATGTCTGGTTGTCTTGTTTTCATGAGTGAAATAAAATTCAGTTGAAAATGAAATTAGACAATGATAATGTTTATGAGTTAGGATTTCTATGACAATTTTGTAATGTGCTGCATTAGATAGTTGCCATAGCTAAAGCTGTAGCTCTTTGAAAGTGCATTTTGATGTTATATCACAGTGTTATATGATCTATACCAAAAACAGAATGATCATTTAGTCTTTTTTTTTCTCTCTCTCATGCAATAGGAACAAGCATATCATTGTGTACCTTCTGAATAAGTGCCTTTATTTACTGGCTCAATGCAGAGATCAACATTTAGAGGTAAGACTGTTTAAAATATTATCCTTGCTAGCCTTTCACGTTTCCTCTTTCTCCTCTCCTTTTTCTCTTTTTTGTTGTTGATAGTATTCTTAATTTCAAACTTGAACTCCAGTACATAATGTTGAAATGTTGAAATAAACATAACGGTTTTCATATTTAAATTTTCAATCATAAATATCTTGATAACCAAACAACCGATTGGCTTGTAAATGTCATGGGATTCCTGCCTGACCTATAATTATGATTGCAGCATGGACTAAAGCAATAATTTTGTTTGGGGATGTCAGGCAAAGTTACCCAATACCTTTAATCGTATCCTCAAATTGAATCGCAGTGATCTGTCTTTTTGTTACAGATTGTGGCCCAAGCCAACTTTATCCTCTGTCGGATGTTCATGGAAGAATCCAGGCAGAGTCGCCATGGCAACACGGGAGATGATGATGGTTCAGACTCGGCTTGGAACGGTAATGATTAAAATATATAATAAAATGTATTGTCCAAACCATTACTATATATTTAGTTCATCCTTTGTTGTTCTCCTTACTGTTGGCCTTGCCTCCGTCAAAAATATCTGACATAATTAAAAAAAGATGGTTATGATGACAAAGCAGTATTGTATGTTTTCTTTTCTATTGCCTAATCAGAGTCCTAAGGGAAATAATTCACTGGTTCTTCCATCTTCAAATATTCCACATGCACAAATAAAACATTGACTCTTAAATGATATTGGTTAAATTAAATACAAACATGTGTCACTGTGGTTGTTTAATTCATAAAAGAGGACAATTAACAATACAGGGTCTTTGTACATGTACCTGCCCAGTATACAGCCCAGATTGTTTAATTGGCCTAGGCTGTGTATTGTGATCGAGGAAGGTTTAGTGACTGTTATAAGATGATGAAGCAGATCCTAATCAAATGATTGGTTGAGAGTGTTCACGTGACCAGGCATTTATTTTCCCTAACATGTAATTTTGATGCTGACCAGAAATTAGTAAATACTAATGACCGGTCATTAGTAAAATCATATTATAACACATCATTTTATAAAACAAATAAAACATCATTTTATAAAACAAATAAAACATCATTTTATAAAACAAATAAAACACATCACTTCATTTGAGCATTAGTAAAATTACCCACAGTCCAAACAACCTCGGCTGTCGCCTCGGGCGTGTTAGACTGTTCCAAAGGTACCTTGTGTGGGTAATTCTTACTAATGCCCCCACTGCTGTGTATTATTTGTATATTAACTAATCTTCACTTCTAAATTCGCAGGGAGCTCGACAACCAGCAGCGACGTGGAGGACGAAACCAACGATGCAGTCGATGACGACCAGGCAAAGAGGCCAGAGATTGTCCTCCCACCAATCAGCATCAAGAATCTTACGGTCCCTAGCAGCAAGACCTGGAAATGCAAAGACATTGACAATAAGAGGTCAAAGGTCAAATCATTGGATGCATCAAAGGCGGAGAAGGCCAGGCAGATTTTGGAATATGTTGCTGATGTGAGTGAAATAAAGTTTGTTTTTAAAATCTTCCTTTTTATTTTATTTGTTGGGTAAAATGTCAAATTATGCTAGTCAGTGTAATAACAAATGTCAGGATGATCTATGTTGTGTTCAGGTATTAGATTTTTGAGCTGACTGTCATGCATGAATCAAAACTATTGATACAAGAACAAATCTTATTTTAACAGGTTGACCCTAAGGTAGAAACACTCCCCAGGGAGTGGAGAAGGTGCACATTGTGCATGAATGACCGAGGTAATAATATCTGTAAAGCGCTTCGAAACAGTATTTCATATTAAGCACTGTATGATTACAGATATGAGATTATTATTATTGATAATCACTTGCATGCTCTTCCTTCTTTCAGGTTTAAAAGCGATAAAGAGCAGCATCCCCGAGACTGCAACCGGCGCACACCCAGCACCAGCATCACCACCTTCCCATGCCGCTATGTCACTGTCTTTACCCCCTTCGACACCCGACCGTAGCCCCCTGCCTACCAGCAAAGCCATCCCACTCCGGGACAAACCACGAGCAGCAGATCCACGAAAAGCAGAACCACGAACAGCAGATCAACAATCGCCAAGTAGCATTTCAGGAAGGGAGAAAGGTGAACAAAGCTCTGCTCGTGGGGCAGATGGGACTATGAAGCAGGACTTGGGTCAGGGTAGCCTGTTCGTAGGAGGAGATGTTGCACATGATGTCAAGGATGTAGGTGGGTCAGTCCAAAGGTATGCGGATAGAAAGGACACTGAGAGATCCTTGGAGACATTGGTTCAAGAGATGGATATTGGCAGAGGAGGAGATTCAAACCAAGTGTATTCTCAGTCTGCAGATGAATCGAAAGCAAGGGATGAAGATAGTTGCGAGACATCATCAACAGGAATTCCAAGTGACCAACTGCAGCTGAAGGATGGACCCGCTGGAGTTGAACAGTGCAGTGACCTGGTGGAGTCTGACCGCTCACCAGGCAGCAGGAGCAAGGCAGTGGCCAAGGAGAAACCGTTCCCTCCAGGTTCCTGGCAGGAGACATCGGGTCTGCGTCTGCTGGAGAAGGCTTATCAGGCCTACTGCATACTGACTGCGTTGGCATGGGAGGAGCATAAACATGGCAGGGCGCTTCTTATGGCACAGCTGGCTATCAAATGCCACAGTAAGTTAACAAAATTGATGCACTTGTGTAATGAAGTTCTGAGGTTTATTGTATCAAATGTTAATTTTCATTTTCCTTTTGCTACCCTTCTGTCTCTTACTCTTTCTATATCTCTCGCTCAAGATCTTCATTCTTATCTCACTGTATCCTTCTCTGTGGTTCTTTATGTATCTCTCTCATTTTGCCACCCCAGTCCCATCTCTGTGGTCTCTTTCTTATTCCCTTATTCCTAGGTAAGAACCTGAAACACATGTTTTTAGTACTTGATCTAACAGTATAGTTTCATACAACAGGTTAAATACTTGAGATGCACAGGAACAGAGCCCACACCGTCTGTTATTACCCACAGTACACCTGAAACCATTTAGAATCTATTGCATCTAGACCATGTTTCATAAAACTTATTATCAATAACAAATTACAATGACTGGCATAAGCTCCTGAAATCGTGGCATTTGATTGGCTGAGAGCAAATTTGTCATAGATATTTAGAATTTGTTACCGATAACAATTTTTACGAAACAGGGCCTGCCAAAACAGGGCCAACCAATCAAACACCTCGATTTTAGTAGCTTAAACAGTTATTGTAACTTGTTATTGATAACAAGTTTTATGAAACAGGGCCCAGATATGGACTGTATATTTTTAGCATAAGGAGTAGTGTTTCCTTTGATCTATTTATATTTCGCTTGTAAATTTAGATGCCAGCAGGTCGACCCACGGTGGAGAGACTAACGTGTACAATGTTCTGATGATGTGCGGCGATTCCTATCTCCTTCTGACCCATGACCCTAGCAACCAGCATCTTCATCACGAAGACTACCAGAACATCTCAGAGATGGATACCTTCATCCTAGAGACGGCTATCATCCAGCAGACATCCCATGGTATGCACCACTGCCACACCCCTGCCACACCCCTTTCACACCGCTGCCACACCCCTTTTTGTAGCTTCTAGGACAAACTTCATCTACCCTTTGTTGCATGCGCTACCACCCCCAGAGAAAACTCCCTCACAACTGCCACCCCGGCACTACGACCCCTGCCACCTGCATGTAATTTTTTTGCCATTGTAGTCTTTGAAATAAAGATTAAAAGATTCATACTCTCACATAGGAGGATAATGTTAATGTCACATATTTTGGAGTTGATACTTGAATCTTTGTCTTATTAACTTGACTGTAGTATACACACATGAAAAGAAAATCCTGGAAGTCTGTTTTCTAGCTAATCCAGCGGCACAATTTATACAATATGAAAACATTTCTTTCTTTAAAATATGAAAAGTTATACATAAAAAGAAAAGAAAAAGGGAACTAGAAGGGAAAAAAAAAATTTGATCAGCTTGGCACTCTAATGATTAAGATAGTGGTATTGATCATGTACCTGTTTTGAAACTTGTTTTTTAAATTTCATTTCCCAAAAGAATTTAAATATATTCAAATTTAAGTAAATCAGATTGTCTGTGAACTTCAAAATATTCATGGAACCAATGACACTATCAGTTTAATTAGTTTTTGTTTTCTGACTACCTTTGTAAATGTTGATAAGTAAAATCTACTGCCATGCTTTCTTTGTTTCACTTAATTTTTTCTTTTAGTTGAAATTTGTATAAAAAAATTGAAGTAGTTTTGATATTTCTTATATCTCCCTGATATAGAGTATGAGTGGGCAACTGAATTTCAAACAGATACTGAAGACTGTTTGGAATGCAGCATCAAGTGTTATAAAGCTTGTCTGGGTGATGAGGTGAAGAAGGCCAAAGCATTCAAGAGGGGTGTCGGTCAAAAGCTCGGCAATGCTTGCAATGAGCTTGGTGTCTTCTTCATGAACACTGCTGCTAATCTGGCTTCCGTCAAAGGTGAGAAATACAGATATACAACGTTTGCAAGTACAGCAAAAACCTGTCTATAAAGACCGCCCAAGGAGAGCCAATGAAAGTGGTCTTTATAAGTAGTTGGCCTTTATGTACAGGTTCCTTTAGTACAAGTTTCAAAGAGAAACCATATTCAAGGGAAACCAAAATGTGGTCTTTATAGGCAGGTGGTCTTGATATATGTATGGTCACTAAAGCAGGTTTCATTGTATGTTCATGTAAACACTTCAGTATTACCTTTATAGCACTGCACCTGAAAGCCTGAAGCTTGTGTATATAATATTGTTGTGGAACCAGACAAAATTATTACATAGGTACATGTAGTTGCATTGAGGTTCAGGGAATATTCAGTTTATCAACCTTAGTTGTTTTCCTGTTTAGATTTCCTGTGAAGATTAAAAACGATTAATAAGGAAATGTATGAGATTAGCTTCATTTGAGACCAAATGAGCAACTTCTCTGTACTCTCATTCAGAATTAATATGTAAAAAAAAACATGCCTGGAAAAATACCCAATTTTACCTGGCAGAGAATAGAATGGATTACAGTGTAGTTGACATACCGTATGTGTGAACAAAAGGGATATAATTTTCTATCTCTTTGAAATTCAACTTCATTTCCTTGTCCAATGGAAATTTGCTTTGCTCACATTGTACATACAACTTAACATATTATTATAGATACGTGGTATAATTGGTAGGTTTAGAAAACATATTTACTTCATAAAACATTATCACATTTGTATAGAATGGTATGAAATTAGATTGGTGTGTGAACAAGCATGTGTATTCTCTATACTCCTGTTCAGAATCGATGCCCAGTACGTTTGAGCAGGAGCTGTGGAAGGGGAGTTACCGTTGTTTTGACACCGGTGTGAAGTCCTTTGAGGAGGTTTCCGATTCTACCAACGTGGCTCTTCTCAATTGCAACATGGGTCGTCTGATGAGACTCTGCGCCCAGAGCTATGCTTCCGGGGGTAGCATGGGACCAGATGCAGAGTTCAGTACCAAGGAGAAACATTATTATCTGAAGGTATGTCATATCGAGGGGTCAGTGACACGAAGACGTAACTCCATTTTGGCCATTTTGAGAAAAAGGGGTTTATGTGTCACTGAGCACTTGGGCCTTAAGGAGTTAAGTCTATGTTTCACTAGCCATTGACTTCAATGGGGTGTTAGGTGGAGTTAAGTCTTTGTGTTTCCTGGAAAGCCCACATTTTTCTGAACATTTTGATATCAAATACTCATTTTGGCAAAATATTGTCTTTGTGTCACTGAACCCTCGATATGTTCATTTAAATTCAATTGATTTTATTCAATTAATTTAATTACCATTTTAAAATTGTGTATGTATAATAACAGTGGATTAAAACAAAGTATATGCAGCATATTTATTTTTTAAAAATGATCTTGTTTTCTTCAGTAAATGTATGCTCTCTCTTCAGTTCACAGTGTTAAGTGTAAAACTGTTCTAGCCAGCCCCTCCATACCACTGTGTTTTTATAATCGAAGCCAATTCAATTTTTACTTTGCTCTATACAGCACTTCACTCTGATCCATTATCATTATTACTTTATAGAGATCTCACAGTTATTATAACGTTAAATCAAGCCCAACTCTGAATACATTTAAAAGAAGATACAAACAATTACGTTTTTGTGAGTAGTATTTATTTTTAGTTTTTATATATGCAATCAGGTGTTAGATGTTAGGTGTTAGTTGTTAGGTGTTAGGTGTTAAGTGTTATAGGTTAAAATTGTCGCTAGGGACCAGCCCCATACAAGACTTAAATGTTCTTTCTTGCTGGTTCCTCATTCGTATATATATTTGTATTTTATGTTTGTCTTTCGTTATGTTATTTGTATGTACTTTACTTATCTGTAAATATCAATGTTTTAATCATGTATGTTCATTATGACGAATGAAATAAAATGAAATTAAATGAAATGAAATGAAAATTTATTTTGTATTAAATTTTGCTGTATGGATTTCTTTCATGATTATCCAACCCCTCACAGGCGGCGGAGTGTTATGCCAGGGGTCTTCACATCCTGGGGAACAAGAGCGGCCATGTTGCATTGTGGGATTCCATCACGTGGGAGCTGTGCTCGACTTATTTCAACATGGCGTGTCTGTTGCAGGATCAGCCTCCAGTATCCACCTCCAATCTTGCAGAGGTAACATGGATGAATTAAGCCCTGCAAATATGGCTCGGTTAACTGCCATGGTTTACCAATGCAACTTTTTTCAGCGCAGTAGAGTATATTTGTAAAGTAGCTGTGCTTATAAATTTATCTAATTATCATTATTATTTTTTCAAGCATACCCCTCTGCACATTTTTGTGTCTTATAACAGATAGATAAGTGAATTGATAAATTTAGGCTTTTTTAAAGAAATGTGGCAGATTACAATGTCATATGTGAGCGAGAAATGGTTAGGAAAAGGAGACTGCTGGTTTTATTGGAAACTATTTGCGAAATGTTCCTACATTACATGATTATGTTATGAAAATGTATTTTGCTCTAAATAGTCATTGTAATATCTGATAAGGTCAACAGATTGTTGTCCATTGGAGTTTAGTTCTTCCATCTTTGATAGCATGATTTGGCAAAAAAATAAAAATAAACAAAGAAACATAAAAAGCAAAGAAAATACATTGTTAATTCTAAGTACTCACCACTAATACTAATAAAATTTCTGATTTGCTGACGGACATTTTGAATGGGGAATATCATACCTTAATCCCCTCCCCTCCCCACTCTATAGTGAAGTCCCTTGCTACATGGTTACAGTCTTGTCACATACAGGCAATAACGTTATTTCCTACTTTGTATTTTAGGTTGAGAAGGATGTGTTGGAATTCATGAGCAAAGCATTGACTCTGTGTGACACAGAGGAGACATCATCCAGCAGACAACCTCTCTACCAGTACAGGGCAGCTACTATCCATCATAGACTGGCATCCATGTACCACAACTCAATCAGAAATCAGGTTAGTTGGGAAAGCCTCCTCAATTCTCTCTTTGTCTTTTGTCTTTTTTATTGTTGTTATTTTTAATTTCTTATATTAATTTATATTGTAACTTTTGATTTGTGACAGTGATGAAGTGATGAATGAGTTATCAATATCTGTATGTACAGTTGAACTTACACAGGCCTCCAATTTTTTTTCAAGACATTGATGTTACTCTCCCTCTCTCTCTCTCTCTCTCTCTCTCTCTCTCTCTCTCTCTCCTCTCCCTCTCTGTCTTTATGTCTGTCTGTCTGTCACTCTCTCTCTCTCTCTCTCTCTCTCTCTCTCTCTCTCACTCTCTCTTCCAGTCCTCCCACATGAAGAAGAAGCACACTAAAACGCTGGCTGAGCTTCACTACACCAAGGCTGTTAAACTCTTCAAGGAAATGGATCGCCCTGTGGAACTACTGAGAGTGGAGCTGGAGAGGGTGGCATTGCTAGAACATCAGTTTGAAAGTAAGAGTCTCTTCTTATACCCATAACAGGTTTTAATTAACAGTTTTGTAAAAAATAATAAAAAATAAAGAAAAAAATATTCCCATCTTTGAACATTCATGGTTATTATTATTTGTTAATGGTTCACTGTCCTTAACCTTTCTTTAAATGTGAATTTTCAAGGAATACATATATTTAATAAGATTTACAAAAGGATCAGTTGTTCCCAACTGAGTTTCCGAGGCATATTTCTGTAGTGCATTTATATATGTGAGCATTCTAGGCAAAAATTAAACTTCCATACCCTTCCATTTCAATGAGAATAACAAAATCAAAAAATCAAGGCTTTAATTAGCGAGAAGTTACTAACTCATGGATACGGTTATTACTTTATTTAACAGATCAAACAGGAAAAGGACCCAAAGTGAAGACATTAGAAAGCGCGCTTGGCATCATTCTGGATTGCAGTTCTGTTATCCATCAGCTGGAAAAACTGAGCTACAAGATAGTAGCAAAGACTGCAGATACAGAAGACTTGAGTAAGAAGGATATTGTGGCTTCCAACGAAGGAGACGCAGGAGGACGCAGACATCAGAAAGCCATGAAAGGCGATAACAAACAAGATTTTCCTAGAACAGGGCAGAGGAAGCAAGATAGCGGAAGCTGTAGGGATGATGTAAAACAAAAACAACCTAAGGGGAGTGATGAATCTGTAGAAGATGTGAAGCTTGATGTCAGGCTGTCTACTGAGAGACACGGTGATGGTTCGTCCGATGTAAGGCGGCTCGATGTGGGTCAAGAACAGGCAACGACTGCTGAAGATGCGACCTCTGAGAAAGAGACGGACGGAAGTAAAACAATGGAAGAACAGGGCCATGGAGCTGATGGAGACCCTGCACGGGAGGGAGCTGGAGCTGATGGAGATCCTGCACGAGAGGGAGCCGGAGCTGAAGCACAAGGAGCAGTAGGAGGAGCCAGCGGTGGCAATGATGATGGAGCCGTTGAAGGGACGGTAGGGGAGGAGGACGTGGCAGCCGGTACCAAGTCAGAAGTGGATGAGGTCAAGAGACTGCTGACCATCTTTGAGAGTCGTCTCCAGTATGTCCTGCTTCATCTGGTCAAGTTCATGAGTGGTGGCAAGCAGAGGTGAGTAATAGCTAGTATTGATAGGAATACTTCAGTTTGGTAGAACATGTATGAATGTCAAAAGCACTGTCTAAAGTAATTTTATTATTTGCTGCTCTATAATACAGAGAGAATACATGAAGCAATGTAATCTTGGCCATACTATTAGGAACAAGGGTGTTTTACATAATTGCATGGGTTTTGTTGCCTTGGATGTTATCGAGTACTTATTATTTTAATGCATACATTTTACAGAAGTTCAGACTTTTCCTTGAAACATATATGCAGAAGCATTCACTTGATATATTTGATTGTGTAATTATTAATGTCCCCCCCCCCCTCTCTCTCTCTCTCTCTCTCTCTCTCTCTCTCTCTCTATCTGTCTCTCATTCTCTCCTTCTCTTCTTCTCCCTGTCTCTGTCTCTGTCTGTCTCTCTCTCTCCCTATCTTTTGTTCCTATACTTTTGATCTCCTCCCTTCATTATATGTTTCCCTTTTCTATCGTTCAACAAATCCTGATCTCTGTCTTTCTTTCTATAAATCTGTATGAATGTCTCTATCTCTCATTCCTTGTCTCTGTCTCTCTAACTTTCTGTTTGTCTGTCTTTCTATCTCTATTTGTTTCATCTTTGCATTCTATCCTCATCTTTTGCTTTTGTTCTTGCGATGCAGTCCTCAAGACGAAGGCCGCTACAAGAAGATGTATGTAGCATCTCTAGGCAGACATCAGATTCACAGCTCCGCTGACTCCGACAAAGCTAGCCTCAGCTCAAGACTTCAGGATATATGCAATATTTCATCTTCTCATAGATAACAGATGGAGGAATTAAAATGAGAAGTGGAGAGAAAGAGATAACAGATGGAGGAATTGAAATGAGAAGTGGAGAGAAAGAGATAACAGATGGAGGAATTGAAATGAGAAGTGGAGAGAAAAAGATAACAGATGGAGGAATTGAAATGAGAAGTGGAGAGAAAAAGATAACAGATGGAGGAATTGAAATGAGAAGTGGAGAGAAAGAGATAACAGATGGAGGAATTGAAATGAGAAGTGGAGAGAAAGAGAGAACAAGAGAGAGAGTCAGAGAGAGTCAGAGAGATAGAGAAAGAGAGGACGAGAGAGAAAGAGAGAGAGAGAGAGAGACTAGCAAGTGCCTTCAAGGAATTTGATCATAATGTCAATCTCTTCTACTTTTTTGTTAGAAAGAAGCACTAAATAGATATATTTCATTCAGCTTCAGTGCACTTAGAACAGTACATGAGCTACTGGATAATATATTTTTGGCTTTGCACATATATGATAGATATTCCTTTGTGTATGAATGTATTAAGATGGAGAATCAATAAACTTCCAAAATGGATGATTCGTCAAGAAATCATCTCCCTAATAAGATTGTTTGAAAAGTGAAGGCATTATGGTATAGATGTTACCATGCAGTATTCTATCTGACAAGGATTGTTGTTTTGAAAATCATTATGCACATGTGCACCAAAGTGCAATTTATTTCTAAGGTAAATCGTATTCAATGTGTGAAAGCAGTATTTGAAAGCTTTATATCTGTAGTATTGATTTTGAATTCAGCAATGAAAATATCAGGTTCAGGGACTGCATGACCTAAAGCACATCAACCAGTGGTAATGTACTGCTCCTAAGTTGTACTTGTAGTAAAATTAAACCTATGAGAAATCAGAAAATTCATCCTTGTTTATCATCCATAAGATTTCAATACATCATATTCATTATGGGATCACTGTTAATTTGAGCAGAGTCTTATTTGTCAAACTCATGCCAGTATTTGAAACATACAAACATAAATTACCATAAAAAAAATAAAAGGCTGAAACTCATCCTTACGATACTTGCAGAACATGCCAGAAAATTTCAAGAAAAATTTATGTCCTCAGAACGCACCTTCAGTATGTATATACATTATATTTCTATATTTATGCATGAAAAGTAGTTTCCACCATAAATGTGTTATTTATGCTGCATTCAAATTGATTTATTTACGTGTTTATATCATGTCTGTTTTGAGCCACAAGCCAGTTAACCCTCTGCCAGGTGGTCCCCGTATTAAGCCTATTGGAATTAGAGAATTCAGTGGTCAACGGGTTACCCGGGGGGATACTCAGAGTTGGTTTGGAAGGGGGTGTGCCGATCAAGCCTCTAAAACCCCTATCCATTAGGGGGCATTTTGGGGTATTTTTATCCAAAAAAAAACCCATTTTTCAAATTTTGATAAAACAGATCCATTTGTAATGGTATTTTTGTTAAAGTGGGACATTTGTTTAGGGATTTTTTGTGAAAAAGTGACCCCATTAGAGCGGCTTTGGCTCCAAACAGACAATGTAAGAAACAGATATTTTCTTTCCTTTTGTTCTATGCATGACGGGAATACAAAGAGATAATATGCTCTTGTAAGAAATTGAGGGCACAGAAAAGTTAGTATGGTTAGGAGGCAATGTTCAAGTGTCAGTGTTTTTATTATCGCACTATGTAGCTCTTGCCTGCTGTGGGTGATCAATTGTTATTACCCTAGCACAGCTAGGTACCCAATAAATATGTGGAGAGGGACAAACATGGGTAAAACACATTGTCCAAGGCTGTATAAGACCGAGCAAGGATTTAAACCCAGAACCCCTATATGATAGTCAAGAGCCTTCACCAGCATACCACAGAGCTCCAACGATGCCTTTCTACTATGAAGCACTTTAGTTGTTTTTTTTCCTCTAACAAAAATAGGTACCTGCCTCAAGGTTGCGTGGTGAAGCTTATTCCCATGGAAAGATATTTATGTCGCTTTAACAAAATTGATAACAGCAACAACAACAACAATAAAGTAAATTTTAAGCTCACAATTTTTACTCTTAAAGGCAGTAAGTCCTTTTTGCAGACTTGTGCAAACCCATGAAACTTGGTGAGTGTTTAAAATATATCCTTCAGGTATCATGTGTGAAACTTTACAGTCATAGGTTCTGATGCCCTAGACTTCAACTAACTGAAGTCTTTTTTTGTCAACTTTGTACTATGAAATATTCTTTATGCTTTGCAGAATGTTTATGACTAAAGGTCATAGAGCACAATATATTTTCTATTCAAATCAATGTTCCTTTTGTCCAGTGGCGGATCCAGGGGGGGGCCCGGGCCCCCCCCCCCCCCTTGAGAAAAAAATCATGTAAAATCACGTGATTTTTACCTTTTTGGGGGTTGGGCCCCCCCCCTGGCGCTCAAGGGGGGGTGCAAATTGAAATTTTTTTGAGGATCAAAAAAAAAAAAAAATGTGCTCACCACCCCCCCCCCCCCCCCCCCCCCACTGAGCGAATTTTTGGCCGGCGCGTTTTTCAAATTTACGGGAGCAAAAAAAAAAAAAATTGTGCTCTGTACCCCCCCCTCCCCCCTCCCCCCCCCCCCCCCCCCCCCCCCCCCCCCCACTGAGCGACTTTTCGGCCGGCGCGATTTTCAAATTTTCGGGAGCAAAAAAAAAAAAAAAGTTGGGCCCCCTCCCCTAAGAAATCCTGGATCCGCGCCTGCTTTTGTCTCACCAATTCATTTAAAGACGTTTATTTGAATGTTAAGCAAAGGTATCCCATAGGAAAGAAATGAGCCTGCCGCATACTCCTGCGGCAGACTTGCCGCAGATCTGCAGCAGACCTGCCGCAGACAGTCATCTTTTTCACATGCAAATTAGTTTTGCCGCAGACTTGCCGCAGACTTGCCGCATACTCTTTCAGTATGATGAAGAGTCTGCGGCAGGTCTGCCGCAGACATGCTGCAGACTTGCCGCATACTCTTTCAGTATGATGAAGAGTCTGCGGCAGGTCTGCCGCAGACTTGCTGCAGACTTGCTGCAGACCTGCCGCATACTCTTTCATCATACTGAAAGAGTATGCGGCAGGTCTGCCGCAGACTTGCCGCATACACTTTCAGTATGATGAAGAGTCTGCCGCAGACTTGCTGCAGACTTGCTGCAGACCTGCCGCATACTCTTTCATCATACTGAAAGAGTATGCGGCAGACTTGCTGCAGACCTGCCGCAGACTCTTCGTCATGAATATTCATATCTCATATAGACCTGCTTCAGACCTGCCGCATACTCTTTCATATCCAGTATGTGGCAATAAAGTATGCATGTAGAAGAACCAGTGATAAACTGATTGATACTTCATAATCACTATTGGCAATATCGATATTACCAATTAGGTAATACCAATATATATCGATATTACCAATTAGGTATATTCCATTCTCAATTGTATTAACTTCATCACATTGATCATTTGAAGTGTATTCAATAGTAACATTTAAAGTGACACAGGCTCGTACACATATATATACTAAATATGTATATTGTTTCTTGGTTAGTAATCAATATATCTATTGCTTAAACGTGAATGTAATTGTAACATGATCAGACAAAATAATCTATTGGTTAATAATGGCAAAAGGAAAATAGAAATCACAAAAATGATGTGCATTGTCTTAATTTGCTTAACAAATCATGATAAATGTATTTTTCTGTCACACGTGTAAAGTAATAATGAATATGCATGAGATGATTGGTTTCAATTGGCCCTATTAGACTTTAATGGGATTTCCTGTGGCAGACCTGCCGCAGACTGTTCCTGTGGCGTACTGGTATGCGGCAAGTCTGGAGCAAAGTTTCGCCCTGCCGCAGATCTGCCGCAGACTGTTCCTGTGGCATACTAGTATGTGGCAAGTCTGGAACAAAATTTCATCCTGCCGCAGATCTGCCGCAGACTGTTCCTGTGGCATACTAGTATGCGGCAAGTCTGCAGCAAAATTTCATCCTGCCGCAGATCTGCCGCAGACTGTTCCTGTGGCATACTAGTATGCGGCAAGTCTGGAGCAAAGTTTCATCCTGCCGCTGATCTGCCGCAGACTGTTCCTGTGGCATACTAGTATGCGGCAAGTCTGCAGCAAAATTTCATCCTGCCGCAGATCTGCCGCAGACTGTTCCTGTGGCATACTGGTATGCGGCAAGTCTGCAGCAAAATTTCTTTCTGCCGCATACTTCGGCATACTCTTTGCCGCAGACTAAAAGTCTGCGGCAGGTCTGAGGCAGGTCTGCGGCATACTTTTCACTTTCCTATGGGATATGTTTCAGATATGGCATGATACATCTATGTTTATAATACCACAATGACTTATAGAAATCTATATCTTGACCTAATTTTTCTTGGTAGCCCTAATAGTGTACCTTTGATATCAGTGTTCACACTTGAAAATATCACTTTATTTATTGGTTTAGGTACACACTAAATTTTTGAATTTTAAGCCTACAAATACTAAGATATCAAAGCTGTTTGATCCCAGGAATTTTTTTTTTTAAAGAGAACAAGCTATTTTATTGTTTGTGGTTCTGGTTTATTACTTGTTTGGGGTAAATTTTAGGAATAAACATTAAAATTATAGAAAACAAAGACACATGCAGTTCATGACTCACAAATAAAAAACTAAAGAAGTTGCACCATCTGATCTGTCTACTAATAACTACTTGTGATTATTGTCTACCTCGGTCCATTCAAAGTTCCCACCGACATTTGAATAATTTGAATGAAACTGTGTGGGTAATTCAAAACATAATTATATAAACTCTGAATGTAAACATATGTGGAAAAGTATTTCTTTTTTGTTTATTTGGTGCTCTTTTTCATGAAGAATAAACGAACTGACATATTGTAAGCAAAATTATTTTTTTTGCTGTCTGTTTGATTGTTTTATTGATACAGAATTTATAACTTGATCATCAAAAGTGAATGAAATGAATGGATCTGTTTACACATCAGCACAATGATAATCATTATACAAAGTACGGGAAGGCTTTAAAAGAAAACAAAAAGAGATTTAGAGGGAAGAAAGAGAAAGAGAGAGAGATAGGGATGGCAATTAAGGGAGATGGAGATCGAGAGAGAAATACAAGGTGGAAATAGAGAGACAGGGCTTTAATTAACATTGGTCTTATATCTCTCTTTTCCTGATATTCACCATACCCTCTTGCGGCCAGGGAAGGATACTCAAAAATTAGAATTAAACAAGTCAGCTAGTCCACCACTATCAACCCCCCCCCCCCTTCCCCTTAGCCCTTGCATTTTTACGTACGTGACGAGAAAGCTCACCTTTGACCCTTTATCAGTTTACCGGCGATCGAGTGACTTCACGTTTTCCCCAGACTCCTCAAAAATGTATCGATGTCGAGCTGCATTGCAGGGCTTAAGACCCTATTCAAGGAGTATTTCCACATCTTGCAGGAAAGCAAGGCTTCCAAATGGTAAGAACAATATTTAAATACACCATTGAAGAGAATGACATGCATTACCGGCATTGGTATTGACTATTGTGGAGAGAGTCAGAGCAAGCTAGTCCCATTCGTAAGAGAATATGTGTGTAATTTGAAAAGTCCTTTTGGCTTTGGGCTTCTTTTTGGGGGCCCACTCAAGAACAATTCTAGTGTTGGTCTTAATTTTTTTTCATGTTATTAACTCTCTACCAGTCAGAAATGAGCTAAAACTAAGGTAAGTGTAGTCTACATCAAAGTTGGGCAAAAGAAACGACAAAAATATCACAGACAAGTTTAAGACTTAAGTTACTTTTGAAGTGCTGAAGTGGAAAAGGTCACACATAGCTTAGACAGCAATAACCATCTGATTTGGGTCATTTCTTTAATAAAACTGACATTTGTTGTCATTCCCCAATAATCGGAGGTCTAGTGGAGCAAGACGTAGTCTCAGTGGAACAACCGACGATTAGAGAGACTGAAGCTTTCGGTCTATACGTGTTAATACTTTTAGGCAGCATTTGAATACATGAATAGTCAATATACCCACAAAACACAAATGCACACAATCATGCCGATGCGTCTGTCGGCAAGTTTGACAGTAGACTCACAATTTGAATTAGATCTAGGTCTATTCTTTCTTACATCGGAAAGTTGAACAAAATTGTATTTTACTGCTATTTAGATGTCGTCAATCGTAACTAAAATACCCATTTTTAGTGAAATCAGTTGAGTTTCGTACAGTGGTGTTTGAAATGTTGAGAATCAATTGCACAACTTTTAATACACAGCCAGGATAGTAATGCAGCTAGGTGTGATCCTGGCTGTGTATTAAAAACTGTCAAGACAACCTCCATTGATTCTCAATATTTCAAACACCACTGTACAAAACTCGGTCAACTGAGTTCACTCAAAATCAGTGACAATTGAATTGATGACACCTAAATAGCAGTAAAATACAATTTTTTCAACTTACCGATGTTAGAAAGCAATCAAAGCATACTTTGAAAATTCAAATTGTGAGTCTGCTGTCAAACTTGACGATGAGCCACTTCATATTCATCGTGTGCATTACTGTGCAATGTGTGATATTTGTGCAATTGCTGCCTCTCAGCAAGTACAGCACTAGAGGTCAATACGCATTAGCATTGAATTTATGCCTTGCTGGAGTGGAAAAAGTCAAGAAATATTAATCTATTACTAAAATACTAGAATATAGTCCCATCACACACAAACACACAAATCCTGACAATCCTGCTTTCCTTTCTATGAATCAACAAGATAACTAAGTCAGATTTGGTGAAATATCTATCTAGTTATTAATATTAAACAGGGGTTTATTGTAATTTCAATAGGCATTTTAAATAGTCATCATAAACTTGATGAAACAAAATGAAAAATCAGTCAAACGATTTACGATATGGTTGGACTGTTCTTGAATTTGAAACAATTTTCCCTCAAACTGTCAGTCTGATGGCTTATTTTAAACACGATTTTCGAACAATCAATGGTTTGATCTGTAATTTGGTTTTCTCTCTTTCTCTCTCTCCAAAACTCCAGGGGCCCTGCCACGTAATAAGGTGCTGCAAGCCAACACTTCCAGAACGATGGCTCACATTAGCACTGAAGGAGTCGGTAAGAACGGACTGTACTGGGTCATTGGTGGAGCTGCTGCTGTCGTTGCCTCAGCTACTTATGTGAGTATGCATTTCAAAATCAGTAGCAAAGTAACAATCTGTCTTTCTGTGAACAAATGTGATATTTCAGTGTGTTAGGGTAATCTGTTATAACCATTGACCTGAACTTTAAATGAAAATTAGCAGTAATTTGATTAAGGTATTTCAGGGTATCTTAGTCAGCAGTTAAAGCACTTGACTGGAGGTGGGAAGGTTGATGGTTCAAGCCTTTGAGTGTAAACTACTGTTCTTTTGCAAGACATTATTCTACATTTGCCACACCTCAACCAGTTGTTAAGTTGTTACCAGAAGGAATTTCTTGAATGCTGTGAGCACTGAAATCAGTAGCATAGCGGGAGCATATGTGCCAGATATGAGCACTAAAGAAGTATTTAATATAAACATGATTGTTATTATAATCCTTTGGGTTTTTTCTCTTTGTTTTGCAGGTTCAAACCCAGGGTTTAGTAACATGGGGTGGCGAGCCTAAGAGAACCAATGTCAGTTTTGCTCCCACCGGATCTGCAGCAGCCAGTACCGAGGCTGCTCCGGCTGATACAGCACCAGCAGGGAAAGGTAGGTCATGTGTGGTTATCAATTCTGTTGAGTGCCTCAAGGTGTTCTTTGTAAAAAGCGACGTGAAAAGAAACAAGGTATTGTCTTGTCATTGCAATAGACCATTCTTATTAATGCATGCAAATGTACAGATGCTTCTTCTCCAACTGATCAATCATAAACTGTTTTTAATTACTTTACTTCAAAAGTCAGATTGCAGACTGCACACTCGAGTTTATACTATGTCAGAAGAACCTGTGACAAGCTTCAAAGTTGTAAAGCTCAATGTTGCTCGCGAAAGCATTTTAGAAGTAGAATGCATTAAGAAAATAGCCTCTATTGTTTACACTCCAGTTTGTTATGTAAACATAATTGTATGCTATTTTGCTGACCTCCACGTGTGTATTAGAACAAACAAACTGTTGAATATTAGACATCAATATTTGCTTGGCATCAATAAAAGCAAATGGCTCACTTCCATATGTGTGTGTTATACTCTTTTTAAAAATTGCTTTTGATTTATCTTTATCGCTTTGTTGAATTTCCTCTTGCAAACAACACAAATTTATTTTCATTTCCTTACCTATGCATGTTTTTGGTTTAGATAAACCTGATTCTAGCCCTGTGGTGCCTGTAGCAGAGGAAACTGTAGAAGTGGCTGTTGCAGAGGGTACGTCGATATTGCCAGAAACATCTTTTCATACCTTAAATATGTTTGAAATCTTAGGCTTTCTATCCAAAATGTGTAGGAAATGTAGTATTGTCGTCAACATGAATACATAACTATTTGGATGCCTGTGATTTTGTGATTATTTTACCTTATGCTGGTGTTCCTTCTATATAAATGCTTGTTTTTATTTCCTGAAAAAAATGCCCTTTTTCCCAACTTTACTGCACAAATAATTTTAAATCTGTTTACCGGTAATCAATATCTCATTTTTGTAAAATCAGAATGGGTTGTGCTTAATTGACATTAAACATGTGCTTGAATTGAACCTTGATCTATTGAATATTTGTTGCGACTACAAGCCATGGAGGAACTCAGTGATTTATTTGATCTCATAAACCATTTAACTTTGTGACCTCGACTATAAAGCCTGCTTAATTGCTTTAAAAAAAAAAAATCATCTGCAAACAAAAATAAATGCTGCTTGCCTCTGTCTGCATGTCTTGGTTTAGATGAACCAGTTTCTAGCTCTGAGGAACCTGTAGCTGTAGAACCTGTACAAGTTGCTGTGTCAGAGGGTATGTCTTCACCAGGAGTGATCACCTTCAATTTTTTACTGTCTATTCAGAACGCATGCTCTTCTGCTTCCCATTACATTAATTTGGACATACATTCCAGTCACTGTTTATAGCATTAATTAAAATTAAGAAGAAAACAAATATGTAGGAATGCTTGTTCTTTTATAATGGTAGTAACTTTGCTTTGCTTTGCTTTGCTTTTGCACCGAGATGGAAACATCCATTTGGATGCTTTTCATCCTTTCTAAAGATTTTTTCTCAAATTGAAATTATTTAGGAAGATTTTTAATCACTTTAGTCCTGCTCTGTTGCTTTTTTATGCTCTCTGCAAACAAAAATATATTCTGCTTGCCAATGCAAATTTTGATTTAGATGAGCCAGTTTCCAGCTCAGCTGACGTAGTTCCTAGCACAGAAGAAGCAGTTCCTAGCACCGAAGAAGAAGTTCCCAGCACACCTGAAGAAGTTCCTAGCACAGCTGAAGAAGTAGTTCCTAGCACGGCTGAAGTTGTTCCCAGCACAGTTGAAGAAGTTCCCAGCACAGCTGAAGAAGTTCCAAGCACACCTGAAGCAGTTCCTAGTACAGCTGAAGTAGTTCCTAGCACAGTTGAAGAAGTTCCTAGCACACCTGAAGAAGTTCCCAGCACACCTGAAGCAGTTCCTAGCACAGCTGAAGAAGTTCCTAGCACAGCTGAAGCTGTTGCTAGCACAGAAGAATCAGTTGCTAGTACTGAGAAGCCTTTAGCTGAAGAAACTCCAGCTGTAGAAACTCCAGCAGGAGAAACTCCAGCAGTGGTTGTTGAGGATGGTAGGTCGTCAATGGGGAGGATAACATCACTGCTTCACATGTCTTGTCATCTTAATTCTCTGCACGCTATCTCCTGGCTTTCCATTCGCTCTAATACCTCATCTGCTAATGGTGTCCTTGGGTACATTGCTGTCTCACAACAAAGCTCTCTTCCTAACTTTCATGACCTAATGACATATTTTATTATTTTTTACTCACATGGGTATTTATGTTTACATTGATTGCTAACAGTGGCTTCTGCTTTATAACTTTTTCCATACTTACACCTTTTCTTGTTGGTGTGTGTCTCTTTCAAAGTAGATGTATATCAACACTAAACATAACATTTTTCCCCCTTATTTCTTTCTTCTCATTTTATTCATTTTGTATTCTTACCCTTACAGCACATGATTTCTCTATCTAATATCACCTTTGATCTTCCATTTCTTTAGATCTGATGTAATCTCTAATTCAGATGCTGTCATAACCTATGGAATACTGTCTGTGTGTTTTATGACCAACATTTCACCCTTTCTTGTGAAATAACCTTTTGTCCATGTTTTGTCATCTAATATCACCTTTGATCTTCTATTTCTTTAGATCTGACGTTATCTCTATTTCAGATGATGTCATAACCTGTGGAACACTGTCTGTCTGTGTATACCATGACCACCATATCACCCTTTCATGTGAAATAACCTTTGTCCATGTTTTATTATTGTTTTATCTACTGCAGTACATGTGTATCATACTACCAGTAGATGTAAATTATTTATATTCCAGAAACCTTCATGCATTGGTAAAGTGGTATGTATGTCATATGTATCTGGTACTGATTGTGGGCCTTGATAATGTAATTCTTAAAACATAAAACATGTTGGTCTCATTTTTCAACTTGAAAAATTGATTTTCAATGTCTTTCCATGGTAATTCCATGGGGTTGGGTAAAAATTGTGACATGAAGTTGCAAAATTCAAAGTTGGTGAATAATTCTTTAATTGTTATATCCCGTTTCTGACACCAATCCTTCAATAAATTCAGTTGCGATTGTGTGTATTCCTTTATCACACTTTCATTTAACATGAAAAAAACACACACAACAAAATACCAACGTTACATGGACATCTTTTTTTGCTTGCTCATTTATTTTCTGATCTGAAACTGTGTCAGTGTGTACTCCACTTTTTTTGTGTGTGGCAAACATTAAAATGATATTTTCAGATCATGTTTTTTTAATCTAAAGGGTAATCTTTTCTCTTACCTATAATATCTTGGCTACATTCTAAGAAAAGTGCTAATCAATTGCAGCATGAAACATTTAATTAGATGTCACAAATGATAGGAAACCTGCAAGATTTATAACTATATGCACCTCAACAGAGGAGTTACCAATGTTACATGGACATCATGTCCGAGTAACATTGGTATGATATTAGAGTAACTATCATCTTACTCATTGAAACATGACAGACTACATCAAATGTCATCTGAAATATATTTCACCTATTGATCAGTAGATAAATGATTTTAAAAAATAGTCATACAAGAGGTATAATGATAAAATGATTAAATTTGTATCTTCTTCTCGTCTTTAGTTAAAGTTGAGCTCTAGGCCGGAGCTGAATCTTCAGAGGAGGTGCAGGAGCCATGATTGAAATCGATGCGGCAATCTAAAAAATGTGTATGAAAAGAAATAAATAAAAACAAATGAGAAGAGAATATTAAATGCTATTAAAATGAAACAAAACTGTAAATTGCTTCTGTGACTTTTTATTGCGATGTGTGTTCTGTTTGCTTAGTATTTCTATCTAGATCTGTTGTGAAATCACATTAAAAGAAGAATGGAACTAACTACACAGAGGGTTGCAAGATGGGGAGGTGGAGGAGGTGGAGGCATCATGCTCACTTTTGGCTTGGTGCATGCCCAAATAGATGTAGACTCCAGGTAGATTTTTGGAGCAAAATATTGACTTTTCATTTTGTTGAATTTTTGTGAAATTATTAATTTCTCTGGGGGAAGGGTAGGTGCTTTCCCCCTTGGAGGAGGGGGGGGGGGGGGAGGAGGGGGCAGAGGGAGCCACATGGCAAACGTCAAAAATTATTTATTCAAAAATAAAAATTGGCGCATTAGACATTATAATTGAATGGGGGTGGGGTGGGGAGCCACATGCCCTCTCTGCTTTCTTCTCCACTCTATCTAAACCCCAGTTCACTTTTTTTAAGCCTGTCGGGTCTTAGATTTTACTTCCCTGTTTGGTGAAGGAAACAATAACTTGTGTTTTTCTTTAGCTATCATATCGTAAATTGATACATTTAATGAAACAGTTTAAATTCTTAGGTAAAGGAACATTTATATCTTTAAGCATGTTTTTTTATTCTCAAAATTCAAATTTTATCCATGAAACTAGCTATACTGGAAAAAATATGATATTGATTTTGCATGTTTTGTTATGAACAAAAACATCAAATACAACAGTAAAAATATTCACCCGCATGTAATGTTTTTAAGTAAAAAAACACAATTTTAAACAAAAACGAAAAATTTTGGACAGAAAAAAAAAATTATGTACCAATTTTGGCACTTACAGACAAAAATGGCAACGTTAACGTGGTTGCAGTAGGGGGCATCGCTAAGGGGGGGGGTGCGACACCCTTCCCCCCCCCCCCCACCTATCGGGATATTGTCGGTAAAATTGCGCTACCATTAGGAAAGAAAAAAAGGAAAGAGGAGAAAATGAAACAAAAGAACAGGGGGTGAAAGGGAGGAGAGAGAGGGGGTAAGAGCATGAGAGAGGAGGGGGTGGGAGTATGAGAGAGAGGGGGGGGTCGTTGGGTGGAGTCATCTTGCCAAGGTGACACGCTTGCACCTTACCTATTTGTAATAGTCCTCGATTATGCCTTGCGAGCAGCTATAGACGGCCATGAAGAAGAACTTGGATTCCAACTAGAAAGAAGGAGAAGTAGGAGAGTTGGTCCGGAAATCATAACAGACCTAGATTTTGCCGATGACATAGCCCTGCTATCTGAGGAATTAGAGCAAGCCCAAAAACTCCTGAGCAGGGTGGAGACATCGGTAGGCAAGGTCGGGCTCCGGATGAATTCAGGCAAAACCAAGTTCATGTCATTCAATCACAGGGGGATCATCACTATAAAAACAAATGATGAATTTCAGTTGGAGAATGTCCCTGATTTCAAGTACCTGGGAGCACTGATGGTGAGCACAGAAAAAGATGTGAAAGCTCGTAAGGCAGCAGCATGGAGAGCGTGTAGCAAGCTTGGAAGAATCTGGAAATCTTCTCTTCCCAGGCAGTTCAAACAACGTTTGTTTGTTGCTACAGTTGAATCTGTGCTGCTTTACGGCTGCGAAGCATTGGCAGTTACAACAAAGTTGGCAAAAGAATTAGATGGTTGCTACACCAGACTTCTTAGGACAGCATTCAACGTGCACTGGAGCCAGCATATGACAAATAAGGAGCTATACGGGAATCTACCAAAAGTATCAGAAAAGATCAGGGAAAGAAGACTACGTTTTGCAGGCCACGGCTGTAGGAACATCAATGAACCAATATCTCGGCTTTTACTCTGGAAACCTAAACACGGGAAGAAGAAACCTGAAAGACCTCATCTTACCTATACAGACCTACTCAAGAAGGATACGGGACTTGAACTGTCAGAGATAAAAGCAGCCATGCTGGACAGGAATGTGTGGAAGGCCATCACAGCTCGGGCAGTTGACCCGACTAATTAAGCTAAGCAACTTAAGCAAGTAAGCATCTCGTCAAGACCAAGGAGCAAGAAAGATATGCATAGAAATATTGCCGTGTCGGGTCAGCTGTGTCGGTATTCTTGCACGATCCCTGTGTACTATATTAACGCAGAAATTTGAAGTCTGTGAAATGTATAATGTCGGTCGGCTGGCGAATTTTTTTTCCCCTACGAAATGTCTTTTTATCCGCTATGACGACTTCGAGAGAGACTACAACTATAATACTTGTATTTTATATTTCTTTTCCACCATAGCATCCCCTGCTGATGTACCACCACCTGTCGTCCTACCAGAGATCCCTGAGCATGCCACATACCTCTTGATTGGAGCCGGGACTGCATCATTTGCTGCCCTCAGGGCTATCAGAGCCAACGATCCCAAGGCAAAGGTAAGTGGATTACTATCAATCTCAATCTCTGCTAGCTAACACGTAGGGGTTGGCACATATGATTTTTGCCCTTTTTGTGTCAACAAGTTTTTGAACAGTTGTCATAAATGAACTCCAAGATAGTAGTTTTGAATTGAAATGCTTTGTTTCTTTGTTGAAATGGCATTAAGTAGCTTCCATAGGAATAAACTTTACAATAATGGTGCATAAGAAGAAAACAAAACCATACTTTAAATCCAAATATATTGTGCAATACTTCAATTCTGTGGCAGTATTCGCCACACATGCATGGATGGGCTTAACAGGCAACTGATACAAGTTTTTATACAAATTAACGACTGAAAGTGAATTATGTCTCAAGAATGAAAATGAGTTATGGGTAGTGGTGTTTTGTATTTTTATTTTAGTTGATAAATCTGTGTTATTTTTGTACAGGATCAGAGGTTAGTTGATACTTGGCATTGGTAAAAAAATTAGTAGAAAAATGTGACACACTTCGTCTTGCTTGAAAACCAGGCTTTTATATAGCCTGCTTCCAAAGTACTGGCCAATCAGTTTTTGTTCAATACTGTAAGTTTTATACTACAATGCTAAGATGAAAAATATATTATTTAATACATGTATTTTTATTTTCATTCTGCCTATCTCAAGGTCTTAGTCGTTGGAGATGAGGAAGCCACACCTTATATGAGACCACCCCTCTCAAAAGAACTCTGGTTCAGTGATGACAAAGAAGGTGTCGAAAACCTCAGGTTCAAGCAGTGGAACGGAAAAGAAAAGAGGTGGGTCGGTCATACGATAAAGAGGTGTAGTTGTCTTTAATTGGTCACTGTCACTGGGGTATAGGCCACTGCTTTTTATGCCTCCGCCACCGAAGGTGGTGCCGGAGGCATCATGTTTTCGGGTTGTCCGTCCGTACGTCCGTCCCGTTTGACCGTTATCACAATATCTCAAGAACCATTTAAGATTTAAACTTAAGACTCTGGAATAGTATTTATCACCATAGGAAGACGATCTGACTAGATTTTGGAGTACGTAGGTCAAAGGTCACAGGTCACAGAGGTCAACTTATGAAATTCCTTGTATTGAGTTTGTTAGCGCGATATCTCAAGAACCATTTGAGATTTAAACTTCAAACTTAAGGATAGTATGTATCACCATAGGAAGACGATCTGATTAGATTTTGGAGCACGTATGTCAAAGGTCAAGGGTCACAGAGGTCAACTTATGAAATTCCATACATTGAGATTGTTATCATGATATCTCAAGAACCACTGGAGATTTAAACTTCAAACTTAGTGATAGTGTGTATCACTATAGGAAAACAATCTGATTACATTTTGGAGCACGTAGGTCAAAGGTCAAGGGTCATAGAGGTCAACTTATGAAATTCCATACATTGAGATTGTTATGATATCTCAAGAACCACTGGAGATGTAAAAACTTCAAACTTAAGGATAGTATGTATCACCATAGGAAGACGATATAATTAGATTTTGGAGCACGTAGGTCAAAGGTCAAGGGTCACAGAGGTCAACTTATGAAATTCCATACATTGAGATTGTTATCATAATATCTCAAGAACCACTGGAGATTTAAACTTCAAACTTAATGATAGTGTGTATCACCATAGGAAGACAAACTGATTAGATTTTGGAGCACGTAGGTCAAAGGTCAAGGGTCACAGAGGTCAACTTATGAAATTCCATACATTGAGATCGTTATCGCGATATCTCAAGAACCACTGGAGAATTTTCACTTCAAACTTAATGATAGTATGTATCACCATATCATAATATCTCAAGAACCACTGGAGATTTAAACTTCAAACTTAATGATAGTGTGTATCACCATAGGAAGACAATCTGATTAGATTTTGGAGCACGTAGGTCAAAGGTCAAGGGTCACAGAGGTTAACTTATGAAATTCCATACATTGAGATTGTTATCATGATATCTCAAGAACCACTGGAGATTTAAACTCCAAACTTGTTTAAATTGCTCTATGGCGGAGGCATCATTTTCGACTGCGCGCAGTCAAAATTCCATCTAGTTAATTTTGTTGTTCTTGGCTTCTCTTTGCTTAACTACGCTTGATGGAGCATGCATCAATTGGACAATTTACTTACTTGCTGGCGTTCATTCTACCAAGAAATCAAATAAGCCTTTTACTAAAGTTTCACTTAAATGACTAGTTAAATTAAAAATAGTGAGGGCAGAAATTTACATCAGTACTCAAACTTATGAAGACAAATTTACGTTTTGTTTGTAATCTGATTTTCTTTTCCTCATTAGCATTTTCTTTGAGCCGGATGCTTTTTACTGCAAGCCATCTGAACTACCAACAAAGGAGAATGGAGGAGTCGCAGTACTCAAAGGGCACAAGGTAAATTCAAGGTTCAAAGTTATTTTCAATTACACGATCAAGCAGGTGATCTTTATTTACTGGGTGCAAGCCAAAACAAAAAAATTGAAATTACTCCCAGGAAGCCTAACATTCAAAGTTATCTTGTTGTAAAGTGCACTGTAAGAACAAAATGTTAAGGAAGCATAATTGATAAACAAGGCATGTCCATTTGTTTGAATTTGATATGGTTATGTTAGTTTGAATGGTGCTTATTTAATTTTGAATGTTTATATTCATTAACTAATTGTGCAGATTGGTCTTCATTGGATACTTATTCATTTAGTTATTTATTCAAACATAAATATAGAACAGATATATAACTTGTAGAAGTGTTCTACATCTCAGTCCTGGTGCTCTGATCACATACACAAATTTAATTTAAACTCAACTTTAAATGATAATATTTTGATTACTTGATCTCTATCACGATGAAATTGAATTTAAACTAAATTTTAACTGATGATATTTTGGTTATTTGATTTCTATATTTTAACTTGTTACAGGTCAAAGGACTCAATGTGCAGAAGAAGCAAGCAACTTTGGAGGATGGATCTGTCATCTCCTTTGACAAGTGCCTTATTGCTACAGGTAAAAGAGGGGAATTTGATTCTTACTTTGCTGCTTAGTCTACAAATGACTATGTTTGAATTCTTTGTCTTGTTTGTACTGCACAAACTTTGCAATTCATATACCGGTTTCTGCTTCTGTAGTTTTGAGTTGGAAATTCTGGAAAGCAAATGTGCTGTCAATCCTCATTACCAAGTCCTTTGGAGAGGACTTACAGCCCATACTTACAAGCATACACATGCTTTCTTAGCAGTTAGGTAAAACAAACCAACCAACATAGGTTATTGTTCCACAGCCTCTTTCATCTAATACAGCCAAGTTTACAGTGTATATGTCTTCAAAGACAAATATTTGAATGCCTGTATGTCAACTTACCAAACAACCTTTTCACTGTTAGGTGGTGTTCCAAGGAATCTCAGGTCAATAGAAGAGGCTGGGTCAGAGGTCACGGAGAGGACAACACTCTTCAGAAATGTGAGTATCATCTATAAATACAAATCCTGTTTTTTTTAACAAGTATACGATTCATGGAGGATATTTTGAAAGTCATGAAAGCATCATTTCAATCCTTGGCAGATACAGTGAAACCTGAATATAAAGACCGCTCAAGAAAAGTGGTCTTTATATGCAGGTTATCTTTGTATACAGGTGGTCGCTATTAAAAGCGTGTTTGACTGTAAAAAGAATGCAGTACTGTACTTTGCTGTAACTGTTAAAGACCACTAAAAATATGATTCAGGTACAGTGCAAAGGCATTTTACCTGAATATGAAAATGGAATTGTCAAGAAGGAGATGTAGTATAGATGCCCGCTTAAGTGAGTTGTGTTTAATACAACAACATGTCTTCATTATTGTGGTTAAAGACCACAAAGAGATGCACTCATCATCACCTCCAAGTTTCTATAAAAAGTTGATAAGAATGACAAAACCTGTCCCTTATTGATCTAAGGATATAGGCCCATTTGCTCATGGAAGATCATCTGTAGCAAACCTGCCAAAGCATCAGTTGCAATAGTTAATTGATGAAATTGGTTAACAATATGTGATATTATTGTGAGTAAATACTTTTGCCCAAGGCTTAGAAACCATAGGGTAGCTTTTCTATCACACACAACAACTACAAAGTAACAGTTAACAACTAAATTATTCACACCCCTTGTAAATTTGATGGGGTTTGGAGGTGTTTTTTTTTATAACTCAAGAATAAAAGGTGGACTGGTTGAATTAGGCCATTTGTTGAGTACTTCTTATAGATGTAATATTTAATATGTCACAGTCTCAAGAAACATGAACAAGGACAAATCAATTTTTCTCTTACTTAAAAAATTACAAAACTTTGTAAGGGTATGAATAATTTAGTTGTTAATACTGTATGTGTAAACCTAAATCATAATCTCAAAACAAGGGTACAGTGAAACCTGTCTATAAAGACCACCAAAGAGAGACAAGAAAAGTGGCCTTTATAGGCAGGTGGTCTTTGTAGACAGGTGGTCACTAGAGCGAGTTTGACTGTATTATTGTTTTTTGTCTTTTGTGTTAGATCAAGGACTTCAAATCCTTAGATAAAGCGACCCAGGATGCCAAATCTGTGGCTATCATTGGAGGCGGATTCCTGGGCAGCGAACTGGCATGTGCTCTCGGCAAAAGAGGTAACTTTATTGTTTTCATTCGTTGAAAGCTCCTTGAAACAGTCAATGCATGCTGTACATATAGCAGAGTGCTGAGAATGTAGTTCAGAGGTAATATTTGAATATGTTAGTTTTTTGCCTACTTGTACAGTTTTAACTAATAAATTAAAGATTTTATTTGTTTTTTACACTTGGAGAAGGAAGATGTTCTTTGTTTAAGGTGAACAATGATAATACATAGAGGTTGTAGAAATTTATAAAATGAGGTTTTCATAAATGTTGTTGTTTGATGCTTGGATGGTATATGATTGTAAAATGGAATTCCAAGTGAAAGCCTTAAAAAATCTTTTCATAAACATTGGCCCAATACTTCTATTAAAATTGAGCACTTTTACAAATTTCGATGTCGCAGTTGTTTTCTGTCTTAATATACCAATGGTACAGTTTTATTCCGAGAGCAATATTTATTTCTTTTCTTTCTTTTCTTTCAGGGAAAGATACTGGAATGAAAGTCATGCAATTCTTCCCTGAAGCAGGTAAGACAATGCTATTGTTTTTTGTTTTTTGTTGCTTATAATAATAATGATTAAGAGCATTTGTAAGGTGCCGAATCCATTTGAAATCTGATGCTCAAGGCAAACTTGCGAAACAAATACCTCAAAAATGGAATCACATAAAAGTATCTGACTAAGATTAAGGAACATAAGTTAGAAAGAACATACTCAAATAGCAGGACAATTAATTATTACAACCAATCACAAGTTGTGAAAATATTGTGCAGCCCCAATATGAAATTTACTTGTGTGAAAGTATGTCCCAGGATCACGTTGTATTTTCACTCGATTGTGAGGCTTACTATGTGATATAAAGGATTCTCTTCATTTTTAAAAATATATTTTCTTCTAATGTAGGCAACATGGGCAGAGTTCTACCGGAGTACCTCAGCAAATGGGCCACAGATAAAGTATCAAATGGTAAGTGAGAAGGAGTAGTCTCATAGACTTTCTGCATCTGTACTTGTGCCCTCATAGTTCTGTTTACAAAAAAATTGAAATACCTTGATGTCACGTACTGGGATGTCAATGTACTTGACACAGCTACTGAGCAAAGAATCAAATGAACATTTAGCTCATTCAGTGAACTGTTGCTTTGATCAATAAGTCATGTTATGATTTTTGATTTAACTTCACCTTCTTTATTTTCTGTTTCTATCAGCTATCCGTTCTCGATAGAGGAGAAGCAGATTCCTAGTGATGAAATGGGAAAATATAACCTTTTTACAAAGGCTGTGACTTGTCATTCGTACTATTTAGTTGTAAATAACAAGGATTTTGTTCCTTTAAGTTGGTTTCTTTGCATAGGGTTTCTAAGATTTTATAGATATAGTTATTAAACAACTAAACTATTCATACCCCTTGTAAATTTGATGTTTTATTTTGTAGATTGTAAATCAAGAATGAAAGGGGGACTGGTTGAATTAGGGCCTTTGTTGAATATTTTTAGATGTGAGCTATAATGTGTCGCATTCTCAAGAAACGTTAATGAGGACGCATCAATTTTTCACATACTTAACTTGGTATTGGGGTATGAATAATTTAGTTGATAACTGTATTCTCTGATTGTTTTTTTGATTTCTCTATCTCAGAGGGTGTTGAGGTTCATTCAGACATGTTTCTGAAGAATGTCTCCTTCAATGGGAAATCCAAGCAAGTAGAACTCCAATTCAGTAATGGTGATAAGGTAGGCTCATCAAATTGTTTTTTGTAACTTGCCTCTGTGTCTTTTACAGACGTGTATCAATCAGATATGATTGTTTACGTTAGGGGACCGACCTTTAACGTCACCATCCAAAAGACGTGACTCAGTTTCGAACCAGGGTTGCCTGAGCCAGTTTGTTGGCGTAGACAGAGAGCTGACCAACTCACATCTCCCTGAGAAGTTTTGAACAGTATATTGATCGTATGGTTCAAAGTCTATCTTGCAGACAAGACGACATATTTCTCGCTGCAAATATACATGAAATATATTGCTTCCTTGCTTGTTTAGTGTCTTGTTCTTTTCCAGACATTGGCAATAAAGGCTTTCCATCTACTTCTATCTCTGGTTCTTTCTATAAATATAATATATAATTGTGTGGAATCTTTAATAAGTCTTTCATAACAGCTGGAAATTAAACCCTGTTTGACAGTTAGAAGTGAACTAGTTTTGTTTATATTTTATTTCATTCAATTGTGTTCCAGCTTGATTTCCTAGAAAGAAATTTGAAGTGTTTTCATTTTTTATTTGAATAAATATGAGTTTGTTTTCTTGTTTTAATACTACGCTGCTCTGTTCTACTTTGACTGTCTGTTACAAGTCATGTCACTTATGGTATATATAATACATGTAATAATATTACATTCATAAAGCACCTTTTCATTAGATACACAGGGCATATACAAGAAGTATGGTAATTACAAGCAAACAAGGAAAGAGAACATTATCATACAAAGCTTATATTAATTACAAACAGAGAGGAATATTGCAACAGATTAGAAAAAATGTGGTTTCAAACACCTCTTGAAAGTTGTGAGATAATGGTAATTCTTTAGTACCTATGAATTTAAATGTGAATTTTCCTATTATTATTAATTTCATTTGATATTAGGTCCAAGCGGACCATGTGGTGGTAGCAGTAGGACTGGAACCCAACGTTAACCTTGCGGCAAGCTCGGGGCTAGAGGTCGATGAGAAGTTTGGAGGTTTCAGGGTCAATGCTGAATTAGAGGCCCGTAGAGACGTGTGGGTGGTGAGTGGAGCAGCCTTCTTTCTGCTGGTGTCATATGAGACGCCAACATGAAATACCGGCCAGGGCTGAAATCATTTTCTAATTATACTCAATCTCTGGCTTCCAAACATTTTTATTTGTGGATGCTAGAAACAACATTGATTAGAGCTGTAAAGGATATCCAATGTTTTAGTGAATTTGAATCCAATAGTAATAACTTTATTATTCTAATCCATACTTGTATGGATTACAGTTTAGCAGCTCTTTTATCATAAAAAAGCAACTACAAATAATGAGTTATTTGCCCTCTATAATATACATTTTTTTTCTCACAAATTTAGCATAAAGTTAACTACTGTTATGACACACATAATGCAGGTCAAATTCTGTACTGGTCTTTCCCAATGCCCTGAAATATAAAATATTTGTATCTTGTGAAAAAAGAAAGAATTGAGCAATTTTTAATATTTTTTTTACCTGGTACTTGCAGAATTTCTCATATGAAATTATTCTGCTTCCAGCTGGCGGAGAACAAATCAACCCAATTTAGTGTTGATAAAAAATTAATTCTTCCTATCCTACTAGCATAGGCTGTTTCCTGTCAACGCATTTAACTGAATTTGATGTATAATTGAATAGTTAAGAAGAAAGGGAAGACTATCCCTTTAAAGCCCCACTGCACTACTTATAGCTACTTGCACGCTCTATATAGCCAACAATGCCGAAGCGGTACCCGTTGGTCCCCCATGATCCTCTTTTTCTTATGTTAATTGTGAGCTGAGTTGATGACATAGCCACCTGTCAGTGACCACGCTGGGTGGTCTAATCCCTCCTGGCCAAACTAGTGCAGACAGGCTTTAAGAGTAGTCTCTTGTACTCATTTGATAGGCTGGTGATGCATCATGCTTCTATGACATCAAGCTTGGGCGTCGCCGTGTAGAGCATCACGACCATGCTGTAGTGAGTGGAAGGCTGGCCGGAGAGAACATGACTGGAGCTGCGAAACCCTACTGGCATCAATCTATGTTTTGGTGAGATCTTACTTTCAAGAACTGAATTGAACGATTCATTTATAACAGTTTTCTTGTGTAAGGGCTTTTTTCAACCAGCTCATATAGAATGTAAAACACACAGAACACATTACCCTCACATTTCTTCTTTTTTAGAGATTGTGTAGCGTGTTTATTGGAACCACAGTTTGTATGTTAAACAAGCTCTAATAAACTTGAATACTGTGTACTGGTAATCAAATTTGTGTGTGTGTGTTTATGTTTTTGTAAATGAACTTCTATTTTTTGTTTTGTTCTTTCATTGTAGAGTTTGGTGCAAACTATCTCCTGTGGTATACAAATGTTATGATTCATTATATAGAGTATCTCTTTGTGTTTTACGAATCATGAACAAGCTATTTTACAGTGTAGTACAAAATTCAAATCCTGAAAAACATTTGCTTTTAAAAGGAAAGGAAAGTTTATTACAAACATATCTTTGTCCTTTTTTTAAATTTCAGGAGTGATTTAGGCCCAAATGTTGGGTATGAAGCCATCGGTATCGTTGATTCCAGTCTACCAACCTATGGTGTGTTTGCTAAGGCTACAGCTGAGGATACACCCAAAGCAGTCGTAGAAGCGACAGGAGAGGGAATCCGCTCAGAAACAGAACAGGTAAATATCAATATTACTATACCCTCATCTTCAGACATTCTTTTTCAAGCTTAAATACTATATTGTAAACATGACCAAAGATTATTATTTCTTCACGTGTGTTTCCACTTAGAGGCTAGATCGTCGATTTTTTATACAAGGCTAAGAGATCTTATGTGCCCTATGAAATTCCAATATACAGTACATGTTTCTTTTGAGAAGCAGACATACCCAACCACATTCTAGTGATTATTAGCTAATGGTCTATCATACCTTGTTTGTTCGGTTTAAATTGAACAATGAAAATATTTACTTTCTTATAATAAATGTACTCACCATGTTCTACTCTTCCATTTTCTCATCACTCTCTCTGTCCATTTCTGTCTCTCTTTGCCCATTATATTAATATCACTCCTACCCTCCCCCCCCCCCCCTCTTGTCTCTCTTTTTCTCTCTCTCTCTCCTTTTCTCTTTCTTGTTCCGCAGGCTGCAGTAGAGACCACTCCATCACCTGCTGCGAGTCCGACTACCTCCGAGGATTACGGAAAGGGTGTCGTATTCTACATGAAGGACAAGGTGGTAGTTGGCATGTTGTTGTGGAACATCTTCAACAAGATGCCCATTGCAAGAAAGGTAGGGATATACTGTAAAGCCATTTGTCAGTTTACCTCATGAGAACGAGAGAGAGATAGAGAGAGAGAGAGAGTTCCATATGAAGAAAGTGTGATAATCAAGACTCACTTGAGAGCTCATAGGTAGAGCAGTGGTCTTGTAATTGGGAGGTCCCGGATTCGAAACCAATTTGATGCGCTAGTGCCCTTTGGCAAGGCATTAATCCTCATTACCAAGTCACTCAGAGAGGATTTATAGCCATCAGTCCCCTGGTCGCTTACTTGCGAGAAAACACATGCTTTCTTAGCAGTCATGAAAACAAGCAAACCAACAAACTAATATTCCTCGCACTGTATGATCATTAGAACTTAAAGAAATAATGGATCTTTGGGGCTAGATGTATGTGGTTTTGCAAAGATATTGAATCTCATTTTGGAGTTACATACTAAATATCAATATAATATTGATAATTGACCATTTCATACTTCTTAACATCAACTTTCAAGTGACCCTTATGAAACATTTGTTAGTTCTTGCATAATGGCAGGGCCCTCGGGGAGAACAGTATTAATACTGATGATGCAACCTTACCTTGGGTAAACAAGACATATTATTATCATTATTATTATTCTTTCTCTTATTTTAGGTGCTCAAGGATGGTCAGGAACACGAGGACGTCAGTGAGCTGGCCAAGCTCTTCAACCTCCACCAATCAGAAGAGAGCTGAATCCCATCAAACATTCAAGCAAATTAGAATATTATAGAGTTATACGAAATATAATTGCAGAGAATTACCATGTAACTGAGCACACCGGGTGTCTTCTTCAGTATTATCAAGGGTTTTGTTTCTTATGGAAGTGACCAAAGCCTTGTAAACTTTGCAGTAAAACTGAAAAAAAACTTAAAATGAACACGTTGTAGGGCATTGTTGTAGTTTAACATGTGGTTGGAATATGTTAAAGACAAGACCTTCAAAGGACATTTTCCAACCCCCTTTTCTCTTCCTTTGCTCCTGTATCTCCACTTCTTTCATTCTAACTACACCATCAACAATTTATTTCACTCCCCTCTTTATTTGCAGTCATTTTGTGTTTGTCTTCTTTTTGAATGTTCACTTGTACTTGTACATTTTGTGTCTTGTTGAAAGGATAATGTTACTAGAAATTTACCCTGTACAATCCTTAATTTTGGAAAACAGAAGGATTATCAAGCAATACAAGTTCTCTTCTTTTAACCCATGTGTGTGATCTGCAAGTCATAAAATGACAGATTGTATTGAATGGGTTATAAGTATTTTGAGAACTGCAAAATAAAGAGGAATTCATACATTTTAACTCCAGACAATAACACCTTCAAATCAATCACACGGTATCATTATCATGTCCCTACAAGTATTCAGTAACGAAATTGATGTATGTTTTAAATAATGGTCACTAAATCATGTGTTTTTGCTAATTCTGTGCCTTGAATCATATATGTGTGATGTTTCCGATGTGAGGATTGTTTGCAATGTATAGTGTATCGGCCACTAAAAGTGGCATATTATTCCTGCCATGATTGCCTACTATATTGCATGAAGAAAGGCTATCAGTGTCATTTGGACCAGTAAAAATATGAATCTGATTATGAGGTCATTAATCATTTCTCTGTACAGAATAAAGAGTCAAAAAGTCAAAAAGAAAAAAAATGTATCATTAAAAAAAAAAATCTGTGATCTTGGCTTGTGTCGACTCGATCACCCTAAAAAGCTTGAATACTGTTATACCGTCTCTTGATAGAGCCAGATGGATGTATAGGAAGTATAGTACAGGACTTCATATCCTTTTGGCTCTATAAAAGCAGACAATACATTGTGAGATTTTACTCTGTGGAAACGAACTGTGCTTAAAGTCATTCAGAGTACGTTTATGTAATGTACACACTTATATTTGAAGAGATAAGATTTTATTGAATAAAATCAAGATAATTGTTATCTGATTCATTTGTATTATACATGTATTTTCATTTGTCTCATCAATGCTATAAATAATGCTGTTATACATAACAAAAGAAATATAAATAACATAAATGATGTACATAATATTAAACATTAACGAATGTCTTTGGACAGTATTAAGATAGACAATTTCAAATGATCAAAATTTAGATTTAATGCAGAGCATACTTTCAAAAAAGTCTAATACAAACTTCATGCAGTTTCCCCAAAAATATTTTTTCTTTAAACATTGTATTTCAGACTTTTTAAGGCGTATTTGAATTAATGCAACTTAAATACATATTAGAAAAAAACATAAGACTTTACATTATATGTTTTAGAAGCCTACAATGATATTTCAACACAAATTACTTAATAACTGCCCGCTGCGCTTTTTTTATCGATGTAGCATGTTTTTTTATTAATTGTGGCTGATGTTCAGACTTCAAACTTATATCTTCACAAACAGTGCCTATTGATTATGATGTTAAGTCAACATCTAGCTGCCTCTTTATTAAGAGAATAGAATTAGACATTAAGATAGACACTTTCAAATGATCATAATTTAGATTTAATGCGGACACAAATTACTTAACTGCCCGCTGCGCTTCTTTTAGCAATGTAGCATGTAACCTTCTTTCATTAATTTTGACTGATATTTTCTGACTTCAAACTTATATTGTCACAAACAGTGCCTATGGATTATGGTGTAAGTCAACATCTAGTTGCTTCTTATGAAGAGAATGTAATGAATTTTGCCATTTAAAGAATAATTATGATAGTTGAGCTATCAATATATCTTCTCTTCAAGTTTCACCATCATAATAATCATAATACACTGTTGTTCATTCCTGGCTGGAGAACATTAACCTACCTCTGATTTCTAACACACAAGAAAAGTATTCCAAACAGATAACATGCATATTCTACACTTTAAAAGGAATACACTGCAATCGCACTGGAAATACAATATTTTAACCAATCTCCTTTCGGATCTTTCAATAAGCCAAAGGAAAATTGTACAAAAGAGAAGTGACATTTGAACGTTTCAAAAAAACATTCACATTTTGGTAAGGACCCAAGTTATGCTTATTGTGTGGAGACGGCTTTTCTTACAATTGTTTTCTTGAGTAGAAAGTACCACTGATTTAAGAAACCACCATTTTTTTCTTTAGAAGAATTCAGCTCGGAAGATAAAAGCCTTGGAACACTCTGAGGAGTAGCAATACTAACAGAGCAAGATATGAACCGACTCCTCACAACTTTAAAACAAACTGAACCTTCTCTACCATTGCTGGAAGAAAGATTCCAATCATAAATGAGCCTCATTCTACTTTTTTCATGCATCATTGCAAAGGCAATAGACCAGTTCACGGTTAGCACATGTCCCAAATGACCCCGAATGTCCACAGATCTTCAAAACATGACCCCGAATATCCACAGATCTTCAAAACATGAAGAGGTCCCACTTTGTACAGCGATGGAGGTACTACATAAATAGCCTGTTTCCCCTTTTGAATGAATACTTCCACCTGTGTATCATGAAGTGCACCGTCTCTGTGTGTTTCACAGTTTCGTCTGCAATGACCTTTATCTGCTCATGCTCAGACTGCAAATATAAACTGGCTTATTATCTACACAAAAATACTAACACATCTGCATTTGCATATATATCTATCTGACATCCAGCTTCTAAGCAAAATTCTCAAAAGAAAATCCGAGCAGGAATATTGGTTCACTTCAAACCAGAGAGCCATGTACCAGTACCACTCAAACCAAAGCACATTCTGCAGTAGACCAAAAGTTTCAGTCTCTGATATCGGCAGTGGTTCCGCTGAGATTACCTCTGGCTCCTCTGACTGACTCTATACACAAAAGTCAGTTGTATTTAAGAATGACCCATACCAGACGATTATATCTGTCTAATTCTGCAGTAGCTTCTGGAGATAAGGAGCAACTGCTATTTGTCCTCTATACCGTCCTCCATGCATAGTCTATGTGGGATACCAGAAACTGCTTTTGGTTACATCGGCGACGGTACTCTCTGTTTCTCATAGTCTTGTACCAAGAAATTATAGAAACTCCTTTCACTTTAGAACAAGATCACAGCGTTTCCTTGTCAGAGGTATCACCCATTTGGATTCATGTCCCAAAAGACCACCATCAACAGCAAGGGGAAGGTCTGTTAGATAAATAAGAAAGGTTACAAGTGAAACATGATTTTCTTTGGTATGAATTGAATGATTTGAAGATTATATTCTATATTTCATGTAATTGAAATCGTCTTGATTTTATAAATATGTATCACAGATAGGTAATTGTCAAACCTTGCAATTCATAAACTTTCTTTTAATTTCAAGAAGAAATAAAGCTTTTCTTTTTAAATAGATATATCAAAACACTAAATTCACTTCATGACTTTGGATGGCTATAGTCATCTGAAGTCCAAGGTTAATAACTAAATGTCATATAATCTGTTCACTGCAGCTACTTTCTTCCATCCAAAAGATCAATATTTATCCCCAAAACCTTCAAATTGACGAGGACCAAATAAACATGCTAGCACCAGGTAATATCTCATTTGATATTACTAATTGCAACAAACCATTATGAACAATATACAATATGTCACTCTTTTTACTCGTGTATAAGTAAACTATCCCCATTACTCCACACTCAGACCTGTCCACACTGAACAGCTATCAACAAAGCTTTTGGGTTGAAAAAATTCAAGATTGAAGATCAAATGAAAGTACATTATTGATTGATTGATTGGCTTTTCTTCGCAAACAAAGATTTAAGAAGATATTGCTCAGTCTATGCAAGCCCGCTGGTGACTGACAAGCCCTATGCAGGATAGACACACGTCTTGCCACAGCGGGTGCAGGGGGTAGGTCTAAGAAGGTGCTGATGTTGTATACTCACTTTTCGAATGCACCGATGGCCTCTGCAAATTTGTGCCTAGTTATAAACGTAGCTAGAGCATCAGCAACCTATAAAAAAAAACATAATAAATTTGTAAACTAAAATATGCAGTTCAAAACATGAGGAGTCCAACTGATACAGGCATTTTGCAAAGAATTTGCTGCTATAGAATGTACTTCCAGTCACAAAATAAAAGATCAGTGTTAATTCGGTTCAGAGTATTTATAATACACCGTTACAAAAAGCCCAATCTGCCACTGTCTTCAAACCTTTTCAGAAGACCCACCTTTTTTTTCTTCTTCAGAAAACTTCAAATAATTGGCTGAATGCTCTAAGTAATGCACAAGCATTTCCGGGTGAAACACAGTAGAAGATATTTATTTAGTACATGTGCTGCATATTAAATTGCAATATTATCATTATTAATATCGATATTAATATCAGGTAGCAGAAAATATCTCTTACTCTCCATTTTGACAAGTGGTCACTCGTCTACACTCAAATTTGGGGAGAAGAGGAAATCAAGTACCTTATGTGGCTGGTCTTCATGCACTGCATGACCGCACTGAGGTAAGACCTGCATCTGAAACTTGCCCTGCATCTGACCAATGGTCAAGTCTTTGTCCAGTCTGTCCACACCTATCACAAAATACAGATATTTCATGGTGTTTAATAGGATAAGCATAAGCCCCACCCCAGCCTCAACAAATAAATAAATTTAAAAAAGGCATGTTTCAGTTAGTCATATAATAATAATTATAATGATTATGTATTTATATATCCCATTTTCCATACACATGTTCAAATATCCTTTACAATTATGTTATTAACAGAAGAGGTCAGTTTTCAGATATATCTGCAGAATTAAATGCTTTTACACAATAGTTTATTGCGATGAATGTATTGAATTAAAATGATTTTTTTTCTTCCAGGATGTTTATAAGAGTGAATATCCACTACAGCTTCTTTTTTTAAATCACTAATCTTTTTAAATAAAATATTTCAGCTTACCGGTAGTCATCAACTGTATCTCTCAATCTTTAGGATGCATACAAATATGCAAACCAAGCTATTATATTCATGTTTCATTTACATTAGTTATGATCCTTAGCTATGCTAAAAAAGTTTGACTATGGTATTTGAAGCTAGCATAAAATCAAGTTTGACTCACCAGCTAATATCAGCATCTTGGGAACATTGCAGGACAGGAAGAGATTTGACATTCCTTTGAACCAGCCTATAAGACAATGATACAATGGGTAATTTCATGACCAGGGCCGGTATTCAATGCAATACTTATGTCAAAAATACAAGTATTTCACTTAGTTCTCGACTTAGATAAAATACTTTGATACAGTTCCCTAGCAGATTAAAGCCAATTGTTTTGGAGGCCTTGATTGGCAGGCGTATGGTTTTCACACGCATCATCATCATAAGCTGCGCACAATTATATTAGTGCGCATGCGCATTTAATGCGATGCGTTAATCGCGCATCGTTTGGGATTGACAATGTGTCGTCACAATGATGATCAGTAAGTATTTAGATGTGCTCAGATGTTCTGAATAAGATTTAAGACATGTTATCAAGTAAAATACTGAATTAATATTACTATGTACTGAATTAAATACTGCCCCAGGTATATGATTATTTCCTTCCAACATTGCATTGGTAGTGATTTTTTTCAAAACTGACATTTTTATGAGGAAAGGAAAAGCAGTGGATAATGGAAAAGAACACTTGAACATGAAAATAGTAAAAATGTTGCATACACATTTTGATTTCATCTTTGAATTCATTTAAAGATATGAAATATAGCTTAAATATCATGAAATAATAAAGGGATACTGATTTGCAATCAATTTTCATAATAAAATGGCGATAAAGGGAGTTTTTTAAGTTTCTCACATACTCACCTTCCCAGTAATGTTCTGTTTTACCAAGATCTATCCTCCATTTATAGGGGGTCTGGCTTTCCTGAAATCAACAAACATAAGAAGAATCAATTAGTTTTCTAATACCTTACCGTATATCATTAAAAGGGAATAATCCAAAGTGACACCTCTATATTTACTATACGGTTTCTGTTAAAGCCGGACTGCACTACTTGTATCTACTTGCGCCCTCTATATATCAAACAATGCCTAAGCGGTGACCATTGGTCCCCATGATGTGTTTTTCTTATGTTAATTGAGAGCTGATTTGATGAGATAACCACCTGTCAGTGACCATACAGGGAAGTCTAATCCCTCCTGGCCAAACTAGTGCAGATAGGCTTTAAATAGCTCCTCAAGCTTTTGGCTAAAGCGTATATGATTCAATGACCATCAAATATAAGATCAGCCCTTTCAATTTTGACAATTCTTAAGTAATGTATATCATTTAATATTTTTGAGAATGAAAAGGCCTTTGCCAGATTAAAAGAAAGTAGCCATGTACCTGGCTTGAAGAGGATGCAGAAGCGGTAGCTTGAGTTGAACTCTGAGGCACTGACTCACTTGATTCTTCCTCCTCTGTAATGACATCAGTTATAGACACACTCGGTACTGGTGCACCGGCTTCTGTGGATGTTGCTTTAGAGTCTTCTATTTCTGAACATCTTGGTTTACAAGTGATAGAAAGAGAATTGGAAATAACTTTGTTTGTTTGTATTATCTAACTGCTATTAAAGCATGTGTATGCTTGTACGTAAGCAATCAGGGGACTGATGGCTTTATAAAGTTCTCTCCTTGGTAATGAGGATCAATGCCTTACCAAAAAGACACTAACGTTTCGAACCTGGGACCTCTCGGTTAGAAGACCACTGCTCTACCACTGAGCCATTGCGCCTGCTGTGGGTGACTCAAGGACCTACAATGATATATTTGTCAAAAAATTCATTCAATTATTCGGTTTGTTCTTGCTATTATAAAGATTGAGCAATGACTACTAAGACAGGGATTACCTGTACAAATTCATAAGGGCCAATTGAATGATACCATAAAATTTAATTATGTGTTCATCAATGCAACTATGCAATATGACCTTTTTCTGATCAACTATTATATAGTATAACCTGCACAGTGAGCTAGCTCCAGTTCCCATTATGATACATACCTTTCCCAGATATAATATAAAATTCTGTTCTGTAACTGTAGGAAAGTTTACTGAACTTACGGTTTAACTTGACCAAGCATGGAAACTCTTGCAGATTCTACATTCCTGATTTGACCTGTCTTAACTCTGCAAATGAAAAGGGAGAACAAAAAATGTAAGATAACAACTTCTCAATAATAGTTGCTTCTACTTTCCATTGCGATATATAATGAAAAAGATTAATAACCTGTCTCTTGATCCTAAACTTATTTTCACAATACCTTGCATGGGTATAAAGTTATCATCAATGAAATCTAATCAGCAGATATAAGATATAAGTATCAGTACCTTTCCAAAGCGACCTAAGCAATAAGAGTGTCCATCAATAAGAAAATGTGTACAGTCATGAGAATGCATCACTATACTTTGGTGCCCCCCCCCCCTCCCAACTCGAATCACAAGTTGGTGAAAGTCAAAGCTGTAAACAGACATTTTGATATTTCAATATGTTAAGAATTTACTGAGGGAATATTATAAAGGTAGTGTTCAGATATGATGGTATAGTTTACGTACGCCCATTCTATTGCATATTCCAGGGATTTGAACTGCTTCGGCCTGCCTCTAAGAAAGCTCTGCATAGACTGAAGGGCATCCATCGCTGTACCTACAAAAGAGAAATATCATTACGTTGAAGGAAAAGATTAATTATAAATATAATGATTTAAAACATTTTGATAAGGTACATAAGGACGAGGAGAGATGGTACTTAGTGATTATAAAAAGTCCACATTGAGGACAGTCAAAAAGTCAGAATTTCTTGTATAATATTATTTACAAAACCTTTCAACTTTCATTGCATGTACATATACCATGGCCCGTTGTATAAATGTACCACTTATGGTAACTTTGCTATCATGGCAACATTACACAACAGCCAATCACATCAAGGTTTCCATGGAAGTTACCATCAATGCTAAGTCTTACGCAACGGCCCCTGCAGTACAGTATGAATAAGGGAGCGGTTACTTAGATTTTACCTTCCACAACATCGATGACCACTAGACCCAGTAGAGATGGAACAAGAAACTTGACGGCTGTATGAATAGCGATGGCTCCACCCATACTATGCCCTACTAAGATGATTGGTTGGCCGTCATCGCCTGGATACATCTTGGCTATCACAGCACCAATATCACTGGGGAAAATACACAAAACACAAAGTGAAAAATTAATATAGATCTGAAAGGTGTTCATCTGATTCTTCATCACTGAAAAAAGAATGCATTCTTGTGTTTTGTTTTGTTTTCACACTGTTTCTCCATTGATTGACTCCATATATCTCTTTTTCAATTTTAGGTTTGGCTCCACATATCTACAAAAGACTAAAAAATGGTGTTGCTGTCATATTTGTAATTATACACCTAACAGTCAGACTGCTATCGCTACTGTAAGTCTAAAGGAATTATACAAACATTATGATCATGCAATTGATTAAATCAATAACCTATCAATATTGTATTGCCCTTTGCAACTGACCCTAAAATCTTGAAATCTAGGGTCGGCTTTTAAAAAAAATAAAAAATTATTTACCGTTTTTCTAGAAAGAAAAAATGTTTAATGAATAAAAAAATAAGTATTAAAGCTTTCAAAACTAAGAAATATTAGCCCAAAGAGGGAGCAAAAAAAAAGGTTTAATTTTTTTTTTTTAATTCGACTGACCGACCAATGTTTTGGCACCTAAAGGGCAATACAACATCTTTTTTTTAAGGCCTAATGTTAGGCCTGATGGTCTCAATAAATACTCACTTGGCAAGAGTATCAGCAGAGAGGTCCTCAGAATGAGATGTACAGGTATCTCCATGTCCTCTCATATCCATGGCAACCACTCTACATTTCACCATGCCAGACAACTGTTGCTATGGTTACAATCAATCAACAATGACAAAATCAAATGCATGTTACACTTCCAAAAGAGCATTATCTAGTATCCTTTTAAACTCCCAACCATGAAGAAGAAATAAATTAAGCCCCCAAACTCCTTGAACAAAAGATTTATGACTACTATATTAAATTTAATGAAATCAAATTAATTTAATTCTATATCAGAAGTTCCGTATTTATTTATGCTTTTTCAAATCTAACTATCTTACATCCATGTCATATTCAAGTGCACTAAATATTTCACACACTGTGAATAATGTTTGTTTGTTTAGTCTGTTGTTTGTTTGTTTGTTTGTTTGTTTGTATGCTTGAACGTTCTTCAAACTATAGCATCAGATTTTGAAGTAAATAAATTATATTAAATTTTTAAGTGTGCACTAACATCTCCAAAAATTGATTTTCAAGCCTTGATGCGGGATATGGACTTTAAAGAATGCAATCCTCCCTTTAATATTGATTATTTGGAAAAATGTAATAAACTTACTGCGAGCAAAGCCCATGAAAGAGCTGAATGTCCACCCCCATGAAGAAAGAAGACCACAGGACCCTCGCTACCTTTCTTGTAAACTCTAAAAATGTGCAGAATGTAGTCAAGGATAGTTTACTTCCTTTAATATATATTTCATTTTATTATATTATTTCATTTCATTTGAACTGTATATTTAATTTAAGTGAATTACATCTTAGTTCATCAAAAATAATGCATTTTGGGTATTGACTCTTCAAACTATTGCAGGTTTCCTGAGAAACAGCCTGAACATAGAGACATGAAATTCAATCTTCCAGGAGTTTTGTTTTTGGTTGTCTTGCAGCTTCTCACATAAAACTATGGCAAAACTAAAGGAGAGGCTCTCTTTTGCCTGGCCTGCTGGCATGGCATATAATTATTGTTTTTGAAAAGGATATATCATCACTGTTGAGTGCTACATCTTCAAAGCTGTCAAAGTAGTTGCTCCAAGGCAAGGGTGTGAAGTCTCGTTTTCTTGCTCCAAATCCATGAGGTTTCCCATTTGAAGGCCTATAAGTAAATAAAGAAATTATAAGAGATGAATTCAAAGGCTCAAATAATAAATGTCCCGAGGCTTTAATGAGTAAATGATCAGTTTCACTTCTAGTTAGAGGTCTACCAATGTTTATGGACTCCTGACCTTAGCTTAGCTAATTGTTTTGAGTTTAATTTAATATGACCAACTTGTTCCTTACTTATTGAATCAATGTGTAAGCTTTATGTGGATACCCTTTAATTTTCTGATTTTAACTTTAGAACGATGGATTTCATAGACAAACAACAAAGTGCAAGTGAATTAGACCGAATTGTCCGTCTCTTTCGTTCGTTAGCCTCTTATTGGGGTAGGGTCGGCTCTCTCTTTAGAGACGGAAGCCGTTTATACACATGTCCTTGCTAACGCCACGGCCAGTTCTGGTCGTAGCGTTTTGCCCCCAAAATCCCCCAAAATGTCATTTTACCTCGAGCATTGTTATATTGTAAATTAGGCCTAGGCTATAATAAATCAGTTCCACTTACCAACTTGACTGAAATAATCAGTTTAATAGTCCCTTTTTAGGAAATTATGGGTCAAAATCGAAATCCATTTTGAAAATCTTTTTCAACATGGATTCCGATTTTGACCCATAATTTCCTAAAAAGGGACTATTAAACTGATTATTTCAGTCAAGTTGGTAAGTGGAACTGATTTATTATAGCCTAGGCCTAATTTACAATATAACATGCTCGAGGTAAAATGACATTTTGGGGGATTTTGGGGGCAAAACGCTACGACCAGAACTGGCCGTGGCGTTAGCAAGGACATGTGTATAAACGGCTTCCGTCTCTAAAGAGAGAGCCGACCCTACCCCAATAAGAGGCTAACGAACGAAAGAGACGGAAAATTCGGTCTACAAGTGAATAGGCGCTTGGCCTACAAGAAAAAAAATGACCCCAAACTTCCAAAGGCCAAAGCAAAGTCAAAGCCAAGGGCAGGCAAAGATAAAGACCAAATTCTAAAGTTGAAATCAGAAAATTAAAGGGTATTCATATACAACTTACACACTGATTCAATAAGTAAGGTAAACATTAGGGCATTCAAAAGAATTTCAATCAATTTTAATATAGATCTACTAACATGATTTTGAGCATGTGGGACACCCCAAAATTTTAAGCCGATTTTCGCCTTAATTTCTACTTATGTTTCCACTACAAATAAGTCTTACACCACATACCTTCCCGTGGGTACACCTCTTGGAGGCATTGGCGGTAGTCTACTTGTATTCTTCAAAAGAGCTTGCTTGTTTAATGCCATTTTATCATGGAACTGATTAAAAATGTAGCTAGATCTAGACTCTACCTCTACGTGAGATTGGTTTGAGCGACAACAATCACGGGTGGGTGGGGGGGGGGGGGCTGGGGGGATACGTTGTGAGAGCGCGGTGCGCGGCCGGAGGAATGGGGAGGAGGGGGATAGAGGCCGATGATGATGATGATGATGATGATGATGATGATGATGATGATGATGATGATGATGATGATGATGATAATGATGAATTGTTAATGATAATTATAATGTAAATAGGCCTAATTAATAATAGTACTTATAACAAAATTCTTCATACATTGCCAATTGTTAACCGTTTTAAAGCCTTTGCAATCGTGTTTTTTAATAGGCCTAGCCCTAGGGTCTATATAGACTTTCTAGTGATGGCAATTGTATGAATATGAAGCCAATTTTTGTTAGTATTACTCAGTTTAGTTTTTATCCTTGTTTCATAGACCTTTGCTATATACAAACACAATGTATTTCTACGTTTATTCTTGTTTTTATTAACAAATTATTATTTCATATAGTGATAAAGTTGTAAATAAACTAGATTTTCATGAAGAAAAAAAAAGTAGGTCTATAATGGGGGGGGGGGGGGGGTATCCTACAACTAAGTCCTGACAGAATTTTCAGATGTAGGATTGATTTGTACATGTATAGCCGGTACATCAGAGAACCTCAGAGAAGGAATAAAAAAGGGTTCCGTTTTTGTATCTGGTATGGATTGGTTTTACTTTCCGTTTAAAAAATATATATTCATAAACATAAACAAACAATAGTTAAAAAGAATATGGCCGGATTGCTCAATTCAGAGCCATTAATATAATCTAATTAATGGCTCTATATATTCTTTCTAAAATGAGGTACAATATATTAGTATTTTGGGGAGGGCGGATTCATGGACGTTTACTATGGTGTATAGTGTATGCATGTGTTGGGATAAGTTGGCCTATATGTACCCCCACCCCCTTCAACTTAGTCTGCAAAACGGGTTGTGCAGTAGACGACTGCCTCTATGAAATCCGCTAGTGCATCAACTAATAGAGCTGAGGGAACAACGTCGTGCAGGCGGACTAGTCAGGCAAACGGACACCTAAATTTGTAGCTTGCATATATGCAGCCCGGCCTTTTTTCCAATGAATTATGTAAAGATATCGCTATTGCCAAGTTCTTGATGAAGCAATGGATCTATTTCGTTAAGAGGAGCTATAGGAGGATATGTCTGCAACTACGAACCTCTTTTGTCCCCCCCCCCCCCCACCCCCATGGATGTCTGAGCGGCATGTGGGCGTGGCCGCTCCAGGGTTTGTTGTTGCTATCGGTGCATCATGTTCGGAATGACTCAGCGATATTCAACAAGACAAAGGTATGTTAACAGTTATTGCATTCATAGAATTTCAACTGCATGTTGTATCATACTTTGTATGGGCTCGCCGATAGTTTAGAGTAATGGTGAATGACTTGAAGTCAGTTTTTGAAGAGTTAAGGAGAAATTTACGTTAGACTGAGCTTAATTGATTCGATCCAGCAGTGCTGCGTACAGTCGACCGGTATGACCTGCCCCGCCGGGTCTGGCGGCCTAGCTATGTTGCGGTACCCGCGCTGTTCCGTGCCGTATAAGCGACTGTATTATAGATAATAGAATCATATAAAATCTATTCGGCAATTTTTCATTCCATAAATCCATAAATTCTTTAAAAAATACAAACCTAGAATTCATAATTTACAAGACAAAAAAGTGCAAAGACCGATTTCCTTCTCCTTTCACAGTGCAGTTTCAACAGCTGGCGCTGGCACACAGGACATCACTTTGTCAAGGTGCCAATTTCAAAGAACAACAACGTCCTTTCGACAATTAATCCTTTGCAAAGTTGGAAGGTTCCTTCAGCCCCCAAGGAAACACAACTTCAACGTTTTAGCACCAAATTCATTTTAAAGTTAGAGGGTAATTCTTTCAGCCAAAGCCAAAGGGACACCATTTTGTCATCTTCAAGCAATAATCAAATAAAAAAATAATTTTCCTTTTCAAATCAGCAACCCACATCAGTGTGAGATCCTGCAATGCGATATTTTCTACTACGTCTTCTGGTAATATCCGTTGCAGCAGTGTACTGTACAGAAAACAAGGACAAGGCTTCAATCATCCCACTCACCACTTCAACTACCCAATTCCACTTTGCATCAGGAAACATCACTGCCAACAAGATGGCTGATGAAGGGGTACCAAGGAATGTGATCAAGTCCGTCTTAAGTGTTGAGCAGTCAGAGGGCGTAGGGGCCAGAGTCAGACGTAGCATTGGCAGGCAAGAGGTATGATGGGGAGGTTGGATGTCCGGATGGACACTCAACAAACAAAATCACTTCTCTTTTGCCTTCAAATTTATCAGAAAATATTCATCAAAGAGCACTAACCATCATGAATATTTGCCCTTTATAATATTAGAAGATCTATGAAATATTGCTTGTAAACTTCTTCAAATTGCTGTTTTAAATCAACTGTCCGGATACACAACATAAGACTATACTTACCAGTACCATGAAAATATTAAGTTGTTTGGCATTTTCAGAATGTGATGCAAAAGGGATTCTTCACCATGATTATCAAGATCCTATTCAGTATTCACATAATGTCTGCTTCAGTTTATATGAATGGTATATAACATTATTTTCTTCAGAGTTGGTTGATGGATAATTTGCAAAAAAAGCATGGTTTAGCTGTGATTTTATAAGGAGTTTGACACCAATTGCATTATTCATGTGAGTTAATTTTATTGTCAAAGACACAAAATCTCACATTTCATCTTTTAAAGAGAATTTTTGCTTCTGTAAAAATCTACCTCCCCCCCCCCCCCCCCCCGCCCCCATTCCTCAGTCAAACAATGTCAAAACATTTCAAGTACCAAGTATATAGGGTTGTGTTTGTCATCTGGGCCCCGTCTTACAAAGAGTTGCATTTGAAAATCATCTCCTTTTAAAACAATTGTGTAAACTAGAAGTTTTTCTCTCATTTCCTACAGCTGCGTAACCTGGACCCTTTCCTGTTGCTTGATGAATTCCGAGTTGCAGCTCCTGCTGGCTTTCCCGATCATCCACATCGAGGCTTTGAAACAGTGAGTTGTAAAAGTAGTGTCACACAGTATAAATGTACATCACAATTTGTTTTACTGTTGATGCTGCAACATAGCAGCGCAATAGAGCAGTGCAACAACTTACTTAAACGCTAAATAGGAACTATCTAGGAACAGGAGACCATAACAGGATGAGACTAAAATAAATAATCTCCTTGTTGCCTAGTAAGTACAGTTTATAGTTCCTTTCAAGTGTATAGAGAGACTATTCAGTTTACTATGCTAGATTCATCTTTATTATGTTTGTTGTTATTGCTTTTATTTGCATCCCTCATGAAAGAAACCCCACTTAATCGATTATAAGGAAGAAATTAAGGCATTAAAGAGATAGCATGTTTATCATTACATCTCATCACGCCCTTTACTCTGATGAGTTGAAGACAAAAAGGCTTGATTTGTTAAAATTTATCCTTCAATATCTCTCCTTTTTTGTTCTGTGATTGAATGCCGTCAGGTGACGTACTTGTTATCAGGGTCAGGAACACATGAGGACTTCGCAGGTCACAAAGGAGTCATGTATCCCGGAGATCTTCAGGTATGGTTCATTTATTCTGCAGAGTGCTATTTTTTTCTCACCTAATTCAGGTCATGATTTAGAGAAAATGTAAACATGAAAAAGAGAATGAAGGAGCATGAGTTTCATTTAAAAAGTATTTGTTGCTTTCATGTTTTTCACTTGTTAGATTTGTGCAGTTTGTTGCTATGGCAGCAGTCAAGATAGGTTATAAGCACTATTTTATTTCACCATAGTGGATGACCGCTGGCCGAGGAATTGTCCACTCTGAGATGCCCAATGGGAAGGATACGTCCCATGGTCTTCAGCTGTGGGTCAATCTGGCCAAAGAATTCAAGATGGTGGAACCAGAATACCAAGAACTCCAAGCAAAGAATATTCCTCTCGGAAAGAAGGATGGTGTCTCGGTGAAAGTCATTGCTGGGGAGGCGCTAGGAAAAAAGGTATGTAAAAGGTGAATGGGAACTGTGTAGGATTTCTCCTTGAATATGCACTGTCTAATGATAATGGATGCAGGAGCTAGAAAAGCCAGGGTGATAAATTCCAAAGCTCTTTGGAGGGACACAAGAGCATTATATCATAGCATCTGTTTGGAGACAGAAGGATGTTAACGCAGTTAATGCCCTTCTTGCTTTGAACAGACAATATTATGTGATATTTGACTTAAAAGCAAAAACAGAGTCTTTTTTTGTTATAATACAGACTTTCATAACAGGTTCTCATATTGATCCTCTTTCATTTTTTGTTCACCTCCTCCTAGACTTGTATGTAGTCACATAGTTGCAAATCATTCCTATTTTGGAGGAATGATTCCAATTTTTGGTCTTCAAGCTACTGTTTTGAACCCTAGACTTCCTCTCTTTTACTAAAATATTATGTGTGAATTGTATACAAAATAAACTGTATTCCTAATTTTTGCTGTGAAAAGTGCCGAGGTATGCAGTCATAGTCACACTTTTTATTGCTATCAAATTGTAGGCCGAGGTACGAACTAGGACTCCCACTGCCTACCTTGATTTCACATTTGAAAGTGGAGCCAAGCTGAGACAGCCCGTCATTAAAGGAAACACAGCCTTTGTATACATCTTATCGGGAAAGGCTCAGTTTGGTAAGTCTGATAATCTGATCATATGGTATCTCAAACTCTTGATGCATGGCTTGCAGTGGCATAGCTATACAGGGAGCAAGGGGGCATGTGCCCCCCCCCCCAATCAAAGGGCAAGGGAAACAAAGAAAGAGAAGAAGTGGAGAAGGCAAAGACAAAATGCAATACACCCAACAAATAAAAGAAAAGTCTAGTGTTAGCCTGTTTTGCAGTAAAATTTCTGATACAAGAAAATCCCTTCTTTAGGCAAAGGAACCCTTAAACTCACACTAAATTCGCTGAACTGCACCAGTGACTGATTTTTGTGTTTTAAGTAAAGCTAATATTGTTGGATTTCATTTTTTCTCTTTTTCCTGTTTGATTGATAGTTGATGTACAGGATAAATGGATATATAATTTGTTTTTTGGAACAATTGAGTTGTAAACGTCTTGGTCTATTAAAGAAATAAAAGGGGAAAAAAACAGGAAAGAGGTATGGATAGGTACTACTGGAGAGTTATGTAAACAATATTGTGTATTTTAGTGCAGTTTGTATGGATGATTGAGATCTACCACCCCTCACTATATTAATAGAGTGTTATTTCATTGGATAAAGGTACCCAAATAAGAGAATTTTAACTGTTGTTTAACAGGAACTGGAGAAGACAAGAAAGAAGGGGAGCCACATAACACTCTCGTTCTGTCCGATGGAGACTTCCTGGAGGTGGAGAATACTGTAAGTCTTTCAATCAAATGTGTTTGATTGATTTCGATTCAACTATTATAATGTTACATTTAGATAAGTTCTGGTCTAGTGGATAAGTTGCCGGACTGTAGATCACAAGGTACAGGGTTCAAATCCCAGCCCAGCACTAACGTTCTTTTGCAAGATGTTAATCTACATTTACCACTCTCCACCCAGGTTTTAAATGGGTACCCGGTAGGATGCGAACGTTAATGTAGTAAGCTCAGTATTGAGAGCGTCTGTAAAATGATGCGTGGATGGAATGTGCATACATTGTGTCCGGGCAAGCCTGAATCCGATGACCGGGGTAATAATAATAGATCTGTAAAGCGCTTAGAGACATCATCAATGTATTAAGCACTATGAAATGCAGAGTGTTTTTATGCCTCCGTTACGAAGTAGCCGGAGGCATTATGTTTTCGGGTTGTCCGTCCGTCCGTCCGTACGTCCGTACGTCCGTACGTCCGTACGTCCGTCCGTCCGTACGTCCCGTTCTCGTGATCGCGTTATCTGAAGAACCGATTGATGGATTCCTGCCAAACTTTGGTCATGTATGTTACTTGCAGAGCCGATGAACTGATTAGATTTTGGGGTCACGAGGTCAAAGGTCAAAGGTCACAGGGCTCATTATGTATGCAAAAACAGCTCGTGATCGCGTTATCTGAAGAACCGATTGATGGATTCCTGCCAAACTTTGGTCTTGTATGTATCTTGCAGAGCCGATGAACTGATTAGATTTTGGGGTCACAAGGTCAAAGGTCACAGGTCACAGGGCTCATTAGGTATGCAAAAAGAGCTCGTGATCGCATTATCTCAAGAACCGATCGATGGATTCCTGCCAAACTTTAGTCATGTATGTATCTTGCAGAGCCGATGAACTGAATAGATTTTGGGGTCACGAGGTCAAAGGTCAAAGGTCACAGGGCTCATTATGTATGCAAAAATAGCTTGTGATCGCATTCTCATTAGAACAGATTGATGGATTCCTGCCAAATTTCGATCATGTATGTATCTTGCAGAGCCAATGAACTGAGTAGATTCATGGGTCATGAGGTCAAAGGTCATGGGCTCATTATGTATCCAAAAATAACTTGTGAACGCATTCTCATTAGAACTGACAGATGGATTACTATTTAACTCAGGACATCTTGCAGAGCCAATGAACTGAGTAGATTTTAGGGTCATCAGGTCAAAGATCAAAGGGTCATATATGTATATGAGAAATTGCTTGTAATCACGATATTCTGAGAACCTCTTAATGGATTACAATTGAACTTGAATTTGAAAAATTTCTTCTGTTTTGGTTTGTAAAATTGCTCTATGACGGAGGCATCATTTTCGACTGCGCGCAGTCGAAGTTCCATCTAGTTAATATTTGTGTTATAATGTTTTACAGGGAAGTGAACCGTGCCATTTTGTGCTGATCTCTGGGACCCCCATCAATGAGCCTGTTGTCCAGTATGGTAAGAAATATTTCAAAAATAATGAACAGTCACTTAAACATCATCCGAAGGTAAACTTAAATCCATAAAATTGTGCCTAAATCTTAAGATTTGGAGAAAACAACTGTAATTCAATACATTGTAGGGGGGAAAAAAACATTGCCTCTTGTGTTTCTGTGTTAGAATCACCTACCGGAAAAAAGCATTAACCAAAAATTGATGTTGATCATTTCCTAAAAAGCTCAAATGATATAAAAAAGTTTCCTAATGTACAATTTCTCATTTGATGCCTATTGAGCAGTTTAAATCAGATTTTGTATGACCATACCAACATGAACTTTATTGTTTTCTAGTTATCTATCAAAATCTAAGTTCAAATGTTTAATAGCTCTAAAGTTTTAATTGTATGAATTTTTTTGATTTTCACACATCTTTGATTGTTGCATTATTTTTTTTTATAATAATGTTCAAATATTCTAATGTTTATTTTTATTTCAGTTTTATGCTCTTTGTATCTTGTGAAAAGGCACTTCATAAATTCAATATTTCTTCTTATTATTATTTTGTTTATGGTAATGCAAATGTGAATGTTACATTTTTTTCCTGTATTGTGACAGGCCCTTTTGTGATGAATACTGAGGATGAAATACAGCAGGCCATCTCAGACTACCGCACAGCTAGGAACGGATTTGAGAAAGCCAGAACATGGAATTCTGAAACGGGCAAGGCCAAATGATGATTGCATTATCTTTCAATAGCTTTAAAAGGATCCAAAAGGCTTTTAAATCAATAATTTCAAAAAGAATAGTTATCTGTTTGGTCAAAGACTTGTAGAGAAGCACAGAAAACACATTTTAACAAATTCTGTGAATTTGAATGAGATTATGGAGTAACTCTATAACCCATAGAATATGGTTTTATTTTGGTTTAACTTTCATTTTTATTTGAATGTAACCCTGAGATATATCAGGCATCATTGTGAAGAAGCTTATGTAGTGAGAAATTAAAAGATAACTGTAGTGAGCTTGTAATGAATGTCGTAGAACGCTGACAAATGAAAATGATACAAAACAGGAATAATCTGCATAAATTCTAAACGTTGGACAAAAATTGTGTCCACAAGTTTTATTGATTCGTGATTCAGTACTAGCAAAATTTAACATTGTACTTGTTGTGGTTAAATACCGTATAACTATAAATGACGATTATGTATTTGAAAAAGGTGATTTTGTTTTGGAATGTTGGTTGAAGGTGGAGAGCCTATGAATTGTGTGTGAAGAATTTTCTTTTGTGATCAATTAGTGTTTAGTAGAGAAGTGGCAAATTTAGAGTTTTCTTTTTTTGTTGGTTACTAAATTATATAATTATGTAAGATTTATAACTGTCGCATGTCATAAAAAGTTGCAATATATCTGAAATAACCTTTTGAAGGAATATATAAGTTTGTAGTTTCTATTTTGTAATGTTTCTCTTTTTAAACCCATGTATGCTATTATCATATGAAATATTGGTTTCTAATTTTGTTTCAGAGAAATTGGGAGAAAAATCAAAAACATGTACAAATATTTAAACATTTTTTTTAAACCATGGAGGTTATTCAAATATTTCAAGTATTTTGCCTACAATCCCTTTTTAAGATGTATTACTGTAGACTTTAATTAGTTCAAACTATCAAAAATACTAATTGAAAAGCAAGTTCATTTTTGTCCCAATCTCCTTCATCATTAAGATCATGAAAGTCATTGCAATGCATTGTATAGGTTATTTATTTGTATTTTTTTGTTCTTCAATATTATAGACAGAAGCAACAAAGTAAGGGGGCAGTTTGATAAGGATGGGGTTGGTCAAGAAAGTTGGTTAAAGGGCAAGTCCACTCCAAAAATAACTTACTTTCAATAGAAGCAGAAAAATCAGACAAACCAATCAACCAAAAAAGTTTGAGCAAAATCTGATAGCCAATAAGAAAGTTATGAATTTTTGATGACATGAAAAACTTTGAAAATCTCAAGACAAATTGGCAACTCACTCATGAGTCTGTGATGTCATTGCCTCACTATCCACTGATTGTTTTCTTTATATTGATAATATAAATTTCATATTTCCCCCCTAAGAATCTTATTTCTTCACACCAGCATCCAAGTTAGATTAATATTAATGTTTTTTGTGTGGATGCACTAATATAGAGTAATTTTTTTCAGTTAAATCATGAAAAATGATAAACTATTTATATAAAAGTCAAATACTAAGAGGCTACTTGCCAAGTATATTACATGTATGTGTAAAATAATTTCTTACATTGATTTCCATATTCTCAATGCCTTATGTGAATTTGAATAGTACATGAAGTTGTAAATTCCTCATTGTGTATCTCTTAAAGTGTCTGATGTAAAATTGTGTGTTGTTGTATATAGATGTATTCAATACGGTACTTAGCCTGTTAGCACGGGATAGTAAATATGTTGTAGTTCACATAAATGTATATGGGGATCATGATTTTTTATTTTTTATTTAATATATTTACAATAAATATTACATTTTATGTGACATTGATGTATTTCTGTACATTGTTTGGGTATTTCATTATTGTAGCTACTCTTTCTTGTTTCACCCCCACTATGAACATGACGGACAAAGAAAGAGGACAAAATATACAGTTCCTCATTCTACCCTCAACAATTGCTGTGGTAGACAAAGGAACATCCCTTCACTGCTATTATGTAAAAATGTGTAGAACAGGTGTCACATGCATATTCACCTGTTCTACACATTTTTACATAATAGCAGTGAAGGGATATTCCTTTGTCTACCACAGCAATTGTTGAGGGTAGAATGAGGAACTGTATATCTTGTCCTCTTTCTTTGTCCGTCATGTTCATAGTGCCCCTTAACATAACAGAGATGCCCTTTAATACAAGTTAATTGACATATTGTTTTCATAACAAGTGATATACCAATTTTCATTACAAGTTGTATACACACACACTAGCACATCAAGTATATGATTATTTGAATGTGATTGATTTTATAAATTACTATTGAAAATTATACATACACGTAAGTGTAGGGAGGGAGAGAGAGAGAGAGAGAGAGAGGAGGGGAGAGAGTGAAAGAGAGTTACTGCAGTTTCCTTTGTTGATTTACTTTCACATCCTGCTATGGTCATAACAGCTATTGCTATAGTGGTTTTTAAGGTAAGCCATATACAGATAACAACTAAATTATTCATACCCCTTGTAAATTTGATGTTTTTTTTTAATTAGTTCGTAAGAAAGGTGGACTAGTTGAATTAGGTCCTTTATTGAATACGTTTAGATATAAGCTTCTTTCGTTGTAAATATTGCAATATTCTAATTTACTATGGTTAGGAGAATTTCGAATTTTGTTTTTCGTTTTTTCTTTCTTATGTCTGTTACATGTACTTTTCTCTGAGCATCATGAGCACCGAAAGGTGGACCTGTGCGCTATATGTAGCCACTATTATTATTTTAAATCAATATTATTATAATATCACATTGCCAAGAAAAAGAAATCCTGACAAATCAATTTTGCACAATCATACTGAAAAAATTACAAAACTCTGGGTAAGGGTATGAATAATTTAGTTGTTATCCGTAAATTCATATTTCATGGAAACAGAATTAGGACTTATCCTACCAAAGGTTTTATGATGATAAAAGAAATGTTAAAGTGTACCTTTATTGAATAATGTGATGATAGAATAAAACACAAAAATGTGTTTCTCCCATAAAGTTGAAAATTAGAGTTATGACATCGAAATTAATGGGAACCAGGGCCCCGTCTTACAAACGAGTTGCGATTGATCCTAATCAATCGCAAGTCCTCCGACCAATCGCAAGTTTGCAGTCACCTATCTATTATGTACATGAGTTGCGATTGATATCAATCGCAAATAAGTTGCGATCAATATCAACTCTTTGTAAGACTGGGCCCGGGGCATCGTTTCACAAAACCGTCATAAGAAAAAGTTGACCAACAACACGCGTTTCAAAATGATATGTCGGTGAACTTATGATTATTTCTTGAAACGCTGCTCTGATGTCATAACGAACAGAAGGTGTTGTTCGAAGCAAAACTCTGTTTCACCTTGAAAAAACCTATACAGAAGATGATTCTTTTATATTGTAGCTAATTGTCCTAATGTTTACATGGATCACTGCAGTTACATTCTAAACAAAAGAAGAACCGCATCATTGATTTGTCATAAACAATGACGATTGAAAAGGAGATGTCTTGTCAAATAAATTATTGGGAGTAGATAATACAACGCTTACCCTTGAATATCCAACTACATGTACATGTATAAAGCATTTTAGAGGATTGGAATATTGAGAAGACTGTACTGTACTGTACATTTCAATCATGAGGAGTGGACACAGAAATGATAAGGTAAAATGTTAATTTTATTATTATTATGAGATTGAATATATACTACTCAAATGGCCGTTTGATTTATTGGATAAAATTAGTGATGATATTGTTATTTTGTCGCGCTGTCGCTCACTTTTAGTCGTCTAAGAGGACTGTTTGTTTATGTTTTGAGTTTTTGTCTTTTTATTCTTTTTCTCTCTCTCTCTCTTTCTCTCTCCCTCTCTCTCTCTCTCTCTCTCTCTCTCTCTGTCTATCGCTGCTTTCCCACCTTTCCTCGACACTCTCTCCCCCTCCCTCTCTTACACCCCTTCCCCTTGAATTCGCTTTTCCTTTCCCTTCATCTCTTACTTGTTTTTACTTCTTAGTCTCTATATCCCATTCTAGGTGTTATTTATTTCGCAATATTTCAATTGATGTATGTAGCCTCGTTGTAAATCTATTTTGATTATCGAAAAGTAACGACTTTATGGCCTGATAAGAAATTACATCCGTCTCTCAAATGAAATATTACTGATAATCATCCGATAAAAAAGAGATAAAATGCGACACCTTTAACTGTATGTAAACTAAAATGATTTCTTATCAACTTTTCAAAGCTGATAATTATGTCATATAAGGAAGTTATCTCTGTAACGCATTAGTAGTATTAAGGCAAAATTATCTAAACAACCGCAGTACCGGGCTTTTAATTTTTTTTCTCCAATGCTAAACAAATATGCAGTGCGTTATAATGCTAATTATTTGCGAATAATTTGTGATAATTCACATATTGCCACTTTTGCCTGCATGCACGCTTAACTAGTATATGCAGGCTCATGGTCTATTACAATTCAATATTATAAAGTCGATAATGTAATACACGCAACACATCGTAAACATATTGTAAATTGGTGTAAAGTTAGATGGGCGAAGAAAGAGAGAGAGGGGGGGGGGGAGAGAGATTTGTTGGAAGACTTTTTAAGGAGAGGAGGGGGTGTGTCACTCGGCAGAGACGTATACTGATGACTGGCGCAGCGAGCTGACGCTGCCCTTAGTCGTCAACTACACCCTCCAATATTGTGTTTGACCCCGCCCCTTTGGTTGCCCCCCCCCCCTCCAATCCCCGGCAGATATCAGGTTGAAGAAACACCTCCACCTCCCATGGCCTAAGATATAATGATATATATAATTATGTTATACACTTTGGAGATGTTTGTCGACAGAGGGAGATACAGAGATGGGGAGGGATGGCGACACAAAGAGCAGGCCATTTTGTACCCCCCCCCCACCCCCTCCCCCGTCTTGAAAATGAGAACTGATAATTTCTGGAAAGTCGAAATGAGCCATTTTGTTCTAGCCGTAAATCTTTTAATTAATTATCATTACAAACCTGGGCAGTCTCATTTTTTTTTTTACAGAGAGAACTTTTACATGTATGTAAAAAGCAAACGTTCCGATACGATCTCCAGCGTGTGGTGACAAACGAGTAAAGGAGAGGAAGATCGTTAAAAAAAACAGAGAGAGAATATCACGTTTTGTAATAAAAGTGTGATTGCAAAAAGAGAGACAGGCGTCGGAGACATGCAGCTAATATAAATAGACTATTCATATTTGCACAGCACTGCAACAATGTAATATTCGCTGATATCATCTTTATCTATGAATTGTTTCATGATAACAGTTTAAATCATGGACTTGAATAAACAATACTTAACTCCCAATCATGTTAAAGATCACGATTACATGTCATGCAACGGAATATCCCGGAATTCAAAGGTCACTTAATATTATTGTTACTGTGATTTTCATGTCCATCATTGTTGCGGGGTGCTTTTCCCCTCATTTTTAAAAAGTTAAATATAGTGTAATTGTAATCGTGGGAGAGGCGTTTTGAAATAGATGTATCTTTCGATTCATAAAGATGATGTTACACCGAGTTGTGTTGTAATCTTACGACTTTTCGGGATACGCACATTTACAAAAGTGATATTCTAAATGACAATTTCATTACTACATAATTGTTATTTTATCTGTTCATTTATTTTACAAACAGAGTATGTTGCTGAAAGTTTGGCATGCCCATCGATTTATTTTATAGGCGTATTTGCACATTTCAGGGGCTGACGCCTCTAGCCCAAATATCAACTTTCCAGTTAGGGAGGTGGAAAATAAATATACTTTTATAATGGTAAGAATGTGTTATTCCGTCTCAAAACGATAATTTAAAAAAAAACATATAACACGATCGCACAGACTTTCGAAAAAAATCAACCAAAGGCAAGTTCAGTATAAGGAAGTTAACAGATAGCACATGGTACAAATGACCCCAAATATCCACAGATATTTTACACATGGAGAAGTTCCACGTTGAGCATCTTAGAATAATAACTGCCAAAGTCCTAGATGTGCTTCATGAATACCTTTTGTTTGCCCTCTTGAAAAGAATACTTCCACCTGCGCATCTTAGAATGTACCGTTGGTGCATAAATGAATAATGTTACATAACTTTCATGAGCTATATTCAGTATTCATCTCTGGTGGGTTTTACCTATTTGGTACAAATGACCTTTATCTGCCCATGCGCAGATTGTATCTGTAAACTCCCTTATTGTGCACCACCTACTGAAATGTACTACCATGACAATGACACACATTACGTAATCCAAACAGGCACAACAGTATTACATAATATAAAGTAATTCGAAAGTGATTTATGTACAGGCGAAATGGTACTGAAATTGTCCTCAAGTTAATTTCTCGACAGTCTTCACGATCGTATCTTCGGTTAATGTGCTAGGGTAAATATGGCTTTGGGGGTCTATTATTTTGAAGGCGACTGTAATCCCTTTCTGTAGCATTGACCTTCAATATCTCTTCTCTAAAATCTAGTTTTTTTTCTTCTCACCGTACCCTTTACCACTTTTTCCTACTTTATCAAACTTTTTTTGATTGTCTTGTCTGATTTGTTCTGCTTCTATTGAAAGTAAATTATTTTTGGAGTGGACTTGCCCTTTAAATTAATAATTACTCGTAAGAGTATTCGGTTCAATGAACATAATTGTATTTTTTTCACCAATTCAATTCAATGAACATGAAATATAATTATGTTTACTATGTAGTACGGAGGAGTGGAGAAAAAATAATATATAATATAGAAAATATAGAAGAAAGAAAATTGTATATAGAATATAGAAAACTGAATATAGAATATAGAAATATATATGAAATTATCTTAAGGTAAAATCATATTCGTAAACAAATTATTATTTTGGTACACGTACTTTCGTATTGAGTCAAATGGTTTGATAATTGATTATGTATTTTGTACCTACTTATCATGTTTAATGCGTTATTGTTGAAATATAGGATAAATCGATTAACAGTAGAATTCAAGTTCGAAATGGAGCGTGCTAGATTAACATCTTGGGGGTAAACAAGGCATCTCGGTTCGTTGATTCATCTACATGCGTGACACCATAATTGTGTTATGTGTCAAAGGTTATCGATTCCTTTCTTGTGAACATAATGTTGTTGATTAAAATCATGGCGACAAAAACAAAGCGGCTGAAGAAATATTGATTAATCAAGCCTTGCTGATAGCAAAATATTGATGGACTTGTTGTAGCAAAGTCATTGCTTGTAAAATCTTACAGCATTTTGAATCGCTCATTCAGAAACTGTGGTTAGTAAATTGGAGTTGAAATTGTTTGATGTCTATTGTCACTGCAACTTAGCGATTATAAGAAAGATGACGCGACGGTGTTTAGTTCCGTCATGTTGATCTTCGTGAAGCGAGAAGACATGATGACAGCATCGAGGGCGTTGGCTAGAAAGTGGGTGTGACCCCTTCAAAACTTTCGTCGGAGCTAGAAGACGAGATACACTGTGACATTGTCTTTCCTTTATGTAGCATGATCTGTACATCTGCAGCATGAACAGAACAGAACTGTGCAATGCATTTTTTAAATGACGAGATGGTGGATCTTGACTTCGGTGATTTCGTCAACAAAGTTTAATTAATAAATCTATTCTTTTTTTAAATTAAGAAAACAATGTACACTGTGTGGAATCAGTCCTTAGGTAAATCAGTAGGCGCAATTAAAGGGAAAAGACGAGACAGTTAACGAACGAATGAACAAAAAAATGGTAGATGGCGAAATGGACAGATAGATAACAGAAAATAGAAATACATAGCAATGATAGCATACATTTACATCGAGAAAAAAAAAATCAGGAATACACCAAGAGCTTGAACAAAACTAACGATAGTAGTGTATGTTTGGTTATGACTAAATCTTGATATCATTGATCCATCTTTTATATAAAGGTCTAATTTTATATTTATATACTTGTCACAAAAACTTTTTTAAAAAGCGTCCAGCCATTACCCCAAATCATAATTCAATTATCTTTCCAAATTCATATATCATTTCTTTTTTCAAACGGAAAATGGTTGACCGAGTCAACACCGCGTTGTTACGAATCACCTGCTGGCAAACATCCAGTTCAACATTAGATGAACTTCGTACATGATAGACCAACGCAGTACCGCTACATGCAATTGATAGACCCATCACCCGGGCAACAGAACAAAGTGCGCCCATTTCAAATCATTCGGAGCATATCAGTCGAATACAATCCATCGGAATTGGTTCTTTTGAATAAAAGGGGACGGGTGCACCATGTAATAAAGGAATTTAACCCTCTCATTATAAAAGCGCAGTGATACGCTAGAGAAGATATCGATAAAGAGAGCCCGGCGGACCATCTACTATAGCTCTACCACATGCTACTGGAATCCCATAAAGTGAAGGAGTCATAAAGACAACTCCGTGTCAACAGATAAACGTGTGGAAAGAACATTTAATGAGCGAACGGTAAATATGCCAATTCTTTCTGCATGGTGCCCCCGTTACATTTGGACTAAAATTCACCTCCGTTCGAAGGGCATTAATCAGTTGTTGGAATGAAGGAATTGAAGGCTGGACACAGTGACACCATCGCTAAACTATCTTCTTCAATACGGAATTAATGTATCATCCCGTTTTCCGCTATCCACTGCTAAGCGTTTGATTTGTTATATGGCATTGGAAGGAATAGCCTAAAAGATCTCAATAACTTGGTCAATGTTTGGGACTTTGCGTCTCGGGACTGCTCGGAAACCAATACGAAAAAATCTTCTTGGACTTTGGAGTTCGTTTATCATGTTTAGTGTGTGTATTCAGATGCGACTGAACAGGAAATGATAACGTTGTTACATTGACGCTTTTACATGTACAGTCGTTCAAATTTGAGTGGTTTAAAGTAAACCTTAACAACTAGCAAGTGATGACCATGATTTTTACGAAAACCTATATCTCTTGTGCTTGAGTGATGGAGCAGTCAAGTTTTCACAAGAAATATTCAGGGAATGTTTCACATCGTCCACCTTCGAGTCGAGGATCTGCCCCTGGATCTAATGCAAGGCCTCCATCGACGTCAACAGTGCCAGCGGTTGACGAAAGGGACGTCGAGAAGTTGGACGAGCATGCCATGAAGCAGGAGGAGCATTTTAATAATCATGGAGAGTCGAGACCCGGGAGTAGAGTTTGCACCCCTCGGGATGATCGAATTGGTGTCATTAATCAGTACCGAAAACCATGGGTTCGACCTCAAACAACAGGTCACACGATGACATCGACACAGAGAGAAAGACAGATGGCTAAATATCGTCAAGGTAGACCGAAATCAAGCCCTGTCGCTCGGCGTCATCGATCTCCAGATCGGGAAAAATACGGCTACGTGATAAAGCGGCCCGAAAGTGTCCCACTGGGGAGTCGACCTGGTAGCAGTCGTCCCGGTAGTCGACTGGGCAGACGGACGTCATCCTCCTTGTCGAGGAGAAGAAATTCTACTATTGATAGCGATGTCGAAGAGATTATTGTGGGTAAAGACCAAAATGTTAGCCAAGAGACACGGACCACGGAGGGTCAGACAAAGGGAGACGGGAAGGACAATGACATTGATACCAAAAACAATGGTTGGACGGGGGATGCTGCAGCTACAGATGCCGCAGCTACAGATGCCGAAGATGACAAAAGAGATGGAAGACGAGTTCCAACTTTAACCACAAAACCCCGAATGCATGTGACTAGTGAAGATCATCCCAAGAAAGTAGAAGTCGATGAGAACCTAAACGATGTCGAGAAAACAAATGGCGACGCCCAGGTCGCAGTTCCGACGAAGATCATTGAACCAGAGGAGGAGCCACAACATGATAATTCCAGCAAAGCTGATGACGACCAGTGTCGTAAACAGAGCGTTTTCGACGTGACTATGATGACAGCCGTCTCGCATGGAGGACTAAGCGGTGGTCGTGAACGGAGTCTTAGCTCTGCGTCTAACGATGGGAGGAGTTCGTCATCGGCTTCGCACCACGGAGAGTCGCTCGCTCGTCGAGCGCGGAAAGAGAGGTTGAGAAAGTTGTCCCAATATAGGGTAAGTTAAATCACAATGTAGAGTTTTAAAAAAAAATCAAACGTTGGTTCTTTGTTTTGTTAATCATCAAAAGGGCTTAACTTTAGAATACCCCACCAATGGGGTTAATGTACATAAACGTTGAAGACCTAGGGTTAGGGTTAAGGTTAGAGTTAGGATTATGATAAGGTTTAGTGTTACCTAGACATTTTTAAGTCTTGAGATTTAGCTTCATTGGTGAAGTATTTGGTACCCTACGAACGTTTGGTCAATCTTTGTGGTGGGGTATTCTAAAGTTGTTCCCAATTAGTACGCGATTAATCATTTCTACGATCTCTTCGAATCCATCTATTCAGTTAAAAATCCATGTAAGCCTAGCAAAACTTTCGACCAATATTATCGAAAGCGATAAATATATTCATAAATTCTTCTACTTTTTCTCCCTTTTCTTCTTCTTCTTCTTCGTCGTCGTCGTCTTCTTCTTATCCTCCTCATCCTTCTACTCCTCCTCATCCCTCTCCTCCTCTTTCTTCTCCTCCTCTTACCTTCTTCTTCTTCTTCTTCTTCTTCTCCTCTTTCTTCTCTTTCTTCTCCTTCTTCTTCTCCTCCTTCTTCTCTTTCTTCTCCTTCTTCTCCTTCTTCTCCTTCTTCTTCTTCTTCTTCTCCTTCTTCTTCTTCTTCTCTGTCTTTTTCTTCTCTGCTGATTGGAAAGGCCACGTAAATTAGCACAGCGCATAATAGGGGTGGAATTAGCTTCTGTCGAGTGTAATCGTACTAAGCAAATTGTTGATAAGGTCTGTGCAATCGTGAAAGACAATACCCATCCACTTCATTTATTTTATTCATTTAATCGTTCTGGGATCCGACTTCGCCCCACCCCACCCCAACCCGCCTTTCACCATTCAGATATTCATTTGTTCCCGACTCTGTTCAAACATTCAACTCATAGGTTAAACGTTGAACTTCTGCGTCGGAAATTAATTAATACTGAAACTATTTTGATTTGAAATACAAATGACCAAGGCGTAATTCTGAAACTCACGATTTGAAGTACCAATGACCACTTTTGTCGATTCATTATCTTTTGCTGTGTTTGTTCCGTAATATGTCATCTATTTCTATATTCGTGACGTATTTATTTCTTGTAATTATGTGTTTTCTTGAATATTACTATAAAGCCAGTGGAAACCGAATTTCTATGTAACTTGTTTGCAAAGACCAAATGAAATATCTTGTATCTTGCTTGTATATCTTGTATCTCCGGAAGGGAGACTGAGAAAGCTGAATAACAGTGCATGTTCGACTGCTTCGCCCTTGGTTTCGTCATAGAGATCGGGGGTGGGGGGGGGGCGGTCCCTTTGGCGTGGACAATGCGAGACGACACAACTCCCGAATAGGTTAATGCATGTATTATAGCTTTGAATTTGTTGACATATAATTATTAAGATATTAGATAAGGGGGTAATGCTGTCTATCGCTCTGAAAGATTGCTTAAGGGCAAATTAGGACAATTTTCATGATAAGAATGGAGATAATCAAGTATATATTTTATTATATTATATTGAGGCGCAATGCATCGTACATTTCTGATCTGCGGAAGATTTTTTTTCTAGTGAGAATTGGAAAGCAGGAAACCGTCCTTTCAGAAGCTGTACATTCTCATCTTTCTCCCGTTCCATAAAAAAACATTCTCTCAATCTATTGTTCAGGTATTAGTGTCTTCCTTTCATCTGCGTGGGGGTATCACTTATTTCTTCAACATAGTCAGACAACATTCGTGACGTGAGATGTCACAATAAAGCGAATCGATTTTGTAACATGATGACGCGAATGAAGACACATTTGAGAATGGTTTGCGTCGATTGTTTGTATTCCCAAAAGGGTAATTAAATCGAAAACTAGACACAGTTACGTGTTATTCCATGGGGGCTGGGTGCTTTCTTGGCCATTGTAGGAAAATTGTTTTTAAGGCAACACTGGGAATGGAAGTTATTTATTATTAATAAGAAGGGGATGAAGAGAGAAAGAGAGAGAGAGAGAGAGAGAGAGAGAGAGAGAGAGAGAGAGAGAGAGTGGGACATAGAAAGAGAGAGAGAGAGAGAGAGAGAGAGATAGAGAGAGAGATAGAGAAGGATGGAGAGTATAGATGGGGAAGAAAAGTTACTGCTCTCTATAAAGACATTGTTTTGATTCAGCAACTGTTTATCTCCTGTGCCGGGAGTAAGACACCCCCTGACTGGAATTACGCTACGCCCCTGTTGCAATACACTGCATACACTGTTCTGGTTACAGTGAATTAATGTCCACACTAATGTCAACATAATAATAGATGATTTCATATAGTCGACAAAAGTTTACGTAAGTATTTTTGAGGGGTATACCAATCTTTGTCACTTATCTTGGTACCCATTCAAAAGCCCGTATTGACAGCGTACCGCAAACAGACCCAGTGTACTATAGTTTGACAATGGCGGGGTAAAAGAATGCTGAATAGAAATATATTGACCCATACCTGTCAAAGTTTATCTTATTTAGATCAACACTTTGTCTTCAGACAATTCTATACAATGAATAGATTCCTCGCAGAGTTTCACTCTCGTCATTATCGATCCGGGTCATTTTCTATTTTCTTCTTACATGGAGCGTCCCTTCTCGGTTCGATTTTCTCTCCGATAACCTATTGTTCTGAGGGAACTAAGAGGCTGTTCACACCGGCAGAGATAGCGCGCGCTAGACCGCGCTATCTCTGCGGTGTGGAAGGTATAACGTCGTTTCGGTCCGCCCAACAGCGAGCCACGGCGAGCCAAAACGGCGTGCCACTGGAGCACCTCTTGGGGGTGGTCCACGAGAGATAGCGCCGTCCAGCGCGCGCTAGAAAAAAGGGGTGCTACGATAGACCGCGCTATCTCATTGCGGTGTGAACAGCCTCTTAGAGAATAAGTCCATGAATACGCTCTGTGGTTTTCTCTGTTAATTGCCCTAAATATACTTCGCATCACACGTGTTAGAGTCTTGCGATTCTCGACCATGACGGAATCGATGAGGCCAATGAGTGGCTACGATCAAGGTGTTTTATACCGTATCCGGACACCTACCCCCTGGACATCCACCCCCGGATAACCACCCCCTGATAATCACCCCCAGTCAATTGATAAATATAATTAATAATTTTGTTCACTTATCCTTCTTTTCTTTATCCTTCATCAGAATACTCGCTTTAATCGGCCGGCAGAAACGGTAAGTGATCATTACACATTGTACATTTTTTTTTAAAGCTTGTAAAGCCTTGTAACTATTATGTAGTATTGTTTCATTGTGTTGTACATGTACTTCTAATATCGAGCGAGATTTATAATTCCAGCATCGTATGCTGGATTTAAAATCAAATATTTAAAAGGCAAGCAGTGATACAAATTCTATCTCTCTCTCTCTCTCTCATTTGCAAAAATAGTCATTTTTACAGACTTCCTCAAATGTGTCAATTATTATTATATATTATTATCCCACTGAAAATTATAATCTAAAATTATCATTTAAGGTGTTTTATGATATATTTTTTAAGTATCATGATGTAGAATCAGAAGCCAAAAAGAGACAAATCAAAATTCATTTACAATGAAACTCCAAAAGGAGGCGGATCCAAAGATTGTCGACCCTTTGCTCTATCACTTAAAAGCGGTATTAAATGGGGGAACTTACTGTGTGTCGGAAAAAAAAAATCAAGATTAAAACTGGTTCAACCAAGGAGATATTAGGCAACCTGATAATCACCTGATAAACAGACCAAAAGTTATCTACCATTCGTAGGGAACGACCTTTTTTTTTCGAGGTCTGAAAAATAAGCCTGATATTTATTTAGACTGTCTCCAAACAGTTTTATTTACATAATCTGCAGTCAGTGGTCATTACGATTCCTGTCCGGACTTTGCTGGACAAGACGGTCCGAAGGTTTACCAAGAATAGTCAAGTACAGTACCAATTAAGATGTCATGATGTTCGCTAAGATGATTCCGTTTCCAGGAAACCAGGGACTGCAAAAGGTCATTTAGCCTATTATTGGTGCTTATATTTGATTTCGGTGAAACAGTGATGACTATTTCTTTGTCTAGACGAACCCATATGAGTTCTGATTTGTCACATTTGACGGTATTATGAGGAATGTCGATGGTAGAGAAGACAACGATTTGGTGTTGTTCAGGTTGGACTTGTGAAGACTGGATTTTCAATGAGTTTTGTCTTGTCGCCGTATTTATATACTTTAACAACTATTTTTGAGGATGTCGTTGACATTATTTATGCGAGAGCAGCTTTTGATGAGACCCTTTCACTAACTTTCGGACGCGGTTCTTCGACTCGGGAGAATTTCTGATCAATATTTTTATTCAAAATAATGATAGAACCTTGATTTTTAAATGAGGTATGGATTGCCATTGTATTTGAATTAACCAGGTCGCCACCCGCTGCCCCATGAGCTTGCCACCCGTCACTCTTGATATCACAATCTATGTTTCGTTTGGGGGAAACGGACGCCCTTAGATGTTCATGAGTACAACAATATTCAATTCCTTCATGATTTTGTTTGGAAAGTTTCAAGCTCTCAATTTGGAAAGACGCACTGCATTCCTAATCTTTCGTCAAGTTCTTGGCCAAGTTTCTCAAGTAATGAGGAAATCTGACTGACGATGATTTCGCCCGATTTGCCATGTGAATCCGTGGATTTGGAAAGAGATGTTAGAAAGAACCGCCGTTCGCGAGGCGGAACTGGTAAATCAATGCATCCCATTTTTAAAGGATGGAGTGGGGAAGATTGTAATACAAGACCAGTTGGTAGAAGGAGAAATGCGGTATCTCAAAGTGACTATATCATCTGGAAGTTTGGGGCGAGACCGGTAGAAGGGGTGAGTTTTTCGGAGCTGGAGATCTGCATGGCGGTGATAGAAATAAGGCAAAAACAAAAACTTTAGTGGAACTGCATAAATGCTGTAACTTTATTGTTGCCAAACATTACTGTTGCCAAAATCAATATTACGACAACAGGTGTATCATTTCGGCGAAAAATCTGAAATCATTGTTACCAATATGTTTTCTTCTTTGCCTCATCAGAGGATTTATTAATTATACATGGTTTACATTCAATGATACAATAATATAAATCAAGTCACATAATTACAAAACCATCATACTTTTGCCAAGAATTTGAATTATCATTAACAAAAGAATAAGTCATGTAACAACTCTTTTGGAAAAAACAGGTGTTTTCTGGTCGAATTAATTGTCTTTTAAACATTTCTCTGTGGAAACTTTGTTTGGAACCAACGATTCTGTTGTCTATTCCTTAAACATTCCGATCGACACTCAATTTGTAAATGGTCCAGAAGCTATAAAGTATATGATTTTCACAATTTATTTTGAGCAAGTGTTGGATACTGCATGGACGTCAAAATATTTACTTGGTATATATCTCGTAATATTTCTTTCTGGGGTTTAATAAAGGGCTCATTTAGTTTTCATCCGATAAATGAGTGATTGATACCAATATGATTATGATCAATGTGTGTCATAATCAGCAGTAATATCGATACATCCAAAATACCGAGAATTGGTACTACATTCAGATCCAGATTCAGATTCGAAATATATATATTATGTCAGAGTTCGGACTCTGAAATAAAATCTGTATGTAATCAATTATTGTGAATTAATCATCATAATCTATGTTATTAGAAGGAGGGAATTCATTGTATACTTTTGTGCAAAAATGACTTTTGCGACACATCTACAATTACGCCTATTACTTAAGTTAGAATAACATTGGTATTTTGCATTTAAAGCACATTTCATGCCATGTGACTCACTAACTGTTAGTTTTTTGTTAGTCTATTAAGCATACAAGATCTTTCAGAACGCAAAATAATACGGATCTTAGTAGGATTAAGCGATCGCTGAGATAGTTGCCTTGTATTGTTACAGCGAAATGTTTGACCAGTGCAAGAATCTACTAGGATAACCTATCTCTTCTTCATCTTCATCAGCGCCATGTCATAATTATAGGCTGTTAGTTTAGTTTAGTTTAGTTTAGTTTAATTAATAATAGTTTAATCGAGTGCTGCAATCATTTCAAACTTCATGTTTACGCTGTATCCCTCCTATATCATGTTAATTGTAAAAATGAGTAATGTTCACTATTTTGATTGAAGATTAATAAAGCACAGCTTACTTTGCTAAATATAGACCTATGGTCGACATGAAATCAAGGTAAGAATGTAAAATGGGGTGCTAAGTTCAGTATTAAGAGAGAGACAAGTTATATATTTTTTTTACCTAATGACCTTTTAGTCAATTCGAAAAATATTATGTAGCCGAAATGCGTCACATTAACTCTAACATTTACCTCTCTCTCTCTCTCTCTCTCTCTCCCTCTCTTTCTTTCTGAAATGGTTACAGGCGAGAGAAAAGTTTCGCCGGGTTTGTAAAACAGTTCGAGTCATAGCCGGGATTTGTCTCTCAATGAAAAGGTAACATTCAAATTACATTCAAATTATATTTAATTTTTCTAAAGCCCATCGTACACTGTACGATCTGACTACAGCCCCACTTTAGAAGACATTACGATATTATTTGATATGAACATTCACGCATATAAAATCATGTTGGTACTAAAATCGTAGTTTCAGGGTATTGCAAGCTCTCCTATATAAGAGGAAAAGCCGATTCGAATCAAAATCGCACAGTGGCGTCACGCCGCTTTGTTTAGTATTCATATCAAATATTCAAAGCATTCTTCAAGAGGAACGAGATTGTTTAAATTTCGATATTTAATTGAATTTTGTAATGTCTTGGATAATCAAATTATCTACAATTATCTTGTACTCCATATCACGATGTAAGCAGTACCTGGCGTCATTTTCATAGACGGTGATATTGAATGTGTAGCTCAGTCAGAATTCATGGCAAGACTAATACAGGTATTTGCAAAATTATAAATCATCACCACCATCCTGATATAATCATCATCGAATCCTTTCTATCTACCGACAGTTACGTGAAAGACGAAGCAACGAAACAATGGTCCCTTCATGAGATGCATCTCAATATGAGAGCTGATCTAGAACAGAATCTAGCCTTCGATCTAATCATGTTCTCCAAACTCAGGGTGGTAAGACAAAACAAAAATCTCGTAAAGCTTTTGACATTAAAGGTAAAGACCAGTATTGGAAACGCCCCAATTTCAAAAAATGAAATGGAAGCTCTCATTACTAATTCATATATTTGGTAAATTTGTTTCTCTCATGGACTGTGAGAGATATAGGGTAGTCCCATATACATCTTTCTGTTTATAGTGCTTGTAACTTTACGAAGAATGGGCCAAATTTCTTATCATTTTGATGATTCCAGAACCTTGCAGATGCCAGATGCTATAGATGATCAACCTTTTCTGATCGATTCCACAACGTTTCTTTCACAATGCAATCGCATGACCATAACTGGTCTTTACCTTTAATGGCAGTGTTTCACGAAAGCGTCAAATACTAATTCGACGACATCCTATTGAAACGCATATAGGTTGAAACTAACACGCGTTTCAATGGGATGTCGGCGATTCGTACTTTTTACGGTTTTGTGAATTCTTCAGGAAAGTAATTATTTTTCTCGCGGTATGACGATCTGACATGCTTGTGATTTGGTCATAATTATACACGATTACATTAAACCATTTTAGGGAGGATGCGAAGCTAACAAAGGAAAAAAAAAAAAAACACACATTGTGTAAGTGACGGAGAGAGAAGAGCGTATAGGGGGTTGGGTGAGGGGGGGGGGGGGGGGGGGAGGTGATTTTGCCTATCAATTAGTATCCATCAGCCATGAATTTATTTGTAAGATTAGATATAGATCAAATATAATTTCTTAATCAATCAATCAATCAAAAATATATTTGATATAGCACCCTTTCCTTGCGGTTATACAAAGCGCTGCACACACCGCTCCACAACGTTTGGGCCACTTAAAAACAAAAGTTAGTCACTTCTCAGAGATCAGTCAAGTACATGAAGGCTGGTAATGAAGTGATTTTTAGCAGAATAGATGTGACTAAATCTAGCATGAGATAGCCATAAAAATATACACCGTATGATACACCTACATTTCTCTCATTAAATACAAAATCTTATTTTTTGTGCAGACGAGAGGATCGGAGAAGTTGAAGATGATTCTTTCTCTAAGACCAGAACAGAGGACGCGAGCAGACATTGAAGTGGTGAGTTTTTCCGATTTCTCGACATTTTTATCAATATTTTAAAGAAATAACGATCAGCTATGTCTAACTGTATTCTTATTATTCAGAGGATTATTATATATTTGTATCAATACTTTATGGTTAACTTTCGTATCTACCTGTCTATATTATTTCCCTCCTTATCTGTTTCTACTGTTCTTATTTGTTTTTGTCGGCACCTTAGTTCTCTTCTTTAATTCCTTATGGAGTCTTCCTGGGTCATACCGTCATCCTACCCTTATATGCCTTAGTTATGATAGGGGTTGGGTTTCCGGACACTGTCTTAACAAACCATAAAGTCTTCTCTTTTAGAAATAACGATCAGCCATGTCTAACTGTATTCTTATTATTCAGAGGATTATTATAAATGTTTATCAAACTTTATGGTTAACTTTCGTATCTACCTGTCTATATTATTTCCCTCCTTATCTGTTTCTATTGTTCTTATTTGTTTTTGTCGGCACCATAGTTCTCTTCTTTAATTCCTTATGGAGTCTTCCTGGGTCATACCGTCATCCTACCCTTATATGCCTTAGTTATGATAGGGGTTGGGTTTCCGGACACTGTCTTAACAAACCATAAAGTCTTCTCTTTTAGAAATAACGATCAGCCATGTCTAACTGTATTCTTATCATTCAGAGGATTATTATAAATGTTTATCAAACTTTATGGTTAACTTTCGTATCTACCTGTCTATATTATTTCCCTCCTTATCTGTTTCTATTGTTCTTATTTGTTTTTTTCGGCACCATAGTTCTCTTCTTTAATTCCTTATGGAGTCTTCCTGGGTCATACCGTCATCCTACCCTTATATGCCTTAGTTATGATAGGGGTTGGGTTTCCGGACACTGTCTTAACAAACCATAAAGTCTTTTCTTTTACCATCGGATTGAACGAAACATATTTTTCAAATATACTTGTCCTTTATGATATTGTTCAACAAAATCTTAGAAGATTTATGAAATATTGTTTGTAAAGTTCTTCAAGTTGCCGTTTGAAATCACTTTACTGTTCGGATTCACAACACGTCCGGAATAACAGTGTCTGGGTATATCATAATATGCTTCAACAATAAAATATAATTTTTCGTTAAAACAATCTAGTATATACTTTTAAATTCTAATGATTTATGATGATTGTTATTTCTAGGTCATGGCTCTCTTGAGGAAGAACAAAGCTTTCGCCGAATATCAGCCGGAGACACAGGTCGCACTCGTCAAGTACATGGAGTACTTGAGGTAAACATGAAGCATCTTTTCTTACAAGTCTACAAAATATTAGATCAACAACGTTTGGTATTCTTTTCCGATTATATAAAGTTCATTCATATGGTTCATAGTTATTGTCCCTTTTACAATGGAAATTCGCGTTATTTACATGGTTGTATATGAATACACAATCATACATTCATACAAAAGACAAAGTCAATAAATAATTTTGGGCCGACAGAAAACAAAAAACAGAAACAATCAAACATAGAAAGTCATGCATAGTCATGCATTGAAAATAATAAACATTTATACATAATGTACAGGTATCAATGATGTGATGTTGTTCGGGGGTAGTGCAATGGTCTTAATATAATAGGGTAGTCTGGGTCTTTTACATTGGCGGATTCGGGGGGGGGGGCACTTGCCCCTTGTAGGGAATCTGGCATACCTTCAATACAAAAAAGAAAAACAATTTACACAACGACTTTGTTCTTGCTAGTCAGTGGCTGTGTTCTCTTGGAAGGTAATCCTGTATCCGCCACTGAAAGTTTGTGTAGAATCCTTGATCGACATCAATCTTCATCTTCATCGACACCAAATTATTTTGTTAGTTAATATGTTTTGCTGATCTAAGGAAATACAATGATCGTGTTTGATCTTAGGTTCGAGCCCAGGAGGATAGTGCTGAAGGAAGGTCACGTAGCCTCTGGTTTCTACATCGTCCTCTCTGGCACATGCCTGGTGAATCAGAAGGAGACCGACCCACGGAATGGGGAGACGTTTGTCAGGACGATCACGCAGTTGACGTCGGGAGAATCATTTGGAGTAAGTATTACATTCCGTCCATTCTTTTCCTTTGGTGGTGGTGGTGGTGGTGGTGGTGGTGGTGGTGGTGGTGGTGGTGGTGGTTGTTGTGGTTGTGACCATTGTGATGATGATGATGATATTGGAGGTGGTGGTGGTGGTGGTGACCATGATGATAATGGTTATGATGATTGATGGTGATGATGATGATGGTGGTGGTGGTGGTGACCATGGTGATTTTGATGTGGGTCTAGCATATGATTCATTATGACGATGGTGGTAATAATTATTATAAGTAATGATTATAACGAAATTATAAATATGCATAAAGGGAAAGGAAAATGACGATCATTCATAATCTAAAATATTGATTATCTTACAATAATTATACAATCATTATTTGTTAATGCATTATGACATGAATAATTATCTATAGTGTTAAAACACTTTAGATATTATCTTCTGAAGAAAGAACAAGTTAATCGTATACAGCTGAACACATCGAAATCTCTAAAATGTATAAATAAATATGTTGTTTGTAAATAGGAATATAGCCTTCTGCATAACACAGTACGTTCTGCTAGCGTTGTATGCAAGGATGAAGTGGAGGTACTTCTTATCAATGGAGACGTAAGTACTTCTTCACATATTAATCAGTCCTAGTAATCGATGATTAAAATGTTTAAATCAAATGGGAATAAATGCAGGTTTGAACATTATTTTCTAATTGAGAATGCACGGTAGCAAAAGCTTTGATATTAATTCATAACAACTGTCCATAATACTTGTAAAATGCTTCAATTTGTTCTGCCTCTCTTGCTTTCAAAACCACAAGATTTTAATGTTGTCACACGAGAGCCTTTACTAAATTGCCATTTTCAGCTTTCCTGCAACCAGATTCAATAATCCTCTCCCAAAACAACAGTCAATAGATAACATAATAATTGAATAAAAGTGGAATCAATATCGTAATGTTATATCGAATTAATTTTTTTATATGTTTTCTTTCTTGGTAGGATTTTGATAACATCATTAAGCGTCCCTTGGAACAGAAGCGTGATGAACTGATCGAGTTTTGCCACGCCCATGATATATACATCTCAGCTACTCAAGAGACGCTTAGGAAACAACCCAAAGCCATCTATACCAAATTCTTCAAGTAAGTTTTTAAAACCAACCCTGTCATTTTATTGTCTTAAGTGTTAATATATTTCGGTCAAAACGCACAAGACACGATAATGAAGAAACCGAAGAAGAGCTAGGTGAAGGTGGATGAATACATACGATATAATTGCAAAGGCGTTCGAAGTATGACAACCCAAGGTCAATTTCAATAGCACATTGTCTATCCCATTTCGTTGATCTACATAATATGGAGAGATTAAATGCAAAAAATATAGTATTACAATATATTATTCGATAACTGTATTGATTTTTCTTTCAATTAATAGGCCAGGCACAGTTATCACTGAGGACATAATGGCAAGCGAGTACATCTACGTCGTCAAAGAGGTAAACAAAAAAAAAATCAAAATTTGTTTTTTATCAAGCAATCAACCAATATCTGACTCTTCTTAAAACGGAAGCTTGAATATAAACCTGTTATGATATCATTCGCTACTCTTGGCTATCAAAAATGGATTTTTCTTGAACGAACGAAAAATTTTCAATGATGCATTTTAAAAATAATACATATCTGTTTTTCTTCTTTATCCTTTGCCAAGTGGCCTACAATGCATATGAACCTCAAGTAGTGAACTGCTATTTATAATGATTAACATTATTATATATTTTTCTGTACAGGGTAAATGTACAGTAGTAGCTGAAATTCGAGAAATGAAGCCTCTTCACAAGAAAGGACAGCTACCTGACAGGTATTTCATGCACGATGAGAGCTGGAAGAAAGATGCAGCCATTAAACGAAGCAGTAAGTCAACATCATGATAAGATGTGTCACAATGAATTCAATTGAATTTCAATTTATTACAAAAATATAAACAAATCAGGTAGCACAATAACGATCACCATTTTCTGAATATCAGGGACCATTTTAATCACTGGTAGAGGGTGTCGTACATCGACGCCTTCAAAGAAAACCATAGATATCTTCGTGGTTTGAGATTTTTTTCAGGATTTTTTGCATGTCAGAGGGTTAGTACACTAGAGGGAATATAATACGTATTATAACATTTTATACAAAAATTAAGCAATTTTTTTCATTAACCTTCAACAATGTTACCAAGTCACTTTAAGCTAAGATAGAACATATTTATGATTAATGCGTGGCGCACTTAGCACACAGGGTGAAGCCGATATACATCACCCCATCTCACCATTATCCTCACCCTATCCCTTTCAAGACCCAGGACCACAATATAGTTCCATATCACGACAGGGCTACCATTACATTGAATCATTCCCAAAGGCCTCAGTGAATTTTGTCCTCCTCTCAATTTATAGATACAATACTGATAATGGAAATAAAAATGTCTCATTCCTTGAACCAACATTTAATGGTTAAATGCAATTGTTTTCTTTCTTCCCACACTTTGTAACAGTGGCTGTTCTGTCTGCCGGGAAGCGTCGGAGTCGGTCAGCAGCCGCGAGAAATAAACTCTACCCGCCAGAGAAAAAAGAGAAGACATTCTTCTCCATGAACGCTATAAATGTCGAGGTAAGAAAGACACCAATTTATGAGAGTTCTGCAAAAGGGAGTATCTTAATAATAATTTCTTTCAAGCAAATGAGATGTTATCAATTTAAACGACTGATTACTTGTTTGATATTCTTTCGTTGGAATGACAAAATTAACTTTAAAATAGCTGTGTGTTCTTCATTGTATGTCTTTCAGTTTTAATTGGCTCAGATCTGAAACATTGTAAGGGAGGACAAAAAAGTCCCAAAATAAAGAGAAAATGCATTTCATTATGACATTTTATAGCGTTGTTCATATCGATTTTTATAATTGATGTCCATGATGATGATGAGGATGATGGTGATAATGATGCTGGTAAGGGTGATGATAATAGTGACGACAATAATGATAACGGTGATGCGGTGGGGATATAATGACGATGACGATGAAAATAATTGTGCAAATTTCTCGTTTAGCATCGTAATTGATGGATTTGTTGGTGCCCTGTGAAAGAATAAAAGTACCCCCTTCTCGTCAACTTGCTTTATCATTCTGATAATTTTCTACTACAGTTTTGATATCACTGATAATCCTTCCTTTTTATCATTTTTCTAAAGGATGCTACCAATGATTATCTTGAAGACAGGAAATCTGTTCACATGGAATCACCCAAATATCTCCTACAAGATGATCAAATGATCACAACGAGGAAAAAAGACGTACAAAGTACGTTCTAGTTTTCAATCATGTGCATGTTGTGATAACTAATCTCGTCATCATCGTCCCATGAGTCTTGGCTGACCTCTGTGACCCCTTTGTGACCCCTTTGAAGATAATTATCCAGGATGTTCTGTCTTGAGTTCATACGATAACTGTTTATAAAATGGTGTAGGGAAAAGCAGATTGGATGGCGAAGGAGACTCTCGTTTCAGATTGTAGCTTTCAGTCCTGTTATATTAGTAATCTCACAATGATGCATAATGTCACAAGGACACATAATAATTATCACGAAATTATACGATATTGTGACAGTACCGGTTGTAACTGGCACCGATGAACTTTTTCAGTATCTATTTCGTGTGGAGTCCAGTGATTCTACGCCGTAGCACAATATAAATTGATATAACGAATTTAATGGAAACCATTCATGTAATTAGCATAATGTTAATGGTCAGGGTGTAATCATATTCTTGTATAAGTTGGAATACTAAGTACAAAGTTTTTAAACTTAAACTCAATATTGTACTTCTTCAATGGGTATAATTAAGTATTATTCCTTAATTCATTAACTTACTCATTATTATCAACAAAGCTTTAAAACCTTATTCTTAATAAATGTATTCTTTTAGTTGGTGATAATTTTTATCATGATATCAATTCCTTTATGAATTGGCATATACTTTAAACAAACGTTAGACCTTACTCTGGATATTATTTCCTTCAGTTGGTACTGTTATCATATTGTTTTTGTTCTGTTCTTTTTTCCGTGTAGCTGAGAGTAAATCCGTGGCAGTACAAAGAACATGGAAAAGACTTACGGTGTCTGCGAACGCTCTTTCGCAAAAAGAGGTACTTTTTCTCACTTTCTATACTCTACTGTCTGTAGTCATGCCACTTTTCTAACATCTATCAGCAAATAGCTGCTGTTTTGTGATCATTAACAACAATAACAATTGAATTTATTAAGTGCTTTTCCAGAGTACACAGAGTCCTTTCCCTTAGTCTAAAGATAGATGAAGAAAAATTGTTTAAGATATGTTTTCAGATATCGGTTGAAGAAGTTTAGAAATGCTTTATACATTATCATCAATTTGAAGGCGTGCCAAATTAGTGGAACCTGCAACGTTGTGTTATAGATTTTTCGTTAAAAGTACTCCTTTTCAGTCGATGATATTATAATTGCATTTCTCCTTTTTTATTCCCCTTTTTCTGATATAATCAGGAAGATAAGAATCCAATCGATTATGCTCCATCCAATAAGATAAAGACGACATTCGCGAGACTGGCAACCTTGAAAGCAGGAATGGCATTTGTGAGTATACTGGTTGCAATAATTTATTCTTTAACTCTCGCCTCTTTATATTTGTTGTTTTCGATTAGTTACTTTATTCAACATTATATCCTTTTGAAATGTGTAAAATTTGCAATGTTTTTTTGTTATATATTTTTAAAAATGCAAAAGAAAAAGAAAATCAAACAGAAATAAATAAATCAAATCAAATGAAATCAAATCTGTTTTGACCATTTTCTTTAAATGTGGGTACCTTTGTGTACCTCAGAAAACTCGTAACATGTCCCTTGTGTATTGGTGCACAAGCCCCAGTATACAGGCCCTCATGATGCATGCCATTTTATATATATATATATATTCAAGCATTGTAAAAGCAGAAGCCTTTTAAAGCACTTTTAGATAATGATAGGAGATTGACTGACTGAAGAAAAGTCTTGTTTTACATCCTCTTCGATGAAGCAGATGAAGAAAAGAGAATATTTATCTTCTTAAGAAAGAAATCACTTGTCAAGTTAACATGAGATTGAATGCAGCGAGTATATACAATTAAAAACATAGCAACTTCTGTTCTACAGATCATAATTCATGTAAACTATTTTTGTTTGTCCACACCATAATTTTTATAACTCTGAACTTGTTTTGTTTTTACCAGGGCATCGAGTCACTTCTCCCGGGGACCCAGCCCGAGGCTAAGCTGTGTCTGATCAGTGACGGAGCTGAGGTCATACTCGTATCAAAACGACTCTTCGCAAGCGATGTTACTTCCACAACCTTGAAAACAGCCAGTAAATTGGTAAGAATTTGAGCAGGTATTTGACGTGAGAGTAAAGATGTTGCACTGCATGATAATCTGTTTGTACTTGACTGGTTGTGGTGATAGGAATCACAATAGAAGGTTGCTTCAACAACGTTAGTATAGTATGTCAACAGTTCATAATTATGTTAGTAAATCTCTTGAGCTACTTGATCGGAATTTAATGATACGATAGTTTTACTGCTTTTCATAACTATACTGATACTCCCATTTCATTAACTTTATGATGTAATATTATGGTTGAAACTGCATTAAATGAGGCTGTTTTGTTGATTCTTTTCTTACATTGTACAAAATGTAGTACAAAACAACTGCTGTACTACAGAGAGAGTGAGAGTAGAACTCGTAATAGCCATACACTGTTGTCAATGGCGTTGATCTAATGAAGATATGAAGCCATTCTCCTTCACTATGTACCTTCCATTCTCCCCTCTTTCTCTTTCTCTCTCTTTCTCTTTCTCTCTCTTTCTACTTCCATGTCTCTCTCTGGTTCTTTCTTGTCATATCTATATTCCTATTGCACTCTTCTTCCTTCCAATTTTAAGTAATCTTACCAAGACATGTCTACTGCTTAAAGGTACATATCAGAGCAAAAAGATTTATGTTCAATACTATATTATGCTACTGTTCTTGAATGTGCGATGGCTCCCAATGATCTAGTGCTGAGAATGTTCTATGTTGTCAGAAGCGGATCTAGAGGGGGGGGTTGGGGGGTTGCAACCCCCCCCAAAAAAAAAAATCCGGGGACCATTTTTTTAAATCTTATCTTTTTTTTTAAACTTGTAATTTTATTTTATTCTATTTCTATGTATTATTATTATTATTATTATTATTATTATTATTATTATTATTATTATTATTATTATTTCTTTTGGGGGGGGGGGGGGGGGGTTGGGCGAACAAATGTCACAGAGTCCCTTGCCCCCCCCCCCCCCATCAGATTTTTTGAGGACACGGGCCACCGCTGAAGTGACAAGCTAGGCCAGCGTTGCCGATTCTCATCCCCAAAATCCCCACATTAAAAAAAAAAAAAAAAAAAGGAAAAAAAAAAAGAAAAAAAAAAAGAAAAAAAAAAAAGAAAAAAGAACGCACGCTGGAGAGAAACCCTTTCAAGTGCAAATATTGTGAGAAGATATTCAACTCATCTGGTAACTTAACCAAACACATGATAACTCTGGATATAACTGTGTATTTAACTTTTACTTGATTTAAAAAGACGTTATCATGCACTGCTTTTTATGGTCTCCATTGTGTTAATAGATGCCAGGAAAACATCACTTACGGGGTTCAAATAAACACCCCAAAAAAATCGGCTCGCCGCTTTGCGGCTCGTGGACGATGCTCCGCATCGTCATTATTGGTCAACCCCCCCCTGAGCAAAAAGCTAGATCCGCCCCTGGTTGTTCAGCGATAACTTTACTTGACCATTATCATATCAAATAGAAAAATGCATTTTCTTGTGGTTATTGTATTTACATTGCAGGCTGTGGACTACCCTTCCGTTGACTTTACCAGGGAGGTTTTAGAAGAAGCCAGAACATGGGCAACATACAAGAACAGAGTCATCAAAGAGATATACAGAAAGAAGCTGGATAAGAGACCTGTACAACCAAGGAGATAACGAAAAGCATCAGTAGATAGATATAAATATATATTAGATAAATAAAAAGTAAGATATAAAATACATACGGATAGAATAGATTGATGCTTTTTAAATTTTCTTGGAAGTTTGTGCTTTCTGAAGGAGTGGTGTACTTAAATGAAATCTCTTGCCAGAACCTACTGACATTATTACTAAGATTGTTCAAAACCTTGCCTAATCTTGTGCTATTATGTATGACACAAAGATTTGCAACACTTAATGCGGCAACCAAAGTCCATGAAAATATGTTTTATAATAATGATAATAATAATAGGTCAATTTACATAGCGCAGCTACCATAATAAGGCACTAAAGCATTCAAGGAATTTCTTCCTACCGGGTACCCATTTACTTCACCTGGGCGGAGAGTGGCAAAATGTAGATTAATGTCTTGCCCAAGGACATTGGTGTCATGTTGGGACTCGAACCGCACAACCATGTGATCCACAGTCCGATGACATATCCGCTAGACCACGACACTTATACGTTATCTTTTGTTGATTTATTTTTATTTAGGGATGAGTGCCTGGTGTTGAAATGGTGTTGAATTATAAATGATACTGACCATGAATTGTGAAGCAAAAAAACTATACAAATTAGTATGAAATGTTTCATTATTATTATTTGATGCTATTCAAAGACGTTTGTTCTGTTTTCCTAAGTGATTTTCTACACAAGGTTTTATGTGCAATTATACTATTCAATGTCTTTCAAAAATTACTAACATTTGATAAAGTAAAAATATGTTGCGAGTCCATATAATTCATTTGGTGGGGAGAGAGAGACGGGGGGAGAGAGAGAGACGGGGAGAGAGAGACGGGGAGAGAGAGACGGGGAGAGAGAGACGGGGGAGAGAGAGACGGGGAGAGAGAGAGACGGGGAGAGAGAGAGAGAGACGGGGAGAGAGAGACGGGGAGAGAGAGACGGAGAGAGAGAGAGAGAGAGAGACGGGGAGAGAGAGAGAGAGACGAGGAGAGAGAGACGGGGAGAGAGAGACGGAGAGAGAGAGAGAGAGAGAGACGGGGAGAGAGAGAGAGAGACGAGGAGAGAGAGACGGGGAGAGGAGACAGGGAGGGGGAGAGAGAGAGAGAGAGACGGGGAGAGAGAGACGGAGAGAGAGAGAGAGACGGGGAGAATAGAGAGAGAGACGGGGAGAGAGAGAGAGAGACGGGGAGAGAGAGACGGGGAGAGAGAGACGGGGAGAGAGACGGAGAGAGGCGGAGAGAGACGGAGAGAGGCGGAGAGAGAGAGAGACGGGGAGAGAGAGAGAGAGACGGGGAGAGAGACGGGGGAGAGAGAGGGGGAGAGAGACGGGGGGAGAGAGAGAGAGGGGGAGAGAGACGGGGAGAGAGAGACGGAGAGAGAGAGAGAGAGAGACGGGGAGAGAGAGAGACGGGGAGAGAGACGGACGGAGAGAAATGTCTCTCTCTCCCCCCGTCTCTCTCCCCGTCTCTCTCCCCGTCTCTCTCTCTCTCTCTCCGTCTCTCTCTCTCTCTCTCCGTCTCTCTCTCTCCCCGTCTCTCTCTCTCTCTCCGCCTCTCTCCGTCTCTCTCCCCGTCTCTCTCTCTCCCCCGTCTCTCTCCCCGTCTCTCTCTCCCCGTCTCTCTCTCTCTCTATTCTCCCCGTCTCTCTCTCTCTCTCTCTCTCCCCGTCTCTCTCTCTCTCTCTCCTAGTTTGGGGAGGGACTGAAATTAACACATTTTCACAGAAGAAAAAATACATAAACACACGTTTTCTTCAAATATACATTTATTACTTCATGATGGAATGATATTACTTCATAAACACAATTTTATTCAATAATCTATAAAGGCAAATTCACAGTGAAAATCAGTCTTCATATACTACAACAGAAGAAGACAGAAATAGTGAGAGCTGTTTTGATTGCAAAGCTACATTTGACACAGAACTGAAAAATACAATTCAGACCATGAAAATTGGACATAAAGTAAGTATATAATGCACTATACAAAATTCTATATGTTTTAAAATGAATATGAGAAAAGAAGAAAAAAAAACCCACATAAAACAATGCATTATTTGGGTTCCGACATCTATGCATCTACAAGATGAACTCAACTTTGTGTAGCTTTCTATTTAATACTAAAAGGTTACAGGTAAAAAAGTGGTATTTTTTCACTACTCCCCCCCCCCCCCCCCAAAAAAAAAAAAAAAAAAAAAAAAAAAATCCTCCGTTCTGCAAATACTGCCCTGAAAGTTCATATTCAACAGTTCCTTACCTACAACATTCAATACCTCTGGATTATGGTCTCGCCTGCCAGCTATCATTTGACACTATTAGTTATTGCACGCTTTAGAATGTGCGACTGGACCGGTGTGGACTCAATACTGAATGAACTATGCATGTCACTGCAGGGGTAAATCCAGGGGGTGTTAGGAGGTAAATACCTCCCCCCCCCCCCTCCCCCCCTTCAACTTTGTGGTGAAATGCAAAAGCACTTGCATGTTTTGCACTCAGAGCCAAAGGGGTGTTATCTCTGTGTTAAAGTCAGGATATGAGTATACACACTTCTGGCTACCAAACAGATATTCTTTCTATATATGTCAACTCCTAATGGGCTTGAATGCAGTGTTACATGGCAAAGAAGCACATTGATCCTTCCCCCCCCCCCCCCCCTCTTCTTCTTCAAAATCCTGGATCCACCACCATGGCTGAATTCTAGCAATCCATTTTTAACCACTGTCGTAATTTATCATTGATCTGTTTCAGAACAGGAATCTGTAGAAATCAATTAATCTGTTTGTGAAACTAAACTGGAGGGAAGACAAATAATACTACATGTACATCACTTCCGGATGCAATGATTCTATAATAGCTCTGTAAATCGCTCGTGGCAAGAATTAGAAATAGAATTAAAGATTTTTTTCATTATTAAAAATGTCACATTTGAAATTCCAAATCAGCTGTTCAGAGCCAGAACGGCATTAAATTTGTGTTAAATTTCTGTATTTAGTGCCCTTCTGGTTCCAAACAGACAAAAAAATAACAGATTTGTGTGAAGAAATTTTGCCTTTTCCTGTACTGGAATGATATGCAACAAAAACCATCAGAAGAATTCCAATGGATGAACAAATTAACATATATGGCGACACAAGTGCTCTGAAACAGTTCATTATAACGTATTATAAATACCAGTATGTAAATATAATTACATATTTCTACATCACATGACCAACCTGAGCTGACAGTTTGTTCAACTTTTCATACAAAAAAATATCATACTTTTTTGGAATCGTATACTGATTGAACGAATAACATTGAATAGATGGAAACAAATATACATGTATAATATATATCTCCATTTGTATAACCCATGTTTGTCCTTTTATAGACATGATGTATCATGGTAAATCTCTACTTTTACTACAAAAAATAGACATTGTAATTTTATTGATGTTTCCATTTTAATCTTTCTTTGATTGTCCCAAGTGCCTTAAATCTAATTTAAGCTCTCTTACTTTCCTAAGTCATTACAAAAAACCTCTGGTACAATCCATGAATCCACATAATAAATATTTTGCACCAGTAAAAGTTGGAATTAAGGAAACAGTACTCAAAATGTACTGATATGCACACTCTCAATCAAAACTTAAACCTCTCTCTGTCTAAATATTGAAAACCAGATAATATATCATGAGCTGTATTTTTTTACCACAAAAAGAGATGAGAAAAAAGAAAGCCCTTAAAAAATAATTGAGGACTGCTCGAAGAAAGCAATTCCTCTTCATGATATACTTTTCTCTCTCTACATTGTGCTAAATATTAAAAACAAGCTTTGATAATATATGAGCTGTATTTACTACAAAAAGAGATGAGAAAAAAAAGAAAGCACAATAAATAAACCTGAAGACTGCTCGAAGAGAGCAAGTCCTCTTCATTATTACACTTGAGCTTAATACTAGCTGTAATATTCAGTGTGTGCAGCATACAGGAAAACATGGGTTAAGAGAGGCAAATGTAGATAACATGCCTTGTTAAAGGCTATAACAAATCCCAAATCTCATCTCCTTATTGCCAATTAAAAAAAGTGCCAACATTTACAATAGACTCTTTTCCATAATTTCTGAAGGAAATGCCTAAATGGTTTTGAAAATCAACTAATGGAATGCTATTCTTTCATATAGGCATCTTTGTCTTTGGATTTAATGCAATTCAGATTTGAAGAAAAAAATATTTAAGAGCATTTCATAAAATTCAAAGATAAAATAGGTAAAGAAATTTCATAGTTTCATAAAAATCAAAGAAAACATAGGAAAACAATACAAATCTATTCTTGGTTAATTTCTACTACTAATGACACAGTAGTACTGATAGGAAGTAGCTAAATCATCATAACTAAACACATAATTTAATATAGTAACAAGCAAGTCTCAATCAAAATACAGAGTGAAGAGACTTGACAAAATGTTGAACCTTTTAGAAACGGTTTCATCTCCATTTATGACTTAAAGATGAAATTGAGTTCTGGTCATGCGATCGCATTGTGAAAGAAACGGTGTGGAACCGACCAGAAAAGGTTGATCATCTAGCATATAAGTATTGGTGTGTACTGCAAGGTTCCTGAATCGTCAAAATGATAAGAAATTTGGCCAAGTCTTGGTAAAGTTACAAACACTTGCACAGAAAGATGTATATGGGACTACACGAACACGTGGCGTAAAAAGCCGGCCCCCGATTTTTACGATGTTACATGCATATTTAGAATATGAAGGCATTTGAAGAGCCATGCTTTTCAGGGAACATGTCTTAACCGATGTTCTTCCACACTTGCATAATAAGAATGAGTAATGCTCACAAATTATTTTTCACCTCTTCCCAGAACTCAACCTTCTCTTTAATGCCCTTCTAGCTCTGAGCAGGTGATAATGCTGGCTCACTCATTTGAACAGTAAATGAAAAAGAAATGGAAATACACATTTTCACCTCTCTCTACATATTATGTTTCATCAATTAACTTTTGTTTCTAAGAGCACAAACATCAAATACAACACAAGTTTCTTGCATCTACTTTGAGTTATATCACATCAAATACAAAAGCTGTGTAAAGGCACTTGACACATATCATACACTGTGAAAGATTATTTCCATTGAAAAGACATGGCTCAGTTGTCAGTATTGTATTGATAGTAATGGAAGCTAGGGAATAGATATTATCAAGAAAAAACACGTAACAGGAATATCGCAAAGTAAAAATTCACCCCTTGCTCTGTGGCAACTCTACAAAGAATAAATGTCTCCTTGTGAAAATATTAAAACAAACATAAAAGGGTAGAGGCGGGGTAATGGTTCTGTGGTAGAGCAGTGGGTCCTGGGTTCAAAACCCAAGTTGATGTGCTAATGCCCTTTGGTAAGGCATCAATCCTCAATTACCAAGTCCCTCAGAGAGGACTTACAGCTTTAAGTCCACTAGATGCTTGTATACCACTTTTAACACATTTTCATTAAAAAACATAACATTTTCCCTTTTTACTGGGAAGATGTTTTTAATAGTACAATGCCATGTATATTATTCCTATAACTTTTGATAGGGGTACTTGCATGAACATTTTTGTAGCCAATTTACTTTGGCTACAGAGTCATACTAAAAATTTAACAGACTTACACAACAAAACTTTTCCTTCTATTTCCTTAAGTTGAGAGACACTACTTCAATTCTAAGCTCCATCAATGGACGTATGGAAAACTATAATTGAAGCCATTTTACTTGCACAGCATACTAGAGAAAATATAGTATGCAATATAAAAATATTGTTGTGAAGTTCTTTTTTTCTTTATCTCTTCATAGTTATAATATTCAATATCTTAGTCTTATGTAAAAATGTACAATTAAATATATTAGTAATGCTCGTATTAAAGAAACATTTCAGCAAGTATAGTATTGATGAAAATGACAAACACGCAGGATACTTATATGAATGAACAAAATGTAAAATATCAATTATTAAGTAATTCCACATAAAATAATTCATGAAGAGTTATTAAAAGAAATTATGGTTTCTATACATTAATGGAACTGTGCTACATCATTTCATACTGGTATGAATCTAAGATGGAATCTATCACTATCCAAATATTACAATTACTCTTAAAATACTACAACATAATATGCTCTGAAATAAAAGTATGAAAGTACTGATATATCTGTCCAAGGCATAGCTCTAAACATATCCTTTATTAAATCTACTGTTCATTGTTGATTTGAAAGTATATCATCAAAAGTTACAAAACTGGCACCTATTTAGTCTTTTATTGCAATCAATTTGCCACTTCGATGATAAGAACTTTTTAAAAATATCATAAACATGCTTTCATAAGCCAATTTTGTGTTTATCATCAACATTCATTTTACTTTTACAATTAAAGCATGAAATACCACAAAAAGCATAAAGCTTTAGAGGGAATGGACAACAAGCCTTTTTTATGTATCAGACAAAAAAAATTGTTTAATCTCATTTCGAACAACTTTATCTTTAACATAAAATCTTGACTACAGAGACAAGAACACATTCGTTAACAAAAATCACACGTTCAAACAAATAATATTGGCACTTAATATTTTCAATCTTTCATCAAAAGATTGCATGTTTTTTAACTAGTTCATTTAACTTCTTGGAGTTTGGTTGGGCCCAGGTCCACTTCAGATCCTGTTTGTCCTCAACGCAATGAGTCATCACTGCTTTGTCACCTGCTGCAGACAGACACAGATGCGAGACCGGATGATAGATGATATGACGTCCCTGATTTATTGAAAATGAAAAAACAAACAATTATTAACATCCCATACTTAGTGTAAATATTTTAAAATCTAGATATATTTACTCAATAAACGGGACGAGTGCTACATAATTTCCTTGAAATCAAAATAAATATTGATTAATCGTAGTGAATCTGAATTTAGATATAATCAGTCTACATTAAAGCTAGTCTGAATAGTTGCTATGGTACAATGTACATCTTTGGTCAATTGGAGCTGGAGAATGCAAAACAAACTTAATATGATAGCTTAGTGAAATGTAGAGGCATAAAAAGATGTTGGAAGACAAAATGCACATTTGTTGAAAATCATAATTCTATTACAGAGAGGTAGAACCACATTATTAGGAATGTCGAGCTATTAAATATAATGTTCTACATTGTTTAAGCTTCATATTACCTAAGCTTTCATTCATATATGTCCAATGACATTCACAGACATTATTAACTATTAAAACCTTTTGTCATTATCGTTATCATTATCATCATCATTATCATTACCATCACTATAACTATCACTTTCATTATCATCAATATCATCAGTATCAATACTATTGCTACTATCATTATTAGCATTATTATCAAAATATATCATTACAATAAGCCAGTTCACAGTTGCAGTCTGAGCATGAGCAGATAAAGGTCATTGCAGACCACATTGTGAAATACACGGAGACAAAATACTGGATACATGCTAATGAAAGTTACGTAATCATTATTCATTTATGCACAAGCAGTGCACTCCATGATACACAGGAGGAAGTAGTCTTTGAAAAGGGGGAAATAAAGGCTATCTATGTAGCACCTCCATCACTGTAGGAGTGATTATTTCCAAATATACAAAGTGGGGCCTCTTCATGTTTTGAAGATCTGTGGATATTCGAGGTCATTTGGCACGTGTGCTAACCGTGAACTGGTCTCCGACTCACCTCATCATAGACCCAGAGCTGATTGCCCCCTCCATGGTGACACGGATAAAGAATAGGTTCCGCTCCCTCCCTTCCGTAGGGGAAGTCTACGCACTGTTTCCGACTCTTTGATGATGGCCTGAAATCATCATGCCAAGTCAACTCCCAAAACTGTCGGAGAAGATAATAATAATGATAATAATATGATTTTCTGGATTTATAAAGTACTTGAAACATCAACAGTGTCTCTATAATGCACTTTACAGATACAGTCAAACCCGCTTTAGTGACAACCTGTCTACAAAGACCACAGCTTTTGTTTCCCTCGAAAACGGTTTCTCATTGAAACATGAACTAAAGGAACCTGTATACAAAGGCCACTTGTTGTGTTTCCCTTGGGCGGTTGCTATAGACAAGTTTGACTGTATATGATTACCCCAGTCATCAGATTCAGGCTTGCCCACACAGGTATGCACATTTTTCACTCCCGAAGGAACATACCAGCCAGGCGCCATTTTAAATATGCTCACAATGCTACGCATACAGTAACTATGACTTTCGCATCCTACAGGGTACACATTCAACACCTGGGTGGAGAGTGGCAAATGTGGATTGATGTCTCGCCAAAGGACATTAGCACCAGACTGGGATGCAAACTCACAACACTTGGATTGAGAGTCAAACGAATAAACCACAACACCTCCTGAAGAGATGTAAGTACATCGCTCTGTTGTCTGTCTTGTTTATCGTTGATTGAGAAAAAAAAATGTTTTCAAGGCAATAGCTCTTCTGCGCATTCAAAATAAGGATGCAGGAACTTCAACATAAAGTTAACAAACGTTCAAGAAGGCACTTTTTGGAGCATGGAAGTTTTGAGCATTGCAAATTATGATTCAATCATTGACCGATATTAATTAATTGGATATTTTGGATTGACTATCAGACATCACAATGCTTTCCAGTAAGTATTATGCCTTAAAGTTGGCTCACTAAAGTAAGATGCTAGAGGTGTTGTAGAGGTGTTGAGGTCTAGTGGATCACAGGGTCCGCGGTTCGAGTCCTGCCACGGCACTAATGTCCTTTGGCAAGATATTAATCTACATTTGCCACTCTCCACCCAGGTGTTAAATGCGTACCGGTAGGAAGCAATTCCTTGAATGCTGTGAGCGCCAAAATCAGCTGCCTAGCAGAGCCGGGGGTAATACATGTACTTGGGAGCGCCTTGAGCACAATGCATGGTGGATATGTGGGCTTTATAAATATCCAATATTATTCTAATTTATTATTAAGTGAGATCTAAATAAAAGTTAAGACATGTTACTTAGCCACGTAAAATGTCATTTAAAATACTGACAAGATCTACACACTGAATTGGATATGGCCCCTGGGTCTTACCTGAGAACCTCCCTGTTTCATGGATCTAGGGTTGCATTCCTGTACCCGAAGCTCATCTTTACCACCCTGTGATAACGTCAGGCACTTTCCTGTACTCGTATGTGTTATCTGTAGAAATGTAGCAAACATAAAAGAGAATAACAAATTTAGTTTAAATGATACTAATGATGTTACCATGATGTTACCTGTTTTAACAATTCATAGTACAGTCAAACCTGCTTTAGTGACCACCTGTCGACAAAGACCACATTTTTTGTTTCCCATGCCAATGGTTTCTCATTGAAACATGTACTAAAGGAACCTGTCTACAAAGATCACTTTTTGTGTTTCTCTTGGGTGGTCACTATAGATAGGTTTGACTGTACTTGGAATTTGTCATCACTATTATGAACCGAAGAATCCATACAATGATATACATGACAGATTTGTCGCTTCATAAAAAAACCACCATCGATTTTAAAGACCATCTCCCCCCCCCCCCCCCTCTTGGAAAAAGAAGAGAAGTAAAAATAAACGAAATGGAACATGATGCAGAAAAATAGTAGCAAATGCTGAGATACATGCAATCTTTGTTGTTCCAAACATTTGGTTGCATCCTCCACATGATATATATATCTCTTCAATCCTTCTTAATTGACAAAGGCACATAATTGTGATCCCTTTCAGACGTGCAGATTACACTTCAGTGTTTGATATTTTGTGTTTACTACTCAACATGCACATGACGTTGAAGTCTTCAAAAAAGCCTTTAAAACTTATCTTTTTTTATAAGTGTTAGCACTGATTGTAAAGAGCATTGTGAAGAGCACTGTGAGGGTCTACCGCCCTGAAATGCACTATAGAAGAACTTATCACTACTACTATTATTATTATTTGTATTATTAAGTTTGAAATTGTCAACAGGAAAATATTTTTAAATTTTTCACATGAGGAGTGTATCTCGTTTGTGCCTTAGATGTTTGTGCCTATCTCTTCCGATTTTTGCAAAGAAAACTTTCCCCAAGATGATCAAAATTGCACTGGCAATCCAAACTGCATTCCTGGACAGAAGTAGGGAGGTTTAGCAAGGGATAGAGGCACATGCATGTAGTAAGGAGAGTGTATGCTCACGCTTCCATAGTTTCCTTGATATAAATAATTATCTAACATTTCCTGTTTATTTAAAGTCCACATTAAATAACAAAGAGAAAATAAGAAAGAAAGAAAGAAATAACAACATTGAATGAAACACTCTGGATCCCACAGACAAATGGCACACACAAAAATATAGTAATGACAAATAAAAAGAAATTAGATAGATAAACATGAAATTCATTGCTGGATGAGAACTAAATGACTACAAAACAAAATGAAGCAGATTTATATATCTCGATCTTATAAATGAAAGCAGAAATTTACTAAAGTATGGATTAATTTTCAAGTATAGCAATGGCACAAATCAAAATATAAGAGAGAGATCCAATGAGAAAAAAATGGATACATGCTCATGAAAGTTATGTAATCATTATCAATTAATGCACCAACAGAGCATTCCATGATATACATATTAAAGGGGGAACAAAAGCTATTCGTAGAGTACCTAGTACACTTTTGGAATGATTCTAAAATGCAGAGTGGGTCTCTTCTATGTTTAAAAGATCTGTGGATATTTGTACATGTTCTAAAACTAAGGAGCAGGCGCGATAGCTCAGTTAGTAGAGCAGTGGTCTTGTGATCCGGCAACCCGGGTTCGAAACCAAGTCGATGCGCTAGTGCCCTTTGGTAAGGCATTAATCCTCATTACCAGGTCCCTCAGAGAGGACCTAAAGCCATCGGCCATCTGGTAGCTTACTTACAAGCATTTATGCTTTCTTAGCAGTCAGGTAAAATAACCATCACCACTAAAAAAAACTGATCTACTCCAAGGTATCGTGCTTCCGATTGTACAGTTGTTAGAATCAAGCTTTTGAGATGTGTTCAGACTTACGTGACCCTTAGCTCCGCCCTCCGGCTCCACGGGAGGATAGTACTGGAGGATATCTGGCGCCACCTCAGTCAGGAACCAGGTGAAGTTTTTACACTGGAGCCTCTCCCGCAGGGCGAGCTGCTTGCTGATGTCGCCGTAGTCTTGCCCCTTCAGGTACGGCCGACGCTCGTAGAAGTACTTGCCCCACTCGTCCATCCACACTTCAACCACTCGTAAAAGATTCTGGGGAAAAGATTGAAAGATTTCGACTCTTATCAACAAGTATAATTATAATTTACCAATGTTTATTTGTTTACACTCATTAACCAGAATTTGTATTTGTAATACTTCAATTAAAGTAAACATGAAAAAAGGAAAAAAAAAAGTTTCCACAAACTTGTATATTTCCAGTCTTCAGATCAAACATGAAATGTGGGAAACTCAGGACATAATGTATACCAAAACAAATATAAAGAATTACATCATACAAATCCCCTGGGTTACTTACAGTATACCTTCAAAAAAAAAATATTTGTATAGAAATTTTAAAAATCAGTTCCACAAGGATAAACATGCAGTGATTCCCCTTCAATCACTGAACAGCTGCGCTTCCACTCTGAACACTCCACACCTCCTTTCCCAAATACAATAAAAACAAATTACCCAAACTGTTAGCTTAGAATAATTTCCCCACTCTCTCAATAAAATGAGATATGTTGGTAGTTGTCAAGTCTTCATTATCCAGGATCTGTCAAAGTCATTTTCAGCCAGAAAGGGTGAATTACTTATTCTCCGCTTGAACAAGCCAGACTCCGAGAACAGATTGAGGAAAGAGTTCACACTTGATTAATCAATTCCATCAGACTCACTTTATTGATCACACCTGCGCCTCCAGGCACCGTGTAAGACATAAATTTTCGGTAGATGTGTCCGACCCGCGAACACGGTATCTCCTCCATTTCACCCCCACACATCCAAACCTGCAAGAAGGAAAAAAAGATAAAGAACAAATTCTGGGTATAAATGACTAATATTAAAGCTGTGAACTGTCAGAAACACAGTAACAATGAAGAAAAGATTTGTTTATCTTTGTTTTCAATGCATGCCTGCCTCAACATTTTGTAAGTTTCAAATTTTCATTTGAAAATTTTCATTGTAAAGAAAGAATAAAGTAAATTTCAGATCAAAAAATATATAATTGCATATGAATATTTGGTAACTTTAATACATTTTGTGATTAATTTCAACAGATAAAATTTCACACAGATATAATCAATATTCTGCATTTTAGAAGTATAAAGAAACTAACAAAGCTCAAATCTTATTAGCAATACTCATCGTGCACTTCCAAGAGAATTCTATGCTCACTAAAGTGTTCTCAATAAGACACGCTGAGCTTCTGTTAAACAGTTGTGATTGATCTAAATAAAAAGCAAGTCCTGCAATCAATCTTAAACTTAGAATCTCTTATATCTATGCCATAGAGTTGTGATTGATTGAAAGCTGCAAGAAATTTGAATCAATCAGAACTTGTCTGTATGGAGCCAGAAGGACTTTAGCTCAAGTTACAGTATACGAGCCAATGCCCTTCTTGCTCTACCAAAAATAATTTGGATTTATATAGCGTAAAACAAAATACTGTCTCTAAGCGCTTTACAGATACTATTACCCAGTCATCGAATTCATTCATGCACCATCTCCACTTCCTGGGGAGTATTCCTACGGTATGGTCACCGTGAGGGCATATGGCAATTACTATTTGAAAAACACAAAGGCTTTTGTCATCCCACCAGGTCCCCATTTCTCTCCTGTGTATGGAGTGGCAAATGTAGATTAATGCCCTGCCAAGATATTAGTAGATAAGTGCCTCTAGAGACCTACCTTGAAAGACAAATCATACTGTTCTCCTCCCCATATCTCCAGTCCCTCATCATAGCCACCCAACTCCTCCATGAAGTACTTCCTGTCTACTGCAAACAAGCCACCAGCCATGATGGGTGTCCTAGATGATGAAAAGATGAACAGTGTTATTGCTGAAGGAGAAACTGGTATCATTATCAGAATTTTTATTTTAATCCACCCCTACTGTTGGTGACAAAACCTTGCCACAGAAAGGATATATTCTAAGATTTATTGGGGTTGAAAAAGTTTCTTCCTTGTTCCTTATTTAGAGTGGGTACATATATTGCAAATTATGGTCTCAAGCAAGGTATTTCAAGTCAAATTTAACAACAAAGTGTTTTTTATTCTTCCTAAAATAAAATACAGGTTTGCAAGGTTCACAAGGAAGACATCTATCTCAATTGTCTATAAATTCTAAGTTTTCAATAATGGATCCAAAATTTAAAAAATTGATTGAAGTTTGGAGGTGTATAAGAAGTGTTGAACAAAAAAGAAAAAAAAGAGGAAAAAGAAGCACTTCAGGTCAAATGAAAGAAAAGGTGTGTAAGACAGGTGACATGTCCAATTCCTGGAAGCTTGCATTAAACATGGTCCTCTCAATTTCTAAAGTCGACAAGAAGTCACAATGAGTGTAACGCTTTAAATAATGTAGAGCGGCAACACTTACAAACTCTTACTTCTACATGCACTTCACGTCTTCCTCTGTTTCTCACTCTCTCCTTCTCTCTCTCTCTTCCTCTTTCTGTCTCTCTCTGTCTGTCTCTATCTGTCTCCCCCTCCCCCTCCCCTCTTTCATAGCACAGGGAATTGTTTTAAGGGATTCCTGGACAGAGGCTGATGCATTATTGACTCTTTTTCACCACGCTCATGTCAAAGTCTGAGGTTACTCCATGGCATACACCAAGGCATCAAACGGCCAGCAAAATGTCCCTTTCATCGGCCATACGTGTGAAAATCTCCCTACAGGGAAGATTCCCTCATGGGGCATACAACGTGGACTGCCAGCACAAAACTTCCAACAACTGTACAAATTTTGGGCCTAGTATAGAATTTGTATCTAATTCTAATCTGATTTCAAAATGTCCAAAATTTTTGCTTTTCGAGCCGGATTCCAAAATAACCAGAAATCGGCTTTTCCTTCCATTTTCTTTTCGACAGGTAACTTCAGGGGGTTACAGCAGTGAGCACCCATTACATCTCTAATCACTTGTTAGTTTCATGCATGTTTCATGCATGTTTCACGGACATGTAAGATCTGTCCCCCAATAGATTTAGCCAAACTTCTGAAACATAATCTGTATTCTAAACATGCCTTCCAACCAACCATTCAATCATATATCCATTCATATATACCGATATATTCAACTAACTTTCCCACTCTCTATATCAACAAATATATGTCGAACAATAAAATATACCCCCCAGATCACATTAAAAAGTCACAAGATTGTCACATAGTAATTTTGCCAAGTAACAGTCCGAAGACAAAAGGTCGATTGCCAGATCAACGATCCCTCAATAATTCAAACTACAGCTCTCTGGATCTCCCTGCTGTGACAGATAAAACAGGCATTAAAGAATCATGGTATAATGTATGAAGCATGGACAGAAGCTATCAAAGGCAGATCCAAGGGGGCATTGGGGCATGTGCACCCCCCCCCCCTTACAAAAAGAAAAGAAGAAGGAGAAGGGACATCAAGTAGAAAGAAAGAAAAGAAGAAGCATGAGCAGATAAACATTTTGTTTTTGCTTGTCACTGAATTGTGTAAAATGGCACGCCTAAGAAAAACTTGATGACTCCCCCCTTTTTTTGCTTATGATACAATTTGTGGGACTTGTGCCTCCATCCTCCCTACTAAAGAATTCTAAATCCGCCACTGGGTATGAGGGAGAGCCTTGTTGGGCTGACATGGTATATGGCACCAAAGGTAAATGCTACTGTTTGGAGGGTTATCATTTATTCATACAGATGAGGTGCAAAATGTATGTAGGGCTGGAAGCCTAGATGAAGACTGGGAGAGAGGAAGAAAAAAAAGCCTTTCAATTTCTTTTCCCAATAAAGTATGTCACTTGCCTTCCAACAGAACATTTTTCATGATTTAGAAGGTCTATTTTCTAATTCATGTGCTTATGAAGATAGTAGGAGTCTAAGTTGTTGACTTGGGTACAAGGTGACATGAGCATGAAGAGGATAGTACAGCCAAAAGGGTTATGAGATATAAGCCAATGTTGACCTTAATTGGTTAGGATAGGTTTGGGAGTCATTTTCAAATGCCCTAGAATGAGAAAAGCACATGTCCATTAAATATTGACCTATATATTTGAGCCCTCTCTGACTCTCTTCGATGAAGCATGCATTAAAGAGTCATGAGATAATGTAAAATTGATGTGATGCCATTAGGAGATTCCCCAGTCAACATCCAATGATAGGAGAGACCTTGTGAATACAAATTTGCAATTCTCTACATTAGTCCAATTTTTAGTAGCATCTATCTGTATGATTAGTCCTTTAGAATGTATAATGTCAATATTATTAAAGGGGAATGGATTGAAGGGACAATCCAGCCCGACACATAATTCATTAGATTCATTAGAATAACTGCTGCAAAATATGGGGGAACCAAAGATTAGGAAGAGTAAAATAAAGAATGAGATATTTATGAACTTTTGCAATCATAGAGCCATGTTATCACTGCATGCACAAATAAGGCACCTTTGTGATTTCTTTGTATTTCTTCCACATTAAAAACTCAATATCTTGTACATCTTCCTTCTACCACTAACCCTTTCCCTAACAAAACCTCTCCCTTCACTCTCAAGATTATACCTTGTTTTTCATCTCACTTATTCTCCAGTTCACAGTACAGCTCTTAGTCGATGGCACCCTTCACCACATCATCATCACCCCTCCCATCTTACCTAAGCGGTTTATTCTTTATGTATCCCTTTTTCCTGTCTCATTAATCTAATTTCTTTAAAGGGAAATCCGACCCAAATAGACAACTACTCTAAAAGAGAGCATAAAAAATCAGAGAAGCAAACAGATGAAAGTTTCAATTAAATCTGACTAAATATAAGAACTACTTTCCCATCTGTTCAACATATAAAATAACTTAAATTTAAATTTTTCAAAAATTCATTGCTCAGAAGGGTCTAGTATTTTTAGAGGACCTATAATAATATGCTATCTATAATATATTTTGGGTAGTGCCCCAAGGGAGTAGGAACTTTTATTAATGATATTTTTGTACACGGCAAATGGGAGTTATCCACGTCACAATCCACTGGCCGAACTACCAATTTGAGATTCACATAGATTTATTGATCTCAAATTTTAAACATTCATAACTTCCTTACTATTGGCCCGATTCATTTCAAACTTTTGACATTCTGTTTTTGTTATTTTTCTGCTTTCATACAAATCAACTTAGTACAAAGGTTGGTTTGCCCTTTAAGTTACCCCTCCATTCTCACCTGAAAGGATCACTCTCATGACTCCGCCTCTTGTTCTCCGCCTCGCTGATGGGGATGCGTTTATAGTACAGCTCCCAGTCGAATGCCCCCCTCATCACATCACCTGCCTGAGACTCGTAGTGGAAGTCCTCGTTACTGATCACATCAATCATCGGACACACGATACGTCGCCGATTAAGAGCGATGCGTTCTGTGGAGGGGAATATAATGTGGACAGAAACAGATAAATATGTTAGAAATGTATGCAGCATCAATCACTGGTCAGAGTGGTCAGGTATATTTGGACACAGAAGGTGGCATGATGCATTGCAAGATGGCAATTCAGAGCGACCGTTCTGTCAGGAAATACAATCTGGGCGGAAATGGACAAAATATGATGTATAGCACATCAATTACTGGTCATATATTATTGGGCACATGTTGTGTGGACGATCCAAGGCTATCTTTTCTATAGGGGATTAAAATTAGACAGATACAGATAAAATATTAGATAGATTATTGGTCAAATATCATAGGGAAAATGATGAGTCGGCCATTCAGAGTGATCCTTTCTACAGAGTGTCGAAAATTGGACGGAACGGATAAAATATGATGCATAACACATTAATTCTGGTCAGATACCGTTGGGTACCCGATTTGCAAATGATTCAGAGCGAACCTTCCTGTTAGAATTTGGACAGAAATAATCTGAATATTGCAAAATGTATAAAAAAAACATTAATAATCGGTCAAACAGACATCAGGCAGTTATCAGCCATACACAATGTGTGACAATGACTGGAGGCAATGGGTTCTACAGGTCAGTAAATGTGATCTTTATCTAAAACATAATATTAAGTTCACTTCTAAACGTAATAACAGGCAATGTAATATTATAAATCACTGATATCTACAAAGACTATTAGACTTTACATCTATTTTAGCCAAACTAACCCCCCCCCCCCCCCCAAAAAAAAAAAAAAGATAGAAACAAATCTTATACGAGAAAAGACATTGGCAACAAAATATTAATAATAATTACAAACAATTAACAATTTAAGTTAATAAAATAGACAGAGAAAATCATCCACTTAATCGTTTTTAATTTATACTTGAAAGAAAAAAAGTTTGACTGGATGAATATAATGTGTATCCTTTCCAAAGGTAATGATCTTTTGAAATATCAAGAGCACTGAATGACCCTATCCATAGAGTATGGGTGATCTATCAGAGGGATAGCTCGATGTAAATATTTAACAGGGAAATCATGAGAGCATCATTGACATGCACTGCGGGGAGAAGAGATGGGTAGGAAAGAGAGAGAGAGAGAGAGAGAGAGAGAGAGAGAGAGAGAGAGAGAGAGGGAGGGAGGGAGGGAGAGGGTGAGAGGGATGGAGAGGGGGATGGTGGGGGAGAGGGGGGAAGGGAGAGAAGAGAGAGATAGAAAGACAGAGAGAGAAAGACATAGGGAGAAACAGGATGAGAGAAATATAAGAAAAGGAGAGAAATATAAGAAAAGGAGAGAAATATAAGGAAAGGAAAGAAAAGAAAATAGTGACAAGAATAAATGAGCAGAAGAGAGGGAGAAAGAGAAATAAGATTTAAGACAAGGGCATAGTTACACATATACATTAGAAACAGAAATCGTGAAGGAAAAGGAAGAGGGGGTGGGTAGGAGTGGGAGAGAGAGCAAAAGATAGAGAGAGAACAAAACTAGAAACAGAAAGAGTGAATTTAGAGAAAGAAAGAAGGAACCAACAAACATAGATACAGAGAAAGATGGCACAATTAGATCAAAGGGGAGAAAGGGAGAAAGAGAGGGAGAGAGAGCGAAAGCATTTAAGGGATAAGGAGGGAAAGAAATATCGTCTGTTTGGAGTCAGGGCATTGTACTTAAACACAGAGTTAACACCAATCTGGCTCCAAACAGACCATATGTTTGTCTAGAAGATACAAGGGGACTTTCATTTCACGGACCACTGGCTATTCAGACAGAGATGATTTTCACCCAACAAGTGTTTGTCAACGTCACAATTTCAAATCATGAAGAAATTGAACATGCAACATTTGCTGGGAGGCCAAGAACCCAACATGCCATTTCTGGTCAGCCATTTCTGGTCAGCCATTTCTGGTCAATGGCAAAGACATGCAAACCTTAATCCTAGTCCTTGTAACTCTTACTGATTAATATTCATGGTCTGTAGTAGGATATTTGGCTCAAAATAATAGGGAGCTTCATCGTGGGAGAGTTTATTTTTAGAATTCACTGTTAACTCCCAGTATTTGAGGTTGCGTGATTCGATATGAATATGAATAAAATAATTTACATTGCCTTTAATCTTTTCATTTCTCTCCATGGACTCAGTATCACACTGTAACTCTATTAAACTGTAACACTCTCTGGTGATGAAATACTGAGTGCAGTTCAAAGAGAGCCTCTAGTTTCCACGGATAAACATTAATGAACAGAGTCATTAGCATTCACCTCGAGCCGATCAAGACTGCTTGATTAAACATGGGGCGTGAGAGAAGCGTGAAGGGTGCTCGAGAGTTACAGCGCATGAGAAATTAAGGTACAGACGACTGTCTGTACGATAGAGATGTTCGTTTGATTTATTTCCTTCACCGTCCTATTTCCCAGAGCGCACTATTCCTTGTGGAGCAAGTGCGGGCATACATGGATAAGATTCCTCCGGTGTCTATTTCAAGTGTTGTACAAGACATCAAAGATTGAACAATTCAATCCCTGCATGGTACCATGAGAATATTGATTTATCGCTTTCTGCATGTCTGAAATACACATGAATATTTCATGTGATAGATAATATTACAGCACAAAAAAGAGTAATGCATAATTCCTTTTCAGTCAAATACTGGTGCCTACTAACAAATCCACTGATTTCGTTTCAAATTAAACAAGACTTGTCAAGAATTTAACATGTACATGTATTTGTATACCATTACCCGTACTGTAAAGGTGATTATAAAAAGAGAAAGGCTCTTAAAAATGAATATGGATGGCAGACAGATGGCCTAATGCCTTTAGCAAATACTCATTAGGCGTGTCTGCACTATCTCGAGATTGCCAAATATCCAGCTATTTGAACTATCCCGATCGCAAACTATCTAGCTAATTGCGTCTTCATTAGAACGAAGTAGCAAATTAGCTGGATAGTTGGTTGGGATAATATCCCAAGATATCTCGGTCTAGTTTGCAAAATATCCCACTATTTCCGAACTAGCGGGATAGTTTGCGACAGTCTTCATTAGACCGAAGTACGGAGTCAAATATCCCGATCCCATCATGCACAACGATTTCTGGTTCACCGTGTTAACTAGTTGTACTAGCGCACGCACATGCGATCTATACGGCTCAGCGGTGCATGATGGGATCGGGATATTTGACTCCGTACTTCGGTCTAATGAAGACTGTCGCAAACTATCCCGCTAGTTCGGAAATAGTGGGATATTTTGCAAACTAGACCAAGATATCTTGGGATATTATCCCGACCAACTATCCAGCTAATTTGCTACTTCGTTCTAATGAAGACGCAATTAGCTAGATAGTTTGCGATCGGGATAGTTCAAATAGCTGGATATTTGGCAATCTCGAGATAGTGAAGACGGGCTATTGCCCCACCAACCTGGTGGGAAAAAGAAAGTGATATGAGGAGGAGTTGTAGCAATAGTAATGGGAGAGGTTGAAAAGTTGAGACAGATCAATTCTACGGTTGGCTGGCTGAAGGAAACATTACACCATAATGATACACCTGGGACTAACACCAAGATAGTGTGATCATTACTGCATGAGGGATAAGAGAAGGAGTGATCTCTTAACTATGCATGCTTGCAGTAGTTCAGTGTCGAAATGAGAGGAAAATTAAAAGCTAAGTATGGAGAAGAGGAATCGATATATTGAATTGAATTGAATTGAATTGAATTTATTTATTCACCACCATTGAAAACATTGAAACAAAAGATAAATGTACAATGACAATGTCAATATAACATAAATGCATGACATGAATTATAAAAAATACATGTTCTACAGCGATATACATGTACATTATGACAAATATAAAGTAAACTTTGCTTCAAGAGTAAAACAATAAATGACTATTTACAATGATTTTGTGATCGATGGTAAAATAGAGTCAAAAATAGCACATGTGCTAGTCGAGTCTGACTCTCATTATCTAAAGCCTAAAATAAAGTTAATTTAAAAATACATGATGGGTTTCCAAATCTTATATAAGATTTGTGTATAATATTAAAATGAGACTGGTTACTATATACAACTATATAGTTATGAGGTTATGATTCGTGGTTTTCACTTAAGAGTAATTTTGTAATTTTTTTTACGAAAAGAGGTTCTTGATCTCTCAATTCTTAGATCAGTAGGAAGCATATTCCAAAAATTACTTCCAACAAACGAAACAGAAAACTTTCCTTGGTCTGTTTTAAATAAAGGAAGATGTAAGGAGCTTGATTTTCTCTCTGGAAATAGAGATATTTTTAGAGAATAAAAATATATTCATAAATGGAACAGATTACATGTCTATCAGAATGAGTCAGAGACAGAAGTAAAGGCAGGTGTAAGAGAGGAAATAGGCCTGAAAAGGAAGTTGAAAAAGAAACACAAATCCTTACAGAAAGGCTGTAGAAAGAAATGACAAATATCATGCTAATATTATATTCCTTTTTCGAAGAGCGTAATGACTTTCTACAACATTACGATGATGATGATGTAGAATCTGTTAATGTACCCGGACTGCTAAGAAAGTAAAATATCATGGGGTTTTCTTGGTGAGCAACCCTGGGACATATATGTATGGCCTTGTAAGGCATATCCAGGGAACTTGGTAATTAAGTTATTAATGCCTATTAAATCAAGCATGCACCTTATGATTGCTCTAGATAGCTTCCATATGGGACATCCGATTGAACGAAATAAAAAGAGGGTGACTGGGATCAAAGAAAAAGGAGTAGTAGCCCAGGAACTAAGAGAGAGAGAGAGAGTGAAAGGGGGTGAGAGAGAGAGCATGAGAGGGCGTGAGAGAGAGAGAGAGGGCGAGAGAGAGAGAGGGCGTGAGAGAGAGAGAGAGAGAGAGAGAGAGGGAGAGGGCGTGAGAGAGAGAGAGGGAGGGAGGGAGGGAGGGAGGGAGGGAGAGAGAGAGAGAGGGAGAGAGAGAAAGAAAGAAAGAAAGAAGA